CAATCGTTATTATGAGACATTAATTGCCACCGTGCCTAAGAGGAGCCCTTGGGGGATTCCGAGGGGATCTATTTCCTTCTCACGAAAGCTCAAGTATGGGCTCTGAGTATCGATGTGGAGCACTCAATAGCTAGAGATTGAACCAAAAATGCTCGACGGAACCCTGAGAGAAGATCCAGTTGTTCGGGCAATTAGCATTAATGAAAATGACGAAATAACAACTATGATATTAGATTGTGAACCCATGCCATTAAATTCTAGTATGAGACTCCAAATTAGAGTCATCATTAAGCATCGAGGTATGAATACCCCTTAAAAAACTAAGTTAAGGTACGCAATATTGAATCAAGAATGATTTAAGTTTCGAAGGAGATTAGTTGGGTGTACACCAACCCCTTTCCAAACTCTTCTTCCGTGTCAAGTTTATCGTTTAAAATCATTTAAAGGGTTGCTCTCTCAACCCATTACAAAAATTTGACTGTGCAATAACTAAAAGTTCTAAGATTTGATTATTTCTTAGAGTTTAATACTAACAACAAAACTGTATCAGATGTCACCACCTTTTACGATCCATCGTAGATATCCTACAATTTTTAACATCAACCCAGTGGGAGAGTGGTATAATTTTTACAAACACGAGAGTTCCTTTTAAAACGACACAAACTATTGGCACAGGGGTGTTATTATAAATTATCCCATAAAAAGGGGGTATTATTGATTTTTTTAATAACTGTCGTATAATCTATGTTTTTCAACTTTAGTGGCTTCGGTTTTGAATAAAGTGTCACCCAAAGTTTACTAGCCGTTAGTTGGTGTTGGCTACTTGTATTTCCTTTTTGGGTTGGAAAGACGAGGAAAAAAAAGGAGAAGTTATGAAACATATGAAGAAAAAAGCTCAACCACTCCTGCGAAGTTGTCAAACTCATTATTAGGGTTTTTTTAAAATTGTTTTAAGTAAAGCTTTTGAGTTTGGACTTGGCTAGGGGTAAACAGATCTTGGTTTAGGCTTAGGAAATATAGTTTTTGTATTATTTTACGTTGTGAACGATCATAACATTCTCTCAATTGAATGACTAAAACTGTAACCTTAAATCATATATGAGTCGTGATCATGAAGATAGGCAAAATATCACGGTTTAGGCTTAAAAAATATAATTTTTGTATTATCTTACGGCGTCGTCGTGAGTGATGCATCTTAGTATTCTCTCAATTGATAACTAAAACTACAACCTTAAATCATATTTATGTTGTGATCATGAAGGTAGGCAATAGATCACAGTTTAGGCTTCGAAAAAATATTTTTTGTATTAATCTACGACGGCGTGAGCGATGCATCTTAGCATTCTCTCAAATGATGACTAAACCTGAATCCTTGGATCAGATTTGGGTTGTGATCATGAAGGTAGGCACTCGTATCAAAGTGTTAATCCCTAACTAGGGTTGATAATTGAATTGAATTAGTTGAGTGCGACTTATTTTGGGTTCGATTCGGGCTCATTTCATTTTCTAAACAAGTCGGGTTTGTATAATTTTTTAAGCTCGTTTAAGACTTGACTTGTTTATATATAAAATAGTCAAACTACTCAGACTCAGCTCGATTTCTAAAAAAGTCGAGGTTGAACAAATTTGTAAGCTTATTTAAAAAAACGAATTCAACAAATTCGATTCAATTATGAGCTCTACTCCAATGCTCTGTTCAGTCCCCAGGGTTCTAAATTTATCTCAAAAACACATATTTTCAGGGAACAAAAAGTTCAGGAGAGATGGAAGGATGTGATTAGAGGATGACGCAGCGGTTTTGAAACATATGGAACAAGTCTTACCCTAAAATATTCAAAACCATGATTATTTTACAAGACATCCATTAATCTGCCTTGACTTCGAAAAATGCCTTATACTACGGCATTGCATTAGCTCGACTTTAATTATCATCGAGTAGGGTGGTTCAATAAGATATCGGTAGAATTTCTCACTATAAAGTTAAATGTTTGAATCTTTGAGTCAGCAATTAATCGTTATATTAGCTTAGTTAAGTTCATTCTTGAGAGGAGTAATGAACGCGGTTAGGGATCTCATAATTCTATTAATGAGGGTTTATCAGGATAGTTTCTGAATGCTTTTCTTTACCCCATCCCTTTTTTCAACCATTAGAAAAAAAAAAAAAAACCTCCACTTTAAATGTGCTCCTCGAGACAAACCACCTGCATAGGTTTTTTTTTTTTTAAATCTATCAAAAATGTCTGCACCCAAAAAGTGATTTTGTTTCATGATATATTGTGTAACTCATGAATAAAAAACGTATGTGTAAGACTTTTTTTGTTCTTTCTAGATTGTCGATACCTATTAAATGGGTTTGTACGCCAAAACTAGGGCATTCTTATTTGTGTTAAAAATTCGTGTTTTATTGAGTGACAGTTGTGTAACAGATTGTATAAATATATAGTTGTCACCTCTATTTGAAATATCTATTTTCATTTATTATGACTTCTTATTTTCAAATATTTTTGAATTTTTGAAAGTTTATTATGATTGAATCACCCTTATAAATGCAACAGTATATGCTTGTGGGTGGGACTGTTCATGTAATCAACATGGTGGGTCATGCATGTTAGGTAATATTGTGGAGTTGGAATACCCAACTTCAAATCTTTCACCAGCTTATTTTAATGAATCTCATTCAATATATGTTACTTTTTTTCACAGTACCATCAAACAACTTTATGCAAGAAATTAAGCTAAATCAGTGCTTGCTGACAAAAAAACTTTCCTCTGGACTTTTTGGCTAGGCTTAGGCCATGTGGGTAGCAAAGCATGGTCCCAAGTTATTTAAGAGTGCATGGCATGATTGAATAAGCACACAGTACCACCGTTTTGATACTATGGAAGGATGTATCATACAGGGTTTATTTTTTTTGGTTTAACGGTCACGAGTGTTTAGGTTAGTTTACCCGCATTTTAACTTTTCTTTGATTCTATCAAAAACAAGTCATTCACGCCGGAACTAGGGTATTCATGAGAGATAAATTTTTCACGCCCTCGGTCCAAGGAGTTGCCATGAGAGATAAATTCTTCACGCCCTCGGTCCAAGGAGTTGCCAACATTCAAATTTATGATGTTTAAATTACAGCTCATTCTTGTTTTCACTTGAACTATCATTTGGAATTATATCCTGCACATAGTTGTGACTACATATAACAACTTATTTCCAAAGGATGGCTACACCTCTATATAAGCTTAAATTAGAGTTCACAAGGTGTAACTTGGGTCGGTTAGACAGATTGAAGAGTCAATCCTACAAATATTATATATTATTGGCTGAACATGATTTATAGAAGTTGAATTCACACAATTTTTGACCCTAAATCCTATATTGCTTGAATTTAAATTAAATCCGATTATTAAAAATCTCCACCTAAGTACTAGGTATTTTTAGATTAGGCTTGAGCCAAATTTGAATCGATTACTTCGAGTTCCAACACTACACGTCACTAGAGTCAAATCTTGGTGGTGGGGTAAGCTTATTGTATAAACACACGGTGTTGTAAAACTAGTTTAATGTGTGAGACAATTACAATTATAGAATTTAAGAAAGACCAAATGTATATAATTTTATCGTACATACAAAAAATTATTTCCGAGATAGGTATACAAAAAATGAATAATAGACACCATGGGTCCATAAAGAGGGAAAAATAAATGATGGCACATGTAACCCGAGGGTTGGGGGGGGGGGGGGGGGGGGGGGGGGAGGACAAAGCCTTGGGGTTAACTCGCGCCACTCCGGATATAGTAACTAGAACAACCCTTTATTAGACCTTCCTCATTTATATAGTGGGTAGGAAATAGCAAATGCACAATCCAACCTATTAAAAAAAATACCTTACAACTTTAACCCAACCTTAGTATTACACTTATTCTCAATAGTGATTAATATAACTAAGTTAACTTAGTCTTAAATCATAATCTACATTTGAGATTTTGACTTAAATGAATATAAAAGACGAGTCACAATATTCAAAATAAAAAATCCTAAAGAAAAAGTTTTAGAAACGATAGGAGTTATTACTTGCACTAGCACCTAAGTTTATTGTCCCTAATTTTAATCCTTTTTTTTTTTTGGGGTCACTGTTATACAATGTAGGTGTGTTTGCTTTATGTAATAGGGAAGAGGAATTAAAAAAAATAATGTGCAGCTCATCTTATCTCTCTTATAACTTTGATTAGATACATATTTTGAGCATAGTATTATCATCTAAAAATTATATCGACCCGGATGAATTATGTATTAAATTAATACCACCTATAGCTTCTTAAATAAACCCACATTTTTGGTGGGTTTAAACAATCCGATTGGAAAGTATTCGAATAAAATATATTTTTACCTTCAAGAATTTATAATATATAAATATTACTCTTTATCTTGAGAGTTTTTTAATAATTTAACGTTTATACTTTATACTATTATTCAATACTTCATCCAAATAAAGTATTGATGAGATAAATGCAGGATCTACTATTTCTTAATACTTAAATCAAATATGAGATGAAGATATATTATTATTATAATTAATTAATGAAATAAATAAATAAATATATAATAGACGAGTTTGTCCAACCTAATCCTTTCTAATAATTAAACTAAATACACCCAGAATGTTTGTATTGTTTACACCTTTTTCGTTCATCGCACAGGTTGCGGCTAGTACCGATTGGTTTAAGGGTGATGACATAGTAAGCTTCACAATAAATTTGGGAATTAATTTGAATGGGAATAGGGCTAAAACGGTAACTCTGCTAGTGTTGACATATCCGTCCCCCCTACGGCTACGAGGCCTTATTTTATTATTTGTTTGAATCGACCTGCACTTAGCAAGAAAGAGAGAGACGTTGGCTTCTGGCAATTGGCAGTTTACCTTATAAAGCTTTCAAAATCAAATTCGACGGAACGTCGAGAAACAAAGGAGAGGAAGAGAGAGAGAGAGAAAGAGACAGATAGAGAGAATAAAATCAAGTAAGTCCTATGAAACCTGTGTCTTTTCTCAGATATCATCTGTTGGATCAAACTCTAGTAATCATGGCTACTTTCATGGTTGTCATACAAATTTTTTAAAGCCCCTTGAAAATTTTCAAATTATTCCTTCACCCTTAAACACAGTCATGTTCGAATTTGAATCCTCACGGACTATGACATCTCTTCTTCACCGAAACAAGCAAGAAATCAGCTGAACTTTGGCCTATCATATCTAACACTACTCCAATTTCTTCTTCAAGCACTTGGGTTTCAAGATTTTCTAGTTGAGATGGAAAGTGTAGCTGAGAAGAGCAAGAAAAAGGATGGGTGTGTTGGTGGGTCTGTGTCATTCACAGATTCGGGTTCGCAGTGCAGAGAAAGCAGTACGAGTTCTAGCAGATCGAGCTCGGATACGTCGTCGGACGAGGCCAAGACTGTTACTGACTGTTCTTCTTCGTCGGCTCCGTTGGGTTGGCCGATTCGGAAAGCCCAGGTGTCCAAGTGCTCGATTTCTGATGTCCCTGATGATAAACCCAAAACCCATTTGGATGTTCTCAAATTGAAGAAAATGGAGTCGAGAGTTTCAGGTCAGTGATGGCGTGTTGTGTTTAAAACCCCCGTTTGGTTGCATAGAAAACATGGGAAATTGAACAAATTCAAACACAAAAGAGGAAAGGAAGTTAAGATAAAAGTAATATATGTTGGTTCTTGTGTTTGCTGTTGTTTGGCTGTTCAAGAATGAATATTTAAACACAACCAAGTCAAAGTGCCGTTTCAGACTTGGTGCTATGATGGTTTCTCTGTTCTGGGTTCTCAAGTAATTAACTCTTAGCCGTTTCGACACTTTCTCCAGCCAAACATATTCTGTCTCTGTGTGTGTGCATATTTTCAAATTTTGAATAATTTCTAGTGAATGGGCAGACAATTTCTGGCGTTATACATTTCTGAAGTTTGTTTATTTATCCTTTTTTTTTTTGTGAATAGAAATGGAGATGATGAAAGAGAGGTTTGCAAAATTGTTACTTGGTGAAGACATGTCTGGAAGTGGTAAAGGGGTTTGCACAGCATTGGCAATTTCAAACGCCATTACCAACCTTTGTGGTACTCGCTCTCTCTCTCTCTCTCTCTCTCTCTCTCTACAGATATACACACACACAATTCAGTCTATCTCTGTCTTTTGCAAGTTTTTTATTCTGTTTTCCTTTTTAATGTTTAGTAATTCTTCGAAAAACTATCTGCAGCTACGGCATTTGGGCAATTGTGGAGACTAGAACCATTGGCTCCTGAGAAAAAATTGATGTGGCAAAGAGAAATGGAATGGCTTCTCTGTGTTAGTGATCATATTGTTGAATTAATACCTTCTTGGCAAACATTTCCTGATGGAAGTAAGCTCGAGGTAGTTCAAACTCTATTCTCAATTTCTGATAAGATTCAAATTGTAGTCTGTAATTTTAGCATAGAATTCACTTAAGTTTCATATTAAGCGTTCCATGATATTTTAATTCATTTGTAGCATTTATAAAGTGCACAAAAATGTACTTGAACTACTTGCAGAGTTGAATCCAAATCTGATTGCTATTTATGTACCCTATTTATGTTGAATCTCTTTCCAAGTGTACATTATCATTGGATACGAGATAGTCTCAAGCATAAATGAATCCGAAAAATCTTGCTAATCTAATACATGCCTAAACCGAAAAGGAAAGTTTGAGCTGATTAGATTTTTTCGTTACTGAACTACTGTTTGATATCTCGTGGTCTTTTCTGTGTTTGATCCTTAGGTGATGAATTGCAAGCCACGGTCGGATATATTTATTAACCTCCCGGCTCTCCGTAAACTAGACAATATGCTTGTTGTAAGAATTAACATTGATTTTCTTTTCTTTTTTTCTCTTGGTCAATCTCTACTGGAAACCCAATCTGATTTTACTTCTACTAACTACTATTACAGGAAATATTAGATAGTTTCAGCAATAATACAGACTTTTGGTACGTTGATCAAGGAATAGTAGCCCCAGAAGCCGATGGTTCAGCCTCTTTCCGTAAAACCCTTCAACGGCAAGAAGAAAAGTGGTGGCTACCTGTGCCTCGTGTCCCTCCTGGTGGTCTCCCTGAAAATACAAGGAAAGATTTGAGTCACAAGCGTGAATGTGCAAGTCAAATTTTAAAAGCTGCTATTGCAATCAACAACATTGCTTTGGCTGAAATGGAAGTTCCTGAATCATACATAGAAGGTCTTCCTAAGGTTTGAGATTCCGACAAGGCCAACTCTCTATTTTATGTGATCATTAATCATCGATTAGACAAAGATATTGGCTGAGCTTTTTTAAATTTGTGGAGGGGTCAATAATTATTCTTTTTGTTGTAAGCACTAAAAAAACTGTATCTTGCTCGGTTATTTAATCTGGAATGCTGCAAAAGATCCTGGAATCATGCTGACTAGCTCCAAATGGGAAAAAGTGTTGTGGTTGTTAACTTGCATTTTTTCTCTCCAAAACATACTCATGAGAACTCAATTCAACTTAATAAAGTCTTGTCCCAACTATATGGGGTTGGCTAAATGATGCTTATTTTGCCACTGTGTTCAATAAGAGCCATATTTTTGTTAGAACATATTCCTAATACATTTGCAAATATTCTATTTCTTACTATGAAAATAAATCTAATAGAATTATTCTTCTGGTTTTAGAATGGGAGAGCCTGTCTTGGGGATTTTATCTACCGGTATATAACATCAGAACAGTTTTCCTCGGAGTGCTTGCTTGATTGCCTGGACTTGTCTTCTGAACATATTGCCCTAGAGATTGCCAACCGTGTGGAGACCTCAATTTACGTGTGGCGTAGAAGATTTCATCCAAAGCCCCTACCTAATCCAAACCGTTCTGCTGCTAAATCATCTTGGGAGATGGTCAAGGTTCTAATGATTGATGGAGATAAGAGAGAATTGCTTGCAGAAAGAGCTGAAGGCCTCCTGCTGAGCTTGAAACAGCGCTTTCCTGGTCTGACTCAAACTACTCTGGACACCAGCAAGATCCACTGCAACAAGGTTCAAACACATTTTAATTCCCGAATCTTGTTCTCCTGAGTTCCTAAGTTTTTGTCCATCATATCCATTATGCGCTTTTGACTCTCTTTCCAACTTTTCAGGATGTTGGAAAATCCATTTTGGAGAGCTACTCAAGAGTCTTGGAGAGCCTTGCCTTCAATATTGTAGCTCGCATTGATGATCTACTCTATGTGGATGACTTGACCAGGCAATCTGATAAGCTCGAACCAGTTCCTACAGTCAGTGTAATCTCTCACAAGAAGGTGTCAATCCCGTATTCAGTGTCTGTCTCGGGCACTCCATACAAAACACCAAACTTTTCACCTGCATCGCTTGTAAGCCCTGCAAGGGGGGAGAGAACTCCATTTCTCAGAGGCAACAGTAACAAACCGCCTCGTCTTGGCTTTGGAGTGAAAAGAGTCTTGACAAATTATCTTGGTGGCGAAACAAAGGCGAAGAACTGTGGCAATTCACTAGAAGGGTCACGCTCTATCTCAAACAGAAATGCAGAACAGCCAGCATGTCAAACTGGCATGGGAGGCACAGAGCGTAAAAAGGAGTCATCAGGCAACAAGAATGAGACTAGGTTACGCCCAATCAATCACTGAGTTTTCTCAAGGGGACAGAGAAGGATTAACCATTAAAATAGATGTCTAAAACAATTATCCTAGAAGACTTCTTGATTGTCATTGTTAGCATACATATATTGTTCACTTTTATTAGTGTCTTAGATTTCTTCGGCTGCTGGTTTCATCTGGACAGGAGAAATATATAACAAATATAGAGTACCTTAACTTGCGGTTGCCGAACAAAGCTGGTCACCTTAACCAGTTATACCCATTTATGGAGATTCAGGATCTGAAGCTAAAATGAAAGTATGCTCCTAGAGGGCTGCACTCTTCTTTTTTACTAGTTTCTGTGGCACATGCGCACGTAATTTTGATACGTTGTTGGTCATGGGTGTGTGTGAGAGGACAGAGAGGCGAGGCGTTTGGGAAGATGTTATGAAAGAGTGGGTATTTTAACTGCTAATAAAGGGAAAGGGCACGAAAACCCTCCTCTCCCTTTATTAATAGTATAGATAATCATAACCAACTCACTATGTGGAGAAAAAAGAATTGTTATATCATGGGGTCTATTACTGCTGACTCTGAAGATTTATGCATTTGATTATTGCTTGGAGACCTGATGGATGGAAGTCCCTGCATGTTTCATAGGACTATGGAACAATGGATTATAATCCTTTGAGAAAAATAATTGCTTTCTGATAAAGAAAACCACAAAGGTCCTAAAAAGATTTAACTACCATCTGTAAGCAGTAAGGTTTCTGTTTTGTATGCCTTGTACATGTGATGTGTGTGTGAGAGACAGAGATCGCAGAGCATATTTGCCATTGAAGAGCTAAGCATTCAAGTTAAGATTGAAATCCAATGCACACAGCTCGTTAAAAACAGATTAGATACACAACAGTACAGTTTTGTATACAATCGCCAGTGTAAGAGCAGTGTCATATAGCAATACACAAGCTGATATACAAGCATTGCCCAGTTTGTCTGGCAGAAACACGAAAAGTTAGAAAGAAAAAACAGAGTGAAACAGAAAAGGAACCAGAGAGCTGGTCAATTTTAGAATTTATATCGTCCCGTACTCCATAATTCATAGGTAGTAGCAGTATCACCATCCCTGCAGCATGTACAACAGTTCAGTTACCTAAAATCAAGGCAATCAGCATACCTATATGAATTACAGTATAGAACTAACAGAATTATACAGCAAGTGGATGAAGCAGCCCAAAAACAATCTCTGAATCGATTCAGTAGCTGACTAATTGTATTAATGGATGGAAGATAATGCAGGTGCACTATGTGGGTCTTCATTTAAGTCACCCCTGCCTTCATTATATGTTTTTTTTTTTTTTTAATTTATTCGAAAAATTAGCATCTTGTTTTCTAGACATGCATCTAGAACATACAGCTGTTTATTCTAAGAGAAGAAACGGAAACCTTAAACCAATCAGTGCAAGGACTAATCGCTACTTTACTGTGGTTCTTGGATGGAGAATTTGCATCAGCTCAATAAAGACTTCAGTAATACAGAGATCCTGCAAAAGCAGAAAGGGAATGGTTGAGTTATTATAAGCCTTATATAATGAAACCCCAGAAAGTTTCCACAACAACTCCACAAACCATCATACCCTGCCACCAATTTCCTCTTGAAGCACTATTTGTGTTGTTTCCATTCTGATCATCAACTCCACCATCTTTCTTGAACTGATCCAAGAAAGAAAAACACTAAATAATCAGCGGTAGCGTTAAAAATTGGGGCAACTAGTTTAAATATCTCCCAACATCATAATTGTCTCACATCTATAGGGATTCATGAAGGGATGGAACTACACTTACAATGTGCTGAGAAGTAGTGGTCTGGCTATTCGAAGAATAAACTTCTTGCCCTCCATAGTAGATTGATGAGCTGAAATAGCATGGTTCTACTGTTTCATTTTGATATATGGAACTGCTGTCCTTGCAGCGTATGCCTCCACTTTGAGTCATATAACCTGACAACATAGACAAAAAAAAAGAAGCCCTATTTGGTCACATTATTTCCAGTTTCAAAATTTCATAGTGAACAATCTGAAAGTAGATTTGTTCAAGGGAACCAAACACCTTTTCGAATCTGAAGATGGTTATTGTTATAATGTCCATAAGGAAAGGTGATTCATAGGAAAATTGTGTGTCACTTTTGGTTTAAAGCACAAACCTGAAGTTCCATGTTTGGCATTGTCATATTGACCTCCCAAATCCTGCTTTTTCCATGACCCTGTGACTCCAGAGAGAGAGGAATCTCTTCCTAGCCCCTAAAATCAGAAAAAAAAAAAAGATTGAAATAAATTAAAACTTTGCACTATTAGGGTGGCAGTAAACACATAAGAGCAATGTTACATGAATTTAAAAATTAGACTTGATAATTTCACATTGATGATTGCAAGAATGCATATAAAAGCAGTATTAACAATCGAAAAGTCGAAAATTCAGAGTCAAATTTCAAAATATAATTGATCCCAACTTTTGAGTCATAACTTGATTTGAATTAAATCCAAGTTTACAACGGTTAATCTTCCAGAAAAAAAAAGTGGTTTACAACGGTTCAAGCCCCCAAGTCCTAGAGTGTTAGAAAGAACCGAAAAACCAAATATTTATCAATAAGTAACACCCCAAAAAAACCAAGAAAAGATAGAAAAAAATAAAAGGAAAGTAAAAGAATGATAGACAATTGGCCATTGCCATAAAACTGTGAAAAAAATGCTAATTAAAAGTAGTAGGAAAAGAAAGTACCGTAGAGGATGGGCCAAAAATGGACCCAAAGAGTCCAGTGGACGAGGATGATGAAGAAGAGTCCTTGGGGCCGAAGAGATCCAAAGTAAAGGACGAAGGAGAACTACCCACTTGCTTTGCGTTTTCCATTTTATCAAATTTGCTTTGCTTTTTTCTTTGTCAACCAACGAACAAAACTAACTCGAGTAATAGATATGTCACTAACTAGCAACGACCACCGACACAAAACCCAAAAAGACAAATGGATAAGATTGCAGAAACACCCACAGAGAGAGATATGAAGAAGAAGAAGACGAGAAGGGAGACAGAGAGAGCACGTGAAGCTCGGAGCCTAGGAGTATGGGAAGAAAATGCAACGGTCACTGCCATTTATAGGCCCAAATAAAGACGGTACTCACCCATGTCCATGTGCAGTCATTCAAAGCTCCCATGACCATTTACCATCTCTCTCTCTCTCTCTCTCTCTCACACACACACACACACAAAATAAGGGTCGCAGACATAAGTCAAAGAAGATTATCATAAGGAAGAACCGGACGTTAATATCCCTTTGGGAGAAGAGAGAGAAAGAAGACAATGGCCCATATGGTCGAGCCCCACAAGAAAAATGGATAAGGTCGTCTCAAGTCTCTCTCTCTCTATCTCTCTCTGATTTTTCTCTCTCCCCACTTAAGCTTATTCGGATATGGATCGCCTCTAGCCAAACAGTTTGACCCTTAATTGTTCCTTTCTTCTCTTATAAAAATCGGGGAAAGATACCATGCAATGAAGAAGATATTAAAGCAATTCTTTCTTCGTCATTTGTTCGAAGAATATCAAGAACGAATATTTGATCGTCTACACAGAGAAAGAGAGCCATGTGACGAAATACCACAGCCTTTCTTACCTTTTTTTGAGAATTTATGAATGGTTTACAAAATGACTAAACCCCAAGTCATTTGCATTTAAGAATATTGTTTCTAGAGGGAAATATAGTAATGTAGACAATATTTTATTATCCTTCAAAGGAGAAAATATTCAATACAACGGTGATATTATGTTAACATTATCACATGATATTATCGATCAATAATGTATAAATAAATAAAGAAATGAACCCTATACAAACTAATAACTATTTGTTCATGTAATTCAATAACTACAAACTCTTCTTCCATGTAAGTGAAAAATTATTCAAGTGAGGTTCACCTTATTAATTTGATATTTTATTATTGATCGAATATATCTTATCACAGTGCTATCATGATATTACTGTTGTCATGAATATTTACTCTGGAGAGAGAGAGAGAGATCAGTATTGAAGTCATAATTGGCTCCTTACTCCTGCTGGTTAAGGGATGGTCTTCTTGGCCTCTTGTGGACTTGCAGTTCTATGCCAGAAAGTCCATTTTTTTGCCATGTGACCTTTTCATTTCAAAAATCAGAACCCATCTCATGATCAATCATCCATGTGAAAAAAAAAATAACTAGAATTTTTTTTTGGGTCAAAATAACTCTAAGTTCAAAATTTTAAAATGATCAGTATAAGGATTGAACAATTCTGTTTGATTGTTGAATTCTGATAGAATTCAATTTAAAATGTTAATAGCTTAATTTAAGACTAGATTCTCTCAATCCATCCAGCCAACCCTTGCTCCACCCTTAAGTTTGGTGGATCGATTCGCCACTCGCATGATAATTGCTCCACAATAATTGTATAGTTGTGTTGGTTAAACACTATTTATACATTATTGTGGTTGACTAGAATGAAAATTTATGATGAAGCTGTTGAAATAAGTGAATTCAAGATCATTACGTTGCTCTTGTGATTGGCTAAAATTTATGTAGATTTTCAAATTGGTTTTGATAACGTCTTTTGAAATAGTCTAGGCCAATCAAAACTGTCCAAGAGGCTATATGTTAGATGATATTTTATGAAAACATTGTTTTTTTTTCTATGGGTGGTAGCTATGTTTTAGATGAACAATCATAATGCTTTAGATAAGGACATTAGGGGATCCATGGCCAAAAATGTTTGGAAAGTGGTCCTCAAAAATCCAATTGATTCCACTCAATTTGAGGATATCTCAGGGGTGTCATTGTAATTACAATAACTTTTCTTCATGGTCATTAATTGGTGAAATCAAGATAATATCAAAGTTCATGAATTTAAGTAATACTAGACTGATTAAATTTTTGGATCATATTTAGAGTTCAAATGACATGACAGTTGATTTGAATTTCTTTAATTGGTGTTATGTCATTTGGGTCTTAATAAAAACTTCAAATAATCAACTGTCATGTCATTTAGGCTCTAAATTTAATCCCAAAATTTGATCAGTATAGCATTACTCTTTGAATTTTGGGCAAGCCTTGTTAGTTGTTGTGTTGATAGAGTCGAGTTAATGATTTGCTTTCGTTAGAATTGATATAAACTGTCTCAAACACCTCTGATAATAATAATAATAATAAAAAGATAGAGTGAGGTTAGGCACCTCTTGAATCGGGAGATAATTGAAAAATTCTTTAATTTGTTTTATATGGCTAGGATTTATCCATATCAATAAGTTCAATGATATTTTAAGATTTTGAAAATTCCGTGTGACTTTTGAATAATATGAAATTTGTTGAAATGTACAAATATCAATGACACAATATAAAAATAATGACACACAGGTCGTCATACGACACAACACGAATTGACATCTCTAAACTGTTGGCCCTACCACTCCGTGTTAAACCTTATGTCACAGGTTCAAATTCAAACCTCGTTATCCTCCTTCCATGTAGTAGTGACTGACCCAAAAAATAAATTCTAGTTTCACTCAATTTCGTTTAAAAGAATCTCGCTATAAATTTAGATGGGTCCCCAAGAATCCATGGGACATGATTGGGTTGAAGGGAATTTGGAGGAACTCCAATTAAAGATGAGCCAACAATGCCCAACAACAGTAATAACAAATTATTTATTTTTTCCCTACCTAAACTATATAATCACGATTTGACGATAAGATTGTCATTTCTAAAGCAATCGATTAGAAAGTTGGGATGACAAAAAAAAAAAAAAAAAAAAGAGTGCCTTCATGAGTTGGCATATTGCATAAATGGTTGGATTTTTATGACATGCATTAACAATTTTTTGTTGGGTTGATGACGTGAGTAAGTGAAGCCTTATTTAATTGTAACATAGATGAGTTTTAAACCCAGACATTTTGAGTTTGAATCTTAACAATTTTTTAATATAAGAATATGAGAGATTTATTCTTTCTGAATACCCTAATATTAATGTGGATGATCTGCCTTTAACCAAAAATTGATGAGAAAATTAGTCGAGGTGTGCGTAAACTGGCCCTGATACATCTGATCGTTGAACAAAAAAAAAAAAAAGGAAGCCTTAAAAGATTACCAATTGTAAAGTGTAATGCCCCTATTGAAGCTTTAAAAAAATTGGATCTTAAACTATAATAAAAGAAGATACAAATAAGATTTGGTATTATAACATGTTTGACTCTGCCTAACAATAGTATTAATCGAAGCAATTGGGCATAACCCAACCCAGGTTCCATCCATTTTCTTGAAGATAGAGGGTGATAAGCATTGATCTATTCTAGTCTAGTCTCCTCTCTCTTGGGTGTTTTGTTTTGCCCTCTATTTGATCCTTATTTGAATACGTCTTCCTCTTTCTCTATTTGTTCCTCTTTGGAGAATTATTTTACTAATCATTTTGCAAATTAGATTATAATACTGATACACTACATTACAATAAAAGAAAACATACTCTAATCGAAAGTTTGGTTGATAATTTTATCAATGAGATTGGCAAATTATTTTATTAATGGGCATATTAGAGGAGGAAGATGCTTTAATAGATTCTGGCTGCTTCAATATGTATTTTCTTTCGGTTTGATTCCTTATGAAAATGACCCCATGCTTTGGTTATGCTTAGGATAATAACAATGTCCATCATCTTCTCGAAGATAATGCACATTTTCATTAAAGTTAGGCAGACTTCAATAAGTTTATTTGATGGTCTCAAATAAATTCATCTAACGACTACCAACATTCCTCTCAAAATTATTCATATTGATTTATATTGTACCTTATCTTCAGGCACAGATTACTCTTAGTTTACACATAATAAAGACTTACATGTCTATCTAAAATGATACGTGATGGTTACCAATTCGAATATCTAATCTAACAATTGTATTGATAATAATAATTATAATAAAAATATTTAAACATAATACGTTTTGGCAATATACTCGTGTGATTAAAAAGTTATTTTATTGGCATGAGTAGTTTTATTTTTTTAAAAAGCTTTGCAATACAAAGGACATTGCTTTGTATGATATTTACATTATTGTGATGTCTAAGAACAACCATGTTACGTCCAACAAAATTTTTATTAAATTTTATTTATTAAATCGGTGTGAATCATTTGATCATACAAACTTTCACTAACTATCGAATCAGTATCAATATGTTACATTATTTGGGATATAAAATTTGATAACAATTTTGGTGAAAATAACGTTTCTCGTGTAAAAAATATTAGGTATATGGAGTCTTACTAAATTTTTTTGAAACTCAAACCCATCACATTCAAATTAGTATAAAATAATTTACCGGCACCAATCCCTTCATATTTTATCCTTAGCTACTTTATTCCATTCAGAATTTAGGATTCCAGATACATGGGCTAAGACCCAGGAATGTTAGTATTTTGGCACAATTCTTTGTACTTGGAACATCATCAGATCCACAGAAAGGATATTAAGTATAGGATTCTGATTGCAATGCCACCGCAATTCCTCAAATATTCCATCTTTTTTTCGATATGTAATAATTACTCGTTTTTTTTTTTGTTTGTTAGATACTATTACTGGGAGAAAAACGATAAAGTTCGAAACTACGATCTTAAGGTTTCGTTCGGTATAATGAAAAAATAGAATGATGAAAAATTAGAAAGATATATATTACTTATCTATATATTATATTTATCAATTACATATTATGTAAACATTAATTTTATATATAAATATAATAGTAAAATATATATTTATATTTTTAATAAAAAATTAAAAATTTTAAAAAAAAAACTTTTTACTTCTTATCAAACACAAAAAATTTAATCCTTCATATTTTCCATCATTCTTTTCAAATACAAATGAGGGAAGCAATGATAAAAAGTGTATCAATCTCACTTTTTATTTTCCATTTTTTCATTCACCCTAACAAACAAACTATAAAATCCAATAACGGGGCGACAGACATTAGGCAAACCGCTATCCAAAAGAATAAGGGAATATACTTGTAAAAAGAGGAACAAAAAAGAGCGCAATACAACTACAAAAAAAAAAGGGGGGGGGAGGGGGGGGGGGGTGGACAAATCAAAAATCAATTTGACCTCTGACCTCCTGATTAGGACTATTCAGTTCTAGCAAAAAGGAGATTTCATTCCGATCAAAAAAAAAAAGAGATTTCATTTTTCTCCTCTCTATCTATTCAAAGATTACATTCTTTAGCATCTTTCTTGGCAATTGCTAGGCGAAAAACCTAACAGGTTACACGAAAATCTCTATGCTCAATGAAGCATTGGAACTGTTTGAAAAAGTGCATGATTGATAAAGAATTACATTGTCAAAGCGTGTTTGTAATTTGGATTGTAGGGATTCGGATTTGGCTATAAAAACATTTTAAGAAATGCTGGTATGAAATTTGATTCATTGGACAATGATGTAAAGTGGGTTTTCGAAGTTTGGGGCTCGGGAGGTTGGAAGTGTGATGCCTCATACAACTATTGTCGAATATCAATCGGGATTGCTTTCAGTGATATCAAAAAATTACAAGATTCTATCCTAAAAAGATGTCGATGATCTAAACATAATTATCTACAAAGTCGTTTTTAAGCAAAAGAAAAAAAAAAAAGGACTTGTCGGACACAACTAAGCACTTTTCCATTTTATTTCATTGTTTAGGATATCCATCTAATATTCCCCCTAACAATTTGAATTGTATATTTATAAAAGTGTAACAACGGTTGAGATTAATACAATATTCATCCAATTTTATTCAAAAAAGAAATTTTTCACCCAAAAATTTCATCTTCTCTACAGGGCCTTTAATGTCAAACAACTTAATTAGCACACTCACCAATGTCAAATAACCCCAAAAATCAATTTGACCTCTGACCTCCTGATTAGGACTATTCAGTTCCAGCAAAAAGGAGATTTCATTCCGATCAAAAAAAAAAAAAGAGATTTCATTTTTCTCCTCTCTATCTATTTCAAAGATTACATTCTTTAGCATCTTTCTTGGCAATTGCTAGGCGAAAAACCTAACAGGTTACACGAAAATCTCTATGCTCAATGAAGCATTGGAACTGTTTGAAAAAGTGCATGATTGATAAAGAATTACATTGTCAAAGCGTGTTTGTAATTTGGATTGTAGGGATTCGGATTTGGCTATAAAAACATTTTAAGAAATGCTGGTATGAAATTTGATTCATTGGACAATGATGTAAAGTGGGTTTTCGAAGTTTGGGGCTCGGGAGGTTGGAAGTGTGATGCCTCATACAACTATTGTCGAATATCAATCGGGATTGCTTTCAGTGATATCAAAAAATTACAAGATTCTATCCTAAAAAGATGTCGATGATCTAAACATAATTATCTACAAAGTCGTTTTTAAGCAAAAGAAAAAAAAAAAGGACTTGTCGGACACAACTAAGCACTTTTCCATTTTATTTCATTGTTTAGGATATCCATCTAATATTCCCCCTAACAATTTGAATTGTATATTTATAAAAGTGTAACAACGGTTGAGATTAATACAATATTCATCCAATTTTATTCAAAAAAGAAATTTTTCACCCAAAAATTTCATCTTCTCTACAGGGTCTTTAATGTCAAACAACTTAATTAGCACACTCACCAATGTCAAATAACCCCACTAATCTATACCCACCTTTTATTTTTTATTTCTCTATCCACTTTAATTTTAAATTACATAATTAAAAAAATTAAATAAAATAAGTTTCTATTTAATATATAAATACTATACAATCAATACTCAATTGTTGGTATCGAAGAATGTCTTCGAGTACGAGTTTATTGCTAGTTTTTTTTACATATTACATATGATGATTGGTTTTTCTAGTAATTTCGGAATTATTAGGGGTTATTACCCTCTTTTTTTTGGGATATAAACACTATGCAACAGCTTTGGTAGTCTCAATATAACATTTCTATTTCCTAGTATTCTACAACATTTTCGAAAACAGAAGGAAAACCATGAAAGCTTCTGTAAGAGAAATAAATCCTATAGCAAGATTATCATCACACACTCGCCCTTAAGGGCCTTAACCAACTGTTCTTCAACTAAATAGCTTCTCATTTCCAAAGCCTGCCATCTATAACATAAAATTTTTAGGAGAGAGAATAGACAACAATGGGGCTTCTCACTTGATGCACTCCATCATCCCACACCAGAGAAGCAGACTCTATGGTGTTGCTGCCTATTCTTCCTTCAACTTTCACAACGAACGATAGCTTTTGCTCCAAAGACGTGAACGGCAATACTGTTGGTTCAACCTGAATTTTCACTGATTGTGGTGCAGTAATTTTAGCATTATAAGTTGACCTTGGTGATCCAACGTTTGTCACTGTCCTGCTGAAGTTTTGACTGAAAGATATCACCGGCGACGTTGAAAGAGCGAATGAAGGCAAGTTTAGGTCCCAGACAATTCCGTTTCTGGCTTCAGAACAGGTAGTGTTATCCCCGGTGACTTGCCGTAGGTTGGTGGTATTGTAACCTTGCCCACATAAGAACTTTACATAGTCGATTTCACCAGCGTCGTATATTAGACCAGGATCCACCGCTTTTGTAGGGTTTACATGGCCGGCGCCATAGCCGAACTCAGCATCTGGGGTTGTTGCAACACCCAGTGGAGTGGCTGAAATGACAAGATTAGTGAGGGACTAGTTTGATTTCATATGGTAGCATAGTTCGACCCACGGTGTTCGGATAAGGCTATGGTATGGAAACATACCATATGAAAATTGATCTATTAGTCATAAATTTAATTTGATTGATTTGTAGCTATTCATCATAAAAGTAATACAATTGATATAGAATAAAAAAATAAAAGGATTAATAGTATTTTTTGTCCCTAAAGTATGTATTTTTTATTATATTGATCCTTAAAAAGTATCAATTTTATCAATTTAGTCCCTAAAATATTCGGTTCGTGTCAAAATGATCTCTACATAGACAGACCGTTAAATTTTTGACAAAATGATCACTTGTTGAGAACGTAATACTGTTTCAAAGAGTGACACGTGATCAGTTCTGTCAAAAAATTTAAAGAATTGTTTGATTACGGACTAAAGTGACATAAATTGAATACTTTATGGATCAAATTAATATTTTAAGGACTAAACAAATAAAAAATGCATACTTTAAAAATAAAAAATACTGTTAATCCAAAATCACAATCTTGAAAAGTTATGCAACCTTTGTGTTAAGATTAATACTATTTAAACCTAAAAATTTAACTTAATTGACTGACCTAATGGTGTGGCTTCATTAGAATCATTAAATTAACACTAATTTTCAATATTTAATGAGATTCAGAGTCAATCCAAAGATCATAGTAAATTAAGTCAAAATCAATAAATTAGGTCTCAATAATATTGCTCTTGTGATAATAAAAACTTATAAAGAGGGTTAAGAGTTATAGCTGTTACCTGCCCCAAAGGGGGATTCGGCACTTGGAGAGTCTGACAATGGCAACATAGCACGGAGTTATTCAAGTTTTGTGTAAATATAAATCAACCCCAAACTAATTTCGATTATTCAATATTTTTGAGAAAAGATTTTTCAGTATTCGATTTTGGACAAAAAAAATCTAAACTTGATTTAAATTTGAACAATACTCCAGTTTTTAGTACCGAGCTTAAACCCAAAACCGAATAAAAAATTTGGATTCAACCCTAGTTGAACCTATATTCGAGCTTGAGTTTAGTGATTCAAGAATCAAGTTCTCGACTTGCCCCGAGTTCCCTAAGATCGACTATCACAAGAAAAATTAGGTAGATTAGTAATACTATCGACATAAAAAGATATATATGGTAGCGAAATTTGAACATAAAAACTACTAGTACTTTTAATCTAAAAAAAAAATAAGAATATATTTTAAATAAAAAATCTCGCTTTTAATTGCGGCCTCGAATAGACTTAGGCTGCCCATGGATGTCACTATACTATATTCAAAACCTTAAAAGTGATAGCCGTTATACCTGCTCCATAGGCGTCTTCTGCGTTTGAGCTTGCTGCAACATCCATTGGAGATGCTGAAATAACAACAGAAACAAGGGAGTTTTTTTAATGGTAGCTTATACACCAAAGTGTTGTAACTTGACTGGGATTGAGTCGTGTCGTGACCTTACTCTTATTCTAAAATAATTTTAGACGTGATACAAAATTTGGTACCATAGTCAGTTACATTATATGAAAAACTCAAAAATGTTCTGAGGTGTTGTTACCAGTAGTCATAAGAGCAGATTTAATGGCAGCAGGAGACCATGAAGGGTGAAAGGATTTGACATAGGCTGCCACCCCGGTAACATGAGGGCAAGCCATAGACGTCCCAGAAATAATATTGTATGCTTCTCTTCTTTTGTCACCAAGTACTCCAGATAGTGGACCATTGAGTGACCATGCTGCTAAAATTTCAATTCCAGGGGCAGCTATATCTGGCTGCAATAACATCCAAAGTTTGGAATGATGAGTGAACTGGAGATGGTTAAGGAATTATTTTTGGATTTAACCTACAATTGATTGGGTGATTGATCAAAAAGGGTTGGTTTCCATAAAAAAAAAACCACCATCAATCATCAATTCCGAGAGGGAAAGCAGGTGGCAGATGAGCTTGTAATGATGGGTGCAGAGGGTGATCTGGAAACTATATGAAAAATGACGGATTTATCGCGTGGATTAGCTGGACTAACAAGGATGGATAAAATTGGCTTGATATGTATGAGGAAGTAAAAATTTTAAGTGTTTTTAGATTTGCTATTATTTGGATTGTATTTTTTGGTTTTGTGTTCAGGGGTTCGCTATGTAATCACTGTATTCCTCCACGACAAGTGAAGGTTAATTAATAAACTTGGAGGTACCATCCTCCTTTATTTTAAAAAAAAACCCATCAAAATCAGCACGAAAGACTTCCACTAGGAGAAAGTCATCTCTATATATACCATGCAGTCATCTCTATATATACCACTAGGAGAAAGTCATCCCAACATACTCGATTCGGACACTGGTGTAACAATGTAGAATTGATATCAAATACATCTGAATGTAGACAAGGTCATGAGTGAGCTAGATCTCCATGGTTTGGTTGGTGGAAGAAATGTAAAAATATCAAAATTCATGGAGGTGCAAAAATTATTATTTTTTTCAAAAACTTGCCACCATCCAGGTATTCAGCAAGAATTATATGTCTAAATCGAAGCAAGAGATTGATGGAGCTAATCCAAGTAGTGGATATGAGAAGACTGATTGTTTTGACCTACATAAATTGGATAGAGACTCGTACTAGAAAAAAGAAGACAAGAGGCTGATACATCTATTACCTTGAGAATGTCACTTGTAATAGGGTTTGGTCCCCTTGATGAGAGTGAGGCCACAAATGGTGCCAGCGTGTCATTAACCTCAGTGCTCTTCAATATAGTTGCAGTAGCATTGCTATTTTAACATACAAAACCACCAAACAAAGCTTCTCATTGTTTAGCTATATACGTTCATTCCAAATGGAAAGACTATAGTATGTTCACCAAAAGTTGTTTTTCGGTGCCAAAATTGAGGAAAATTATGATTCAAATGGTTCAAGTCACAACTTACTAGATTTAAACTGGTCCGGACATCTCTAACCATTAAAAAAAAAGTTTAATATATAAAAGTATCGAAAAAACTTAGTTATGGCTCAAATGATAGTCCAAAAGATGAGATTGAACCTCACAAGATGGGATAAATTCCCATGGCAATGTCCTAAAGAATTGTCAAGATTCGAACTCATAATAGCTCGTCCATGATACTACTTGAAATATCTTCGGGGTTGATATTATATATCTGAATTTCCACCAAACAAGAAGAAACATATTCATCTAGATTTGTTTACCTTGTCGAGTTCAAGTAGATGAAAATACTGGCACCATCATTTTCACCAACGTAAGTAGCAGGCAAAGGAAAAGAATAGGCGACATCCTTTGCCCCGGCCGGCCGACAGTGCTGGCTGCCCATCACCAATAGAATCGCAGAGAACAATTTTGCCGTTCACTAAAGTAGGGTCTAATGAGTTATCTACGCAAAACCTGCATTTCCTTAATTATTTAATTTTCTTAGCAAAATTACTGCTAAATTTAATAAAAAAATGAAAAGAAAAATGTTAAATAAGCTTAAAAACTTGACTTGATGAATCACTATCAGTCTATCATTGAATAAGTAGTGAGTCTCAATAAATACTGCTATCCACAGTTAAATCCATGACAAATATAACAGTCGCATCATCAAGTCAAGTTTTTAAGTGATTGCTCAATCGAAAACCACGCTGGGTTGTAGGGTTCATCTTTTATGAAATGATTTAGTGTTACCTGGATAAGGACCGATTAAAACCTCCGGTAATATTGGGTGCATTTCCAGCATAGATCATAGGATACATGGAGTTTTTTAGGTCAAATGTGTTTATCGAAACTCCCTACATATATATATATACGAGACAATTAGAGAACCAAAATGATCAGTTTTACAGGTTTTAACTTGATTATGGCATGGGATTAATCAAACACGACCTGGTTTAAGTGGTATAAGTTGACTCCCTCTTGTATTGTCACTTATCGTTGAAAGATAAATTGTTAAATTTTTAATAGAATGATCACGTATTAGGCACATAAAACCGTCTAAAAAAATGACATCTGGTCATTTTCATAAAAAAAATTTGACAAATTGTCTAATTAGGGACTAAAATGACACGAATTAAATATTTTAGGGATTAAATTGACAAAATTGATATAACGAGGACTTAACTGACAAAAAAATGCCTACTTTAATGACCAATAATACTATTAAGCCAAAAATGTTGTAATCAAAATCAATCATCTTAATGAATACTTTAAAATAAGTCAATGTATGTCCTAAGACTATTATATATGAACTTGCTAGTCATCCCTTTAAAATAACTTTGTATTAATATTACAATCTGTATGCCCTATAATATTATATATGAACTTGTCAACCACCCCTTTATAATAACTTTGTATTACTACATTGTTGTGGTTGAAATGATGTCACAGCAAAACAGTTTTAATTGTTTTTTACTTAATAAATTGTGGACAAAATCAACTCTATGGTTTGAAAATGGATAGTAAGAAAGTATTGAAGATGTAAAGAAAGCCTCACCTCATAAACCATCTTGTTACCTAGTTGCACTTTAGTTGAGAATGTTCTATCTATAGTGTTAGCTCCAACCGTAACAATCCATGGTGAATAATTTCCAATAGTTGCAAGATCAGGGCCATCGTTACCAGCCGAGGCCGAGGTCAATATCCCATTCTTCATGGCATGAAAAGCTCCTATGGCTATTGAATCATCAAAATAATCTGAAGGAAGAGACCCCGAAAGCGCCCCAAGTGAAACGGATAGAATATCGACTCCATCAGCAATGGCATCATCAAATGCTGCAAGAATATCAGCATCAGCACAGCCATCAGACCAGCATACTTTGTACACAGCAACACGTGCTGATGGAACCGCGCCTCGAGCTATCCAATCCGAACCCCATTAGGCTTGCCATGCTCACTAGTCCTCCAGCTGCAGTTGATGAAGTGTGTGTTCCATGGCCATCTGAATCCCTTGGAGATTCGAAATCTTCTTCACCCAATGATCCATTGGCGTGATAGTATCGTGCCCCAATAATTTTACTGCGTTAGTGTAAGCAAATTTTGTTAAGGGCATATCATAAATTTGATAACTTTTGTTGTGTCGTATCTAGCAATCTAATTTTGACACGACATGGCATGACACATTCATTCTCACTTTCAATGGAAACAATATGCATATGACTGTTTGGAGTCTTTAGACCTACTTGTTACACGTGAAATTTTCAAAGTTTTGGCAACTGCCCTTCCATTTGCTTGGTGGAGGACCAAATCCTTCATCGATGAAACTATCCGACTCTGGCCAGATACCGGTGTCAAGAACTCCGATGATGATGTCACTTTCGATGTTTGATCTATTGACATGCTCAGAGAAGCCCAAGAAATCCCATGACCTTGTCGTGTGAAGCTGCTTCTTTCCATTGGGGAACACAGAAACCACCCCAAGCATATCTGAAAACCAATGGTAGAGAAAAAGTTTGTTCATTGGAACTTTAATTAATTATTTTTAAAAAATTGACTTTGATTTATATATAGATTCACACACCAGACACTTTTTGCTTCTCCTCCTTTGTAAGCTTCATAACAAATCCATGGAAACTCCTCTTGTAAGTGTATAGTACAGATTCTGATACCGTACTGCAAGCCATTCATCAGAGAAGCTAGTGTTGAAATAACTTGAAAATTGATGCTCTTTTGGGTGTTTTTTTTTATTCCCTTACTTTTCCTTTTGTTTTTAATTTATTGGTGTTTGTTGGAAGAAAAAAATTGGAAGCAATTAAAATCATTGTTTCTCTTTGTTAGAGTATGTGTGGTTCATATTTGTTGTGTGCACAATGAAAAAGAGGCAGATGTTGGAGCGGAACGCGCGACGGCATCTGTCTTGCGGGATTTGTATAAAGGAGATGCTGATTAGTTAGGGGTGCAGGGGCAATGCCCCGCGGTACGGTACATGAGTATTTTTGTAAATACATCCGTATTAAGGTTATATAAATACTTAAAATGTAACCTTATTTTTAATAATGAAAAAGAACGGCCGCTCGCTCTCGTGGATGTAGGCACATTGCCGAACCACGTAAATCTCTATGTGTTATTTTCTCTTATTTTTTTTAATTGTTTGATTCCTTATTATTCACTATAATTACTGCACGATCACAACACTCTTTTTTTTTTTTGTGACGATAAAATAGCCATTGTGTTTTTGGACAAGGTGAAACTGAAACATTGTTGAAGAATAATATCAAACAAATTAATATAATTCAAGAGATAAATGTGTCAGGCACGCGGTCATTTTTCATACAAATTCTAACAAACTTAGGTTTGAGATAATATGGAATTAGTACATGATTAAGCAATGAGAACAATTAGTAAAGGAGATAAAGTAAGATTGAGGACATAATTTAGCCAACCACCTTAGTTGCAATTATGGATTCTGACTCTCTAAAAATTTTTCAGAAGATAAAAATTTTATTAATCCGAAAAGGAGATATACAGTCAAGCCCAAAATACGCCACAAAGGCATACAAAAAAGTTTTTCAATACAAAGAAACCCACAAAATACGTCAAAAAGATCAAATATTGCAATGACCTTCAAGACAAACCTACTAGAAGGCACACAGAGTAATTCTCACTAGATAATTGCTCTAACTCTACAAACTCTAAAAATATACTTGAACAAAAATACCTTCCGAGAACTTGCTTCAGCTTGTCCATGTGTCGGGACGATGCAGAGTGATCATCCTCATGCCGATGACCCATATACACAATATATTCCTACATCAACAATAGGATAGTTGCATGTAACATAGAAAAAAGGTAGTGGTTGTAACGACTACATAAGACTCTCACTTATAATCGGTGATCTTTTTTTTTTCTTAAAAGCCACCCAGTATGGATGGAAATTTGGCAAGAGCCCTACCTGTATATATAACTAAAAAGAAAAAAAATACAAGGAAGGAAGACAAAGAGCAAGTCTCCAGAAGTGGAAGATTGCTCCCCTGTTGGAAAGTAGGCTTAAAATTAGGAAAATTAGGAAAACAGAAAAAGGACAAATAAAAGATAAAGATATTAACCAGACGATCATCATCAAAAGCTGTAGCCCGGAGACTAATGAGAGTACAAGAGAGGGCAAGAAGGAGAAGCCAAGAAACGCTAATAGGGTTTTTACTTGCCATTTCAGTGGCTTCTCAAAAATTGCTGTTTGTTCAAGCCCGTAGAGAAGATTTTATAGAAGACAGACGTCAATAAACTTGCTAATTGATTTCTAAAATGCTATGAAATTGACCTGTTAGTTCTCCTAACAAAGAAACTCCAGCAAGGCCTGCTTTAATACTTAATAATTGTTGAAAGAGTAAACGTTTCAAAGAGGAAGAGACTTCTGTGTTTAAAAAAATTTCTGTGAATTTATTATGAACATGAAGGGTTTAATCTCGTCATATGATAGTGATTGACAAACTGCTCCTCTGTTAGAAAGTCATAGCAAATTTAAATATGGTTATTCTTCTTCTGCTGGTTTCCTGCACATCTCTGTGGAACTATCTGATTCAGTTTCGGGATGAGGCTTCATGGACCCCTCTTCTGCATATCTTCTATCAGACGTCTTCTGTATTGGTTCTCTTCTTGTATCTTGGTCTTCTCTGTACTGTTTCTTGCCTGGCACTTATGGTGAGGATCATGGGATCCTCTCTTCAGCCGAGTAATGGTCTACCATATTTAATTCAGCCGACTGTCCAGCTGCCTTATTAGACTTCTAAAATGCCCAGACCAATGGCCTTTTCATCTGCTCTCAGCTTACTCTACATTTATGGTTCAGTTGTCCCTACCATATTTAATTCATCTCAGCCGCTACTCTCAGCTCAGGTCTTCAGCTCATTTATTACAGCAATTATTTTTCAGCATTAGTTGATAAGGATTGCTTTTTCTGTCCTTCTTGCTGGTTGGTGCTGATGTTAGTATTACATGTGGCTTGCTTATGGTTCACACGTTGCTTGCTGGTCTGTGGTTGCTGGTCATCTCAAGTGCTAATCCTTGGTGCTGCTTTACTTTGCAAATGGCTTGCTATGGGGGTTGTTGCTGGTCTTTCTCAGTGGTGTTTAGGGGCAGATTTGGTCCTGTTTTTGTCTATTTTTGTCTCCAAATATATACTTTTGTCAACAATTCTGTAAGAAAAACTCTTACTCAAAGGATCTCTTACAGACTTGTGTTTTATCTTTGAATCCTACGCGACTTCACTATACATTTTGTAGGTAATAATCCTTGTATATCTGTTTTCTTTTAATATATTTTATTTTTTGAAAAAAATTATATTTTATCCCCTTAAACCATTACCCTTGTTTTACTTTGTACCCTCAATTATAAATTTTTTTACGTTGCAGTTTTAAATATTAATTTTATTTCATATTACTCCAACATATATCGACAATCAATTTTTTGTCAATAAATACGCATTTGAGTGATTTGTACTGCCAATAAGTAACTGTCTATTGCACATGTACTGGTCAAAAATTAAAAAAAATATCTATCAATAATTTTGTCCTTCCTAAGCTCCAACTTTTCTTCCTTTGGCTGACTTTCTTTTTCTTATATATGAAATAGGTTATGAGATAGGTTTTACCATATTTCTTAAGGACTAAGGTGATGGGTGATATTGTTGCACCTGTGAAATTATTTAATGTCTGATTAGTCCAGATTATAAAAATTGTAAATAGGTGTATCAAAAATCTAGTCGCATCTCATCCTTGGAAGACCGGAATGGGGCGTGACATGCTCACCTTGTGGGTGTACTTTATTTTCACGAGTTCATTCTATAGCTACGTGAGTAAATCTCCAAATCACTCTTTAACGCAGTGCTGCTATACATGTTATGATGCACCATATTATCTAGCAGCGTGCCTTGCCATTAGCAGCAACTAACTTGAGCCCTCCACGATGTGGGTTTCTTACGAAGAATGGCCATGAAAGTTTTAAAATGACACTTACGACAAAACCCTTTACTTTAATATTCCTTAAATTTTTTCCAAAGAAAGGAGCTATTTCGAAGTTTCTTTCGCGGCAAGACCTGTTTATGGTCCCCGGGAGGCAGACCTATGTGGAGTGGCATGCTCAAAGAAATTATGTTGAGGGATCCTAGTTCATGCAAATTATGCTACAATCGATATGTTGCATATATATCCTGAAGAGCAACGCTATGGAGCACATAACTGAACCAATATTGGGTCACAATCACATAAGCATCCCATGTCGAGTTGCTCAATCCAAATATACTTACCTATTCCACAAATGAAGCTACACCGTGGAAGGGTTGCAGCACACACCTTTATCTAAGGAAGGTGCATGACTTCCAGGCACCTATAAGGCTCACGATGGTCATCTTGTCCTCTATAAGCTCAGATATATGCTGGGTTCCTTGATTCTTACCAAACTCTTGGGTTCCTCAAACTAATCTTATGACACTAGCACATGGGTTCGACGAAGAACACTGGATTAATCTTTATGCTCACGGATCTAGGTTGTAAGGGACTTTGGTTTTCAAATTGAGCAAACTATAAAGGGTTGTTGCGACATGGGTGGACACATATCCTCGACGAGGCAGACTCGTCTCCTCGATGGCGTGGAGAAATGACCTCTTGCAAACCTCTTCCAATGAGCCTTATCCAATTTTACACACCCTATATTGTAATGATTTTACAATTTCAAGGCCATTATGAGAAATTTCATTCCTCCACACCCATTTGATCATATCCTACGCCGGCCTCATGACTCAAAGGAGGGGTCCACCCTCTATTTTTTGGGTGAAAGTTAAATGCCGATAACATCATCCGCAAGACCTCCTGATTCGCGACAACCTCCACACAGCATCATCTCGGCATACGTGGACCATATCTCCACTGACTTGGATATTTTTAGGGGCCCACATCTATGCTATTAGCAAATCATAAAGCCCAAAATTTTACCCTGCACGACAACAAATGTGTACCACCACTAGGATTCACTAATAAAAGTTGAGCTGACTTCGTCGTGAGATAGTCACAGCTTGCACCCCTCAGAGTGTTAGGCCTATCTTGCTCCGCTGAGTGTTAGCCCTATCTAGTCAAGGCCTATCACATGTTTTACAGCTAACATGCTACATATTATCTCCAAATGCATCGCTATGGAGGGAGTAACTACAATCAAATCCAATCATATCTTGACCACCTGTCTTCATAGAAAAAGTTTCTTTGGCCGAAAGAGTTGCGGAGGCCACCATGAAGTGAACCCATAGAAAAGGCATATTCAAGGGAATTATTTTAAGAAGCATGTTCATTTCCACATGGGATTTTCATAAGCTGTGGTGCAATTCATAGGGATGCCCATTTTCGTCAAAAGCTCACCAATGCTCCTTATTCAAAGCCTGAAATTTTGTAATTATGAAAGGTCTTATTATTGTCTCGAAGAAAGGATTTCTATTTCCTCGAAGAAGTATTAATCAAGTGATCTGAATTCGTGTGGTGATGGCCTAGTTCGCCTTTCACTACGAAAGTACAAATGGAGCCTCGTTCAAAAGATGAGAGTGGCAACACAAGCATATCGCCATAGAAATGATCAATCGTAAATGGATTCTTGTCCAAAAAGGCAAGAGTGGCACCGCGAGCATTTGGGGGCAATCCTAGCATGACCTAGCTAGTCTGCCTCTCTCCCACCATAAAAATGGTAAATGGTAATTGGATACCCTCAGAGGTAAAATGGTACATTATTGCTCAATCGGACTTAACATAGAGCAGTGCGAATAGAGTATGATTTTCAGTCTCAGCCCGAGGTATCGGGCTTCGAAGGCTTAGTCTGCTGGAGCAGGCCACCTAATGTATGGCTCACTACTTATTGGGTTGGACTTGACTGGGATCCTAAGAGACTCTGATAAAGGGGTAAATAGTTTCGATCAACATATAAAATGAGCATGATTGTCAGTCTCAGCTTGAGGTACAGTGCTTCGAAGGCTTAATCTGCTAGAGCAGGCCACCCAATGGATCGGTCGCTGCTCATTGGGTTGGCCCAGACTGGGATCCAAAAAGCTTCTTACACAAAGTCGATGGTCTTAATCAATAAATGGATTTCTTGGTCATCCTCATATGGGGGGCTGGTTTTTCAGGAGACTTACATCAGCACTTTGCTATGGTGATAATCTAGAAGCATATTTTATACTCCCTAGAGACATATTTTATATAATCTGGAGGCATATTTCAATTTATCTGTGGTCAACCTCAAAAGGTGCGCTAGGATTTACCCTATATGTGAAGGTCATCCTATTTTCGTGGACTTCAATTCGTACACTTGGTGATGGTGACTCTATACTTTAATTGCGTGAAGGACATTTTATTTATATGATAATCATTGCACAAGAGGGAGCACATTCTCGGCAATTATCTTGCCTATTGGCAGTCAGTGCATCACTAAGAGAACATAATCGCTTATATATTCATATGCCCAGTGTAGCAGAAATAGACTCAGTTAGTGGTATTCTTAGAGCGCTATCATTCACATATCAGGCTCTCTCATCCAGAACACTTGGCATTCTAAGATTCCTCGCGACCATTATGCATGCAAAGCCCATGAAAAGAAGGTCCATATATGCAAGGGAAATTAGTCATAGCAGTGTTTTTGGCAATGGAGAAATAATGATAGAGGACTCGGAACCATTTTACGAATTTATTTTACTTTTTAACAGCACTGTAGTCGGCTCACAAACGACAATTACAGTCAAAGACAGGTGCAGACAAACTATATTGTGCACGTGCAAGAAGCTTCTCGTAACTTGGTGCACGCAGGGGACAATTGTAGTGCCCGATAAGTTTAAGACACATGTCTCCACCATAACAGGACAAGTGGTAATAATTATCAGTTGATATGGAAAATGACGCCCGACAGAGTTCAGCTGGACTGGTATACATAACAATGACAAATGTGATGCCCCTAGGCGTGACGCCCCTTGGCGTGACACCCCTGGGCGTGGTGATGCCTTTTGGCGCGATGCCCCTTGGCGCGACGCCCTTAAGCACAATACCGCATCAGGATGAGATACATCTCCATCACATTGAAAGTTGCAAAATGGTCCTTTCATCAAAGTTGGACAGAAATGAAATCGCAGAAGTGTGGGGGCAACCTCGGTGAGACTCGTCTCCCCCACTGTCGTTGCTCGACTGGCTCATTGGACTAAAAGGAGGTGTCCTCACCTAGGGGCATAGAAGTATGGCCCTCCTCAAGGAAGAACTGAGCAGCGAAGGCGGATGGGCACGATTGTCAACCTCGACTTAGGATAAGGTCTCGAAGGTTTAGTCTGCTCAAACAGGTCTTCCAATGTATGGCTCACTACCTACTATGATATACTTGACTGGGATTCGTAGAGACTCCTAAGATAACTAGGGTTATTGACCCGGATCAACATATGAGATGATGAGAAATGTGGATTAGTGGCTGAAGTACTGAACCTATGTGAGTTTCCTCTATTGGAAACCTCGATAAAGGTCTCGAGGAAGGGTCTAGAGAAGGAAAAAAGGACCCCGGGTAAGAGCACTGGGGGCATCGCAGACATGGCTCTCTCGAGGTCATGGTCCCACAGTGACCAGTCACAATCGTGGACCTTAGGAGTCTGCTCTTGCCTTGGTTATTGCACCTTCCGCAGGGTCACGTACAGGTTGCGTTTGAAAAAATATCGCATCTGCCTAGTTAATGTTGAGACAAATGACTCGCATTAACGGCCACAAGTATCATCGCGGTCAAGGCAATTGTGAGTTCGCACGGGTGATAGGGGGTCGCGGTGGGCAACCCTTTGGGTAGCTCGACCTGCCAGAGCACTGTGTTATAAATGCCCACATTACTTGCCCATTGTGGAAGATGATTTTTTGGCTGGTGAGAGTATTTTTCACCTACCCTCTGCCCAACTGGTTCATCCATTCGTTAACAGGTTGTTCGAGTTTCTTTCATCTCATCCACTTATCCTACTCACCCCCTTCGATTACCCTTGGTATAGACATGTGTGTCAACCTCTTTTAACTCCACACCTATTAAAGTATTATTAACCCTAAAAAAATAAGTCAAATTGTTACGGACAAAAATATTCATCTATTATGAAATGAATTAGTTTTACCTGGACAAGGACCGATTAAAACCTCCAGTAATATTGGGTGCATCTCCACCATAGATCATGGCATACATGGAGTTTTTTGGGTCAAATGTGTTTAATGAAATTCCCTGAATTAAAAGCAAAATAGAGCCAAAATGATTAGTTTTACCAATTTTTAACTTGGTTATCACATTGTACTAATATATAATCGGATTAATGAAATTACCAAGTCGAATGATTAGGTAATAAAATAACTATTTCACCTTAATATTATGGATTATTAAAAAAAAACCCAGTTGGTTTGAATTGTAATAAGAGTAATCACGCATAGAGCAGAGGATAGGATGTTTCACCTTGTAAATCATCTTGTTACCAAGTTGCACTCTAGTTAAGAATCATCTGTCTATGGTGATAGCACCAACAGTAAGAGTCAGGGTGAATATTTTGCGATAGTGACAAGGTTAGGTCCACGGTTACTGACTGAGGCCGAGGTCAATATCCCATTCTTGATGGCATGACAGGCTCCGATGGCTATTGAATCAATGAAATAATCTAAAGCAACGGACCCTCTGGAGCCAAGTGAAATAGATATAATGTCAACCCCATCGGCAATGGCATCATCAAATGCTGCAAGAATATTAGCTTCGGTGCAGCGAGTGAAGCATACTTTATACACAGCAATACGTGCAGCTGGTACCGTGCCTCGAGCTGTTCCCAAATCCCAATCCAAGTCCCATTAGGCTTGCCATGCTCACCAGGCCTCCAGCTGCCGTTGATGCCGTGTGTGTTCCATGGCCAGTTGAGTCCCTTGGAGATACGAAATCATCTTTACCAACTGTTCCATTGGCATTGTAACACTACGCTCCAATAATTTTGCTGCATTATCCTTGTAAAATGAGTAAAGGGTATTCCCACAATTCGTTTCACCTTCACAAAGGTGATGGGTTATATCGTGTCGTATTTGTCAACATAATTTTGACATGACATGACACATTTATGATTGTTTAGACCTATTTGTTACAGGTGAAATTGTTGAGGTTTTGGCAACTCCCTCCATTTGTTTGGTGGAGGAACAAATCCTTTATCATTGAAGCAATCGGACTCTGGCCAGATCCCACTGTCAGTCACTCCGATGATGATGTCACTTTCGACAGTACTTCTATTGACATGTTGAGGAAAGCTCAAGAAGTCCCAAGACCTTGTCGTGTGGAGCTCCTTTTCTCTATTAGGGAAAACAGAAAACACACCATACATGGCTGGAAGCCATTGTAGAAAAAAAGTTTGTCAATGGGGATTTTATTCACTTCAAAGAGAAATTATTGTTTTATTGGTTCACTCACCTTCTACTTTTAGCTTCTCTTCGTTTGTAAGCTTTATGGAAAATCCATGGAAACTCCTCTTGTAAGTGTAGAGGAGAGATGCAGATACAATTTCACTACAAAATTCCATTCACCAGGGAAGAAGATCCCCCATCCCCATAGCAAAAGAATACAATGTAAAAGCACATTCCAAAAGGAACAAGCACAGATGACAAGATCCAGCATAACTGGACATCAAGACATGAACAGCAAAATGAAGCACCAAACAACAGCATCAAGCAAAAGTAGCAACACCAACAACACAACCACCATTAAGACAATGCAACCAATGCAAGTACCAGCAGGACAAACAACCAACAACACACCACATGCCTCACAAGTGGTGCACCCAACAATCCAGAAAAAAAAAAACCACCAATACAAATAGCAAGCAACACGCCACATGCCCCACAAGTGGTACACCCAACATGCAGATATGAAGCAAAGTGGTAAAAGAAAAATGCATCAGAGGAAGAGAACCATCCATGAACGTTGCAAATAAACACCCAACTTGTGTTACATTATGGCCCCATAAGCTTGCCCACATAGTGTTTCAAAAGCACTTGTCATCCCCAGCTTCCAGAATAACTAGCAGCAACAAACAATCAACTCCCAATCAACAAGAATGCCAGGAAATAGAGTACAAAAAGGAAGGCCTGGAAAGACCCGCGGCAAGAAACCGAAAAAATAGAGCAAAACAGAGGATGAAAGATCAGTAACAAAAAAACACTAGAAAGCCAATCCATCGCAACATTGACGCAAAAAAATAAGAGCATCACACCCTCTAATCATTCTCCACAAACAAACGGGTCACAAGCATTCCACAGGAAAGGGCAACACCAAAGAAAAAACAGCCACATTCGGTGGGATCAAATATTTTGTCAGGCAAGGCCCATTGTCTTTGCAACCATGCATTAGGAATGTTTCTTTTGATTCCACGGTAGGCATGAGGCTTGAGTCTAACATTTTCCACAATCTCCTTATAAATGGATACAACATCTCTATAGGAGTTTTAAAAACCTTGTGATTCCTCTCCCTCCAAATCATATATATTGAGGTGGCAAGCATCAATTTGCCAACCAGCTTTGGAAAAGTCTGTCCCTTCATATTTGCAGCATACTAGTTAACCAAATCTGGCCAATCAAGTCTTGGCCATTGAACATTCACTTTGCCTTTCAATGAAATCCATATTCTCTCAGTGAATGGGCATTTGAAAAAGAGGTGGTTAATTATGAGTTTCCATTACTTCTCTGCAAAACACACAATGAGTTAATTTGAATAAAACCATATGATATTAGCTTGTCTTAGGTGGAAAGCTTGCTTTGAACAGCCAATCATAAAATAAAATTGTATCTAGGCACAGCACCAGAAAACCAGACAATATCAGCCCAAGCTTGCATCTGGCCTTTCACTCTAATTACCTCCCAAGCAGATTTGGAGCTAAAAATCTTGGTTCTAGATGGCAGTCACAAGACACCGTCCCTCTGATTTAGGACGGGTTTCATATTAGGAGAAATACCTCTTAGCAGAGAAGTTAGCAAATTGATTTAATTTGAAGTTTGATCCTTTTTTTTTTTGGCTTATTATATTTTCTTTTCATCGTCTTTTTCATTTCTTAGTGGTTGTTGGATGATAATAGTTATAAAACAATTATGTATGTCTAATCTTAGATATGATTATTTTCTTAAAACAAGAATAAAATACCAGTAGTTGTCTTACACATCCTGGGCCCCTTTAATTATATTAATTATTTTCACATTGTCCCAAAATGGACCATAACATTTCGGATGAAAAATGGTCATGTGATATTACGTTTTGGGGGCAGTTTGAACACAAAGCATAATCAAATGATAAAGTGAAATCAATTAACACAATAGAGGGGATCATGTGTTAGGTATGAAGGGATCGAAATTCATTTTGTTCTTTGTATTTAATAAGTATTACATGACCAAATAATTCAAGGAAGGGCACGTAGCAGAAGGGGTAACATTGATATCAGGAACTTGATTTAGCCATGTTTGCACTCATTAACAAGATGAAACTTTATCAATGGCAACCGTAATTAACGTGACTCTGAAAGTTTAAATGGACAAACCAACCTGCCTAGAACTTGCTTTAGCCTGTCCAAGTGTCGGGATGATGCCGAATGATCATCCTTATGCCGATGACCCATATACACAATATATTCCTGCATCAGTAAGAAGATGGTTATCGGTCCTAGTAAGTGCGTAAGACTCTCGTTTATAACGGAATTTGGGACTTTGGAGTAGGCTTATTCAGAGAAAAACAGAAAACTGACTACTAAAATATAAAGATATTAACCTGACAAACATCATCTAAAGCACCTGCTGGGATAATAAGCAGAGCACAAGAAAGGCTAAGAAGGAGAATCCATGAAACCCTAATAGAGTTTTTACTAGGCACTCTCAAAAACCTGCACTGGTTCGAGCTTGTAAAGAAGTTCTTATATAGGACAGACATGAAAAAAATTTGGGAAATGAATTTTAAAATGCAATGAAATTCACCTGTTAGCTCTCCTAACAAAGAAAGTTCTGCTATAAGTCTTTTTCAATACTTTATTATCGTTGAAATCGTAAAAATTTCAAGTAAAAAAACTGCAGCTGCTCATTTGTTGTGTTATTTTTTGGAAAGAAATCAAAAGAGGAAGAGATTTCAATGGTTAAAAAATTATATCTGGGTTTATTAAATTAATAAATCACTGTGAGTACAGAAGTTTTTCTACGCACGAGAAATTATATGTCAATCTGTGGCAATTAAATATAATCACTGAAGGGTTTAATATTCCCATTGACATTTGATTAATGAATGTCCTCATGAATTGAACAACATGGTTTAAAGTATCAATCGATATTGATATACGTCGGCCGAGTCATATCCGACTCGGTGCCTTTGAAGATGATACTATTACACGACGCGTATAAACCTCAAGTCTCATACAATTTGCCGAGTCATCTGAGTCGTATCCGAGTCAATTCCGAATCGTCAAAATATCATCACAAAATTGGCCGATTCGATTCAACGACGCCGTGATATAACTTGAATTTCTCGTCATATTCAGTGTTTTCTTTTAGGTCGTATCATTCGATACCGCGCCGCTATCGATGTATCTCAAAACTCTATGAATTAATGACCGATACCGTAACTTTAAATTAAACAACGGTTGTAAATTTAAATAAAATGTTCGCACGAGGAAGACGGCCATGGAAAGTCATATGATGACCAGTTCAGTCTCTTATATTTTCTGGACGAGTTTAATTATGTTGCCGAGTTATATATTTAAGTATATTGGCCTTCCAAGACTATTAATGACAATTATTTTTTATAGAGTAGGTGTTAGAGGAATTGACTATAAATCTTGTGCTCTAAAAGATTCGGACATATTCCAATTGAAAAATAAACTTGTTTAGAGTTTTATTATATTTTTAATGTGGTTCATGTATTAAAATTTTATTTTTGTCAATAAAATAAAGCATTCACATATTGCCAAATTCATTTTTATTAACAAGGTTTTTTGACATATCGGTTGGAGAGAAAACATATGCCAACTTTTACCGTTGAAAGCTCCACCTGGCATTTAGCATACGAGTAATGTTACACTAATCAAATTTTGGGATCAAATTTAGAGATCAAATAACATAACAGTTGATTATTTGAAACTTTTATCGGGGTCCAAATGACATAATATCAATCAAAGAAGCTCAAATCAACTGTGATGTCATTTGAGCTCAAAATTTGATCCCAAAATTTGATCAGTGCATCATTATTGTTAACATATTGGTTTGAATTGTTCTAAATAGAGTATATGCTCTGGTGTTATAGGCAACTAGAGTTAAGTGGAGTTGTTCCAAGTATAGATAAAACATCACATTTGAAAAGAGAGAAAACTAGTAGGATGAAAAGGTTGATATATTAAATTTCTTTCATACTCACCAAAATCTTTACCTTAGAATTTTGAGGAAAATTTATTATATACGTTGAAATGTATGTTATTTACTTTATATCTTATAATATATATATATATATATATTATTTATCTGTTACATATTATGTATACATTTATTTCATATATAGATAAAATAACAAAATATGTATCTAATTTTTTTTACAGCCTTCTATTTTTCTATTCTACAAAAAAAAAAATATCAATACTTCCTACTTTTCATCTTTCTTACCAAATACAAAGGAATGAATAAATAACTCCCCCCATGAAGAAGAGAAAGTAAATTACTCTCATTTTTCGTCCTTCTATTTTTTCATTCACCCTATTGGACACACCATAAATTCTTTATTTTGTATCTTTACTTTCCTAACTATCTTCTTTCCTCCTTTCTAGTTTTTCTTTCTTGGTTGAAAACAATGAAACTACTCCTCAAAGCGACCGTTACCAACTTTTCTAGTCTTCATTTTCAAGCTATCAGATTCCCATTTCACCTTTTTTTTTTTCTTTATGTTCTATACAAGGTGGCTCAAAATAATTTGAGGCCTAAAATAGAAATATTGAATCAAGTCTTTTTTATTTTTAGTATTAGATTTAAAAATAAATTAATTTTAGCAAAATTTCACCTCTTCTTTAACAACCCTTCTCACTTGCGGGCAATGTTTTTGGCCAAGTACGTGTGAAAAACTATAATTATAACGATGGCGGCCGGATGCAAATACTTCCTATTTGATATTATAAAAAAAATTACAAACTCATCCAAAGGATTGAACTATTAGAATTGGCATAACATTAATTTATTAATACTACAAAAGTTCTTATTAGTCTGCTTTTCGGCTTGTTCTTTTGTACATAGTCTTATTACAAAAGTCCAATGGGTTGAATTAGAAATTAATAGATTAGATAAAATAATTTAGTCTAATACAATATAGAAGGACAAAAGACAAAAGACAAAAGACAAAATTAAATATGATATTAGAATAATGAGTAATTTTATTTAATATTTGGTAATAAACAGCATAAACGGTAGATAAGAGTTATTTAATTCAATCGGTTGTTTAGTTAGAGAATTATTTTATTGCATTAATGTTGAATTAACAAAAATAATTTCAATCAGTATTTGTTACATTAATGACAACTTGATTTTATCAGTTAAGGGTTATAATAATAAACATGTAAAATAATACGTTTGAGTTAAATTATAATATCATATTTTTTGGTGGTATTAAAATACCTCCATAATGCATGTCTATCGTATAAAAAATATACGATTAATATACGATTTTGAAATTAATACGGTATCAAATTTATTTACCAAACAAAAAAATAGGTCTCATTAAATAAAAAATAATACAATTTAATATTTAATCCCTTTATAATACGCTCCAAACCAGCTCTAAGTGTACAATTAGTGTCCCACCAAATACAGAAATGGATTATAAGTCGTTAGAATAGATAACAATGGGGCTCCTCACTTGATGGGTGCCATCATCCCACACCAGCGAAGCAGAGACCAGAGTGCTGCTGCCAATTGTTCCTCGCATCTTCACCATGAATGAGAGCTTTTGCCCAACAGCAGTGAAAGATAGTACTGTTGGCTCAACTTGGATTTGCACTTGGGGGGCAGCAATTTTAGCAGTATATGTGGAATTCGGTAATCCAACGTTTGTTACAGTCCGGCTGAAGTTCCGACTGAAAGATATCCCCGGCGAGGTAGAAAGAGCAAATGTAGGAAGGTTCAGATCCCAGACAGTTCCGTTTGTGGCTTCAGAACATGTGCTATTATCTCCGGTGACGAGCCGTAACATCGTCGTATTGTAACCTTGGCCGCACAGAAATTTTATGTAGTCGATTGCATCGTATACCAGACCAGGATCCACAGCCTTTACAGGATTTACCTGGCCGGAGCCATAGCCAAATTCGTATGGAGAGACTGTTGAATTCATTACAAAGGCTGAAATGATAACACACAAATCCATCATAAAATATTATGATCAATCTTAATATTTTCACCTTTATTTTTAAACAACTTTAGATTTGATACAGAACTCGGTAGTGTAGTCATTAATTATTATGAAAAGATCAAGCCTTATTAGTTGTTACCAGTTGTCATGAGAGCAGATTTAATGGCTGCAGGTGACCATGAACGGTGAAAGGATTTGATATACGCAGCCGCCCCAGTGACGTGTGGGCAAGCCATGGATGTCCCAGAGATAATATTGTATGGTACTCTTCTATTGTCACCTTGTACTCCAGAAAGTGGGCCATTTAGAGACCATGCTGCCAGAATATCAACTCCAGGTGCAGTTAAATCCGGCTGCAATCACATTCAAAGTCTAGAACGATGAGTGAACTCAAGATGGTTATGAATTTTTTTGGGACTTACTCTCTGATTAAAGATCCGTATGAGCAAAGAAGTTCCATAGACCACATCCAATATGTAAGGATTACTGCTTTGTGTTGTGGTAAAAGTTTCAGGCTAACAAACGTGAGTCTACGAATTTGAATATGAGGACAACCACAAGTAAATAATGTCAAAGATTATATATGCATCGAGTCATCCCTCCCAATATGCTTTGATTAGTGAGTGCCAAATTAGGGTAACAAAAGAAAAAGGTAGATATGAATAAAGTCTTTCAAATGTAGACAAGTTCATGGGTGAGCTAGATCTCCAAGGTCTTATTGTTGGACAATTGTTAAAAAATGTTATTTTTACCATCATCCAGATATTCAACGAGAATTATAGTTTAATCCAAGCATGAGGGATTAGATTTGATTGATGTAACCGATCTCAATAGTTGATATAAAAAAAAAGTCGTTTCGTTCAATTATGCAAAATATGGTAAAATTCAAACCCGCGCTCCAAAGAAGTAGACATGGGATGGCAAATCAATTACCTTGAGAATGTCACTTGTAATAGGGTTTGGTCCCCTTGAAGAGATTGAGGCCACATATGGTGCCAAAGTATCATTCACCTCATAGCTCTTCGTTATAGTTGCTTTAGGGTTTCTGTTTCAAAACACAAAACATCAAAAGTAAGCATTGGCATTGCATTTAAAACTACGATTCAAAATGGTTCAAAGATTTGGACAAATCCCAAAGTTTGAACGTCGTTATATCAATCGTAGCTTTGGTCTGATTGAGTCTCTCACTAACGCAATGATCCCTCAAAACAAAGAGAAATGTGATCTTTGTGAGTTTTACCTTGTCGAGTTCAAGTACTTGAAAATATTGGCACCATCGTTGACCCCAAGGTCTGCTGCCGGCAAAACAAAAGAGAATGCGACATCCTCGTAATCAGTATCTTGCATCACCATCCCGGCTGCTCCGGCCAACAGTGCTGACTGTCCATGATTAAAAGAGTCGCAGAGAACAATTTTGCCTTTCACTAAAGTTGGGTCCAATGAATTTTCAATGCAGTTCCTACATTCCCACAATTATTACAATTGCTTAACACAAGTACTGCTATACTATACTAAGAGAAGCAAAAAAACCACACCATTGATCACAAGGTATATATTCCAAGCTTGTAATATAGGGTTCATCTGCATTGAAATGATTTAGAGTTACCTGGACAAGGACCCGTTAAAACCTCCGGAAATATTTGGGGCATTTCCACCATAGATCATAGGATAAACAGAGTTATTGAGGTCAAATGTGTTTATTGAAACTCCCTGCAAAGAGAAGCAAAATGATCAGTTCTACTATTTTTAATTTTTTTTGTTTGGAAGGTAAATAATTTTATTAATCCGAAAACACGCCACAAAGGCATATAAAAGAGTTTTCCAAAGCGAGAAACCCACAAAATACATCAAAAGATCAAATATTGCAATGACATTCAAGACAAACCTACTAGAAGGCACACACAGTAATTCTGAAACATTAGTTTGTTAGTACTAAGTAGAATATTACACACAAATAAGTGAGTTAGAATATCTTATATAGATTATGATATTTTGGATAAAATCATGATAGAGTGACTTATTAAATTTGGATATTACGAGCATACAAAGAAGAGGATAGGAAGCTTCACCTGAAAAACCATATTGTTTCCAAGTTTCACGTTAGTTAAGAATTTTCTGTCTATTGTGCTAGCAGCAACAGTAAGAATCCATGGTGCGAAATTTGAAACAGTTGAAAGATTAGGACCATCGTTACCAGCCGAGGCCGAGGTCAATATCCCATTCTTCATGGCGTGAAATGCTCCAATGGCTATGGAATCATTGAAATAATCCGAAGGAGGAGACCCCGAAAGAGCACCAAGTGAAACAGATAGAATATCGACCCCATCGGCAATGGCATCATCAAATGCTGCAAGAATATCCGCATCATAGCAGCCATCAGACCAGCATACTTTGTACACAGCAATACGTGCTGATGGAACCCCGCCTCGAGCCGTTCCCAATCCGAGCCCCATTAAGCTTGCCATGCTCACAAGTCCTCCAGCTGCAGTTGATGAAGTGTGTGTTCCATGGCCTTCTGAATCCCTTGGAGATACGAAATCGTCTTGACTAAATGTTCCATCACTGCGGTAGTATTTTGCTCCAACAATTTTACTGCATTATCGTGGCAACGTTTGTTAAGTGTATACAAAGAATGATGGTTCATGTCATGTCTTCTCGTTTCGTGACTAATTTTGACACAACAAGAAATTTGACAAGCCACATTTTTTATGTGACAGACACAATGCATAGGATTTTGTAGACCTACTTGTTACACGTGAAATTTTTCAAGTTTTGGCAACTGCCCTTCCATTTGGTTGGTGGAGGACCAAACCCTTTATCAGTGAAGCTATCAGACTCCGGCCAAATCCCAGAATCGAGCATTCCGATGATGATGTCACTTTCGGTGGTTGATCTATTGACTTGTAGGGAGAAGCCCATGAAGTCCCATGATCTAGTTGTGTGGAGCTGCTTCTTTCCGGAAGGAAATACAGAAACCACCCCATGCATTGCTGAAAGTGAATTGTGAAGAAAAAGTTTGTCAACTGGAACTTTGATCACTTTAAAACAGAGAATTTTGTTTTATAGGTTCACAAACCTGCCACTTTTTGCTTCTCCTCCTTTGTAAGCTTCATGGCAAATCCATGGAAACTCCTCTTGTAAGTATAGAGTACTGATTCTGATGCCTTGCTGTAAATTTCCATTAACCATAGAAGTTAGTGACTTGGCATAAAATTGATGCTCCTTCGGCTTTTCTATTCTCTTATTTTTCTTTTCTATGCATCTGTTTATTGGTAGTGGTTGAAAAAATGTAGAAGACACTTACTTAGATGTAACCTAAAATGATTATTTTTCTTCAAAGCAGAGTAAATTAGAATGACACCCTTAAGTATATATGGTCAAAGGTCATACAATCTTTGAACAATGTGGAATCAATTAACATAATTAAGGGACAACGTGAAACCAACTAATGTCTTGTGATTATAAAATAATTGGTGTGATGGTGACAATAAAATAATTGGGCATTACTAAAACTACCTGCCAAGAACTTGCTTTAGGTTGTCCATGTGCCGTGATGATGCCGAGGGATCACCCTTATGTCGACCACCCATATACACAATATAGGGCTGCATTAACAAAAAAAAAAAAAATACAATTAGCGAAGAAAAAATGGAATATTCAATACATAACAGATATAAACTTTTGAGAAAACTTAAACTAAAACTGGGCCATAAAAAACCCATAGAGATATTTGTATGGTTGAAGCCTTTTAAGCACCATGAAGACAATCATAGAAAACAGAAGATGACTAACAAAAGATGAGGGAAGACAAGAGTTTCCATAGAGATATTTGTATCAGAAGTTAATAAGTAAATAAGAAGTAGTTATAACTTGTTTATGTCAACTTACAATTCAATAAGTTACAATAAAAAAAATTAGAATTAATCATAAAATGTTAAAATTGAGTCTAACTTCCAATACAACACTGAAAAATATTTTTTTGGTATTGTAGTTTTCACCGGAACATAAAGATACTAACCTGACGATCATCAAAAGCTGCAGCTGAGATAATAAGCAAACTACAAGAGAGGCCAAGAAGGAGAAGCCATGAAACCCTAATAGAGTTTGTGCTTGCCATTGCAATGGTGGATTCTCAAAAACTGCTGTGGTCCGAGAATGCATGAAGAGAAGTTTTTATAGAAGACAGACATGAATAAACCTGCAAATTGAATTCTTAAATGCTACCAAACTTCACCAGTAAACTCTCCTAACAAACAAACTTTCTTCCAGGCCTGTTTCTAGACGTTATCATTGAAACAGTAAGCATTTTCATAGAAAAATCATGGGTCAATGGGGACAAAAAAATTTCTTTGGATGATCATTATTCATTTGTAGCACTTAAATACATGAGTGTGAATGGTTCAGCTTGGCATATGACAGTGACTGTTGAACAGCAACTCCCTAAGTTAACGACTCATGTAGCAAATTTAAATATAAGTTTTACACCGACGGCGAAGATGACCATGAACATCTCAAAGTCAAATGATGGCCAGTTCAATCTCTTATCTGATGCTTTGATAGAGTTTTTTGTTTTGTTCTTTATTTTTTTTGGAAGCCTGCATTGAAGCAATTTAATTGTAAGTTTAATAAATTAGTTGACTCGTTCCATATTTTGCATATAACTTGCTTCTCATGTAAGTAAAAGTAATGACGATTTGTTCTTTTTTTCCCTGATACAAGAGGTATATCCACCTAATTTATTCAGTGCATATGCCAGAAAGATTCAACGAATTAAAAATAGAGGGATTAATAAAATTATCTCTTTTTAATAGAGGTATCATATTAAAAAAATAGTCTTAACAAGTGCCTCAAGGCACGATAAAATATAAAATTTGAGCATAAAAAAAATTGATCTCACTATATTAAATTTTTTTAAAATATATTAATTATAAATTAATTAAATATTAAATAATTAAATATATGATAGAAATGAGTGATATAATTTGACGTTTGAGTCTGACAAATGAATTATGAGTGAGATAAGTGATTGGTGATGATTTTGAAGGAGAAAATATGATTGGGATAAAATTCAAATATACTCCTGTTTTATTATATAAATATTCATGTCTTCAAAATCATATAAAATTTTGTTGATGTTTTGTATTGTATATAAACTCAAAAGGAGAGAGTATAAATTAATAAAATTAAAAATTGTATACTATGCACCATGTTTAAAAGTATTCGCGAAGTATTTACATATTTTATTAATTAACAAATATGTATGATGTGTATCTGATACATATTTTTGAGTATTCAATAAGTATTGCATTCAATATGATATTTGATACGAGTATGTCAACCTTGACAAAGTATTTGTACCTTATAAACTGTAATATTACATATTATGAGTGTATATCAGGCTTCTAAATCAAATCTACCATTCCATCCTTTTTTTTTATTTTCTTTGTTATAAATCTATAATATCAATAAAAGTGAAAAATTTTATTTGATTATTTTGCCCTTGATCTTTGTTATAAAGTCAATTATATCATCTCATTTCTTTTTCTTTTTTTTTACAATTAATTACATAATCTTCTCATATCCTTTCATCTTCTTAAATTAAGTATGTGCATATATTTAACATTTAATTATATTCATTTGAGTTTTAACAATTAATTTTAACCTTTAATTTTCATTTTTCTTGACCAATCTTATCTTATTTTTATCTATATCTATGCTACTCTTAAAAGTCCCTTAACCCAAAATTTTTTTAATTTTTTTTAATTCTTCATCTATACTATAATCACCATAAAGCCAATTTGTATCTATACCTATATATCTATATCTATGCCTATATCTTACGTTGTTTAGACTCTTCCAATTCTGTTAAATTTATCTTTCATCCTAATTATTGTAACTTAATGGCAATAAATATTGATTAATTATTTTAAGTCTTTCATATTTTTATTCTTTCACAAACACAGTGTTATTTAATGAATACACGGTGAATCAATTCAAGTTATTATTATTTCACACCTCAATCGAACTGTTTCTCCTTGCCTATCTCCCTTTCTTTCTCTATCTCTGACTCTCATTCTCAAGGTTTGTCTACATTGCTAAACAAGGGAAAAAATCTAGAAATTCTTACCTACGTCAGTGAATCACTATCATTTACAAAGCAATGAGTCATGTTTCTCAGTCTGCAACAAATGAGATCGAACCAAAAAAAATCAAACACCAGAATCATCTAGGCTACAATGCTTCAGGTTAGTGTGTCTCATTCGATGTATGCTATTGATTTTCTTTTTTAAAATGTTCTTTAGCTGTTTTTTATCTTTCCAAGTGGCTTTCTTGTGTTGGAGTTTGATTCTAACAAGACTTTGTTGTGGTTATCTATCTTTGACTAGGGTTTTGAATAGATTATTTGGATGGTGCTTAATTTTTGTTTTAACAATTTGGGTCTCTCAACCAAAAAAATAATAATAATATGGGTCTAAGCGGGCAACTTTTCTTTAACGGCTTTGTCTCTTTTATTGTTTTAGTTGTTGATCTTTTTGACAAATTTTTATTGAGCTTGGTATTTGAATTAGTGATTTTTTTGAGATTGTAGAATTAAGATTCGATTGAAATTATTGTTTTTCGATGTGTTTTTGATTTTGTGAACTATTGTTGACCTTATACGCAATTAATATTTCTATTAGTACACCATAGAGGAAAAAAATTGTAATTTCTCTTTCAATTCTAAAAATTAGATTCATATTAAGGAAATCATGTTAAAGATGACATTAAGACTCAAGTTTTGGATCTTATAGCCAAGTTGAATTAATAACATCAGCGAGTTTTTTCATGTCGACGGTATAGGTTTTACTATTGCTTGTGCTATTCTACCAAAATTTTCATTACTTGCGCAAGGCAATATCAAAGTTAGTGAAGATTGAGGTAGGATGAAAGCTTATCTCAAATCGGAAAGATCAACCAGAATAAGATTTAGTAAAGCTGTGTTAATTCATATCAAGCATGTTTTTTTTGAAACGAATAGAAAAGATATGTATTCAATATAATTCAGCTATCACCTAGCAATTTCTTAATAAGCAATTTCTACAAGCTACGTGAGTAAAAGTCCCACAAGGTAAAAGTGGTACAAGATTGATGTGATGGACGTGCTTGGCAAATGATAGAATTCCACCTTCACATGATGGTTCCCTTGCCGTAAATGGCAGCACTTGAAAAAATCCCAATGTTAGATAATTTAGCCAATGGTTGAATGGAACATTGGTCTTTCTCAAGTGTAAAAAAGTAAAGAAAGTGATTGACAACATATTTTATATTATTGCACATTTCTAGAATTATGGTTTTCATTATTGATTCTTTTTAAAGTGCAGTTGTGTATTTTATAGTTAATGTTGGAGTGATGGTAAAAAAAATGGGTAGGAGTGAGTCATTGAAAGTAGTACCACAAAAGAAATATTATTCCTATTCATTGAAGGATGTGTTATTGAGCTCTTTGTTTCATTTGACCTCATGACAAAGTTTATCTCCCTCAACTTTGTTTGTTTTATTTGTAGACACTTGTACATATCTTTTTTTTTTTGTTCTGTACCCTTTCTTTTATATTTCTTGTTATTATACTATACTTGTTGGACTCCTATTTGGATTGTGTCCCCCTTGGAGCTTCCATCCCACTGACTGCAGGAGCAGATATAAGCTTTCTTCTTACTACACCTATATCTTTTAATTTGAAGATTTGGACATGTGAGCATTTCACGAGATCTTTCTATTGTTTTTAGAAAGAGTGACATTTTCTCAATGACTATTTGGTGATTCAAATATTACAATTTAAGATGTCTGAGCATTGCATGTGGTGATTTTTGTTTCTTTATCAAAGTAAAATTAAATTTGTAACTGATTTTTTTATGGGTTATATGTTTTTTCGGTGAAGTTGAGAGAGTTTTAAGACTGCTTAATAGAAATTGATTCTTATAATGTAATAGAATAGGGTGAAGAGCAATCTCTTTCGATCATGTTGTTGTTTCAATCCTGTGACTCTTTTGGATTTGAAATGCATATTTTCATTTGACTATTGCTTGGACTCTTACTTGGCTAGCAATGTTTTGGCATTAAACCCTGTCACAAGAGATGATAGCAATTGAGCAAAATATTGGAAAGTATATGAATACAAAGTCAGCAAATATTAGGAAGTATATGAACACAAAGTTATGTTATCCTACTATAGTACAATAGTTCCAATATTATCTGTAATTTTCTTAAATTTCCTCAATATATGCTTTTGGACAATTAGATTGACATGTGCTACTGAATTTCTTGAATCTCTTTTGGCTTGAGACATGATTGTCTCACAAATGTACTAACACATTTACCTTTCTTGCATACTAGGTATCAAGAAAAGGTGATGATGCAATTGATTTGGAGCAACTAGAAGAAGACACATATGGCATTATCCTTCAAACAAACAGTCACTCTTTGAGATCTTTGACTAACATGTCAAGAGTAGGGGGATGGTCTACATAGAATAAAAGCGTGGTTACTTGTCTTCTCTAAGCATATATAGAATATTTATTTTAATGTTTTATTTAATGAATGATATGGCAAGCTTTATTTATGTTCTGAATCCTTTATTATTTTTCGTTTCTAAAAGATTTTCTCATTCATTATGTTGTGTTTCTATCACAATTTATAGTCAGCTTGTATAGAGCTATAGAATAAAGTTCACACTTCTTACTATAGTATTTAGTTTATTTGCATGGAATTTAGAGTTGAATACTAAAGTTTCATCATTTTTTCAATTTTTGGTCATTTTGCATAAGAATCTGGTTATTGAGACCTGAATTTGTCTTAAGAGTTCAAAAGCATGAATGCTAGAAAATGTGAAAAGTGCAAAAGAAGTTCAAAAAAATTGCACTTCCAACGATAAGTGGACAAGTTTGTCGAAGTTTTAGAAGTTATGTCTGAACATAAGTGGTTTAGTTGGCTGAAATTAATGAGTGCATTTTTAATGAGAAACACAATATTATGATACGATTCAGTGAGCATTTATAGTATGTTAATGGAGGATTTCTTACTGTCAGATGTAGTGATTATGATGGAAACATATATTCTTAGTCTTTGAAAAAATTTAGTGGACAAAGAGAGTGTTGTCTTCATATATTGACTGCAACACCCTACTTCGCGTGAAGTTAAGTCATATGCGATAAGATGAATCCAATTGACATATATTATGTATTAGACAGTTGTTATTTAAATTTTTTCCTTATTTGCTACCTTAGTTCATATTGGAAACTAATCTTAACTATAATTTACGTTCTTTCTTTATCTTTCAAAGAAGTATTTGAGAAAAATATTTAAAAAAACAAAAATAGAAATAGAGAAATGCATTATTTTTCATTGCATATTTTATAAAATATTAGTTTAGGCTGTATTTTTTTTTTTTTTTTTTTTTGGGGTGGGGAGGGGTTTCCTTGTAGAGCATGGTTATTGGTTGTTTATTTTTTTTGGTTTTTTTTTTTTGATGAAAGACACAAGAAAATACATACTAAAGTTATGTATTTGGGAAAAATTGATTTAGAGATTAATATACAATATTCAAACACAATATATTCCACGTGTAACGCACGTGTGCATCAACTAGTATTTGTAATTAATATTTACCATATATATCCATTTTTCATTAATGAAATACATTACTTATCAAAAAATATATATATATTCGAAATATTTATTTCCTTGACTTCTAGATTGCATGATGTTTTGCAGAGTTCATGGAAAACCCACTTTAATATGGTAGGTTCCATTTAGAATTTTTGTAAATGGCATACCATTAATAAGGGTATCACGAGTCACTACAAAAAAAAAAAAAAAAAACAGAGATTTCCCGGTGTTTACAAACGTCGGTAAACAATAAGAAAACATTGGCAAAACCACGTCACGGCATTTGTTTTTAACGTCGTCCAAAGCTCGACGGAAAATGTGCCGGCGTTTGTTTACACGGTAGAAAATATTTACCGGCGATTCCAGTGACATAAGGCAATACGCCGGCTCATTTTTTCTAACTCCGATCACCAAAAAGTTATTATCGGCATTTGAATCAACGCCGGAAATGAAATCCAAAGCAGTGCCACTTCGCCAAAAATACTCAAGATACCTCGTTGTTTTTTGAAAACATTTAGAGGGTATATGCTGGCACTGGACCAAAACGCCGGCACTGTGAAAAAAAATAAATAAATAACCTACACATTCCGGCGAAACTTGTTTCTACTGACACTTATAGGAAACGTAGGTTAATAAACGCCGAAATATACCTATTTTCTTGTAGTGAAGTCTAATACTTAAATGGATTTGGATCCTTTGAATTAGTTCCTCAGCAATCATAAATCAAACTTACTTTGCCTCACTCTGCCACTCATGTTCACATATAAAATTTACTAGAAAATTATTATATCATCATAATTTTCTAGTAGAACGATGTAATAACAACATTTTTTACAAATAACATGATATAATGGATATTTCTTTTGAAGAAAAAGTGTATCAATATGCCACGTCATTCTAGTAAAAAATTTAATAGAACAATTCAAGTTATATATTATTAATCAATTTATTGATGGTCCTATTAACAAGGACCTCTGTACAACACCTATTAGTTTAGTAGACTTTCTCGAAAAGGTACCTTGAGGGTTCTTATGATTTGAGAAGTAGAATTTCAAGAAGGATGGATTTGGAACTTTCAATGATGATCAGTATCATAATAAATGTTAGTGATTGACAAAACCCTGATAACATCGTTAACAATTGTAAAAAAAATAATATTATTTAGATTTAATTTATTGACTTATTTTTTGGTAACAATAGATCACTAATTTAGGAGTGTCCATGGATCAAGTAATCCATGAAGAAGTTTTAGAGTCTGGACCAAAGTCGGATAAATTTTCAAAGAACCAAAATACCCGGATTGCTAAGATTTTAACGGTCATTCCAAAGAATTACCAAAAAAAATTATAAAGCGATTGTAACATATACTTCTTGAGAGATTGGATTGCCTGAAAGAAGGTGATTTATGATCAGCCTACATTCGCTTAGCTCGATAAGCATGGTATAAACCTAAGTTCGAATGCAGATTATTAATCTTTTTCATATTTCTTTACTCTTTCAATGAAATGAGCATTACATTTCATTCTTCTTTCAACTTATTCTTCTAAGCATAACATCTTCCCATGCATTTTCGAAGCCTGTCCAAACTTTAATGGATTATCCGGAGAGAGAATAGACAACAATGGGACTTCTCACTTGATGCCTCCCATCATCCCACACCAGAGAACCGGAGGTTGTGGAGTTCCTGCGTATTGATCTTCCTCCAACCTTCACTGTGAACGACAGCTTCTGCCCAAGAGTCGACCTCGGTGATCCAATGTTTGTTACAGTCCTGCGGAAGATCTGACCGAAAGATATCGCAGGCGAGGTAGAAAGAGTAAATGAAGGTAAGTTCAAATCCCAGACAGTGCTATTTCTGGCTTTAGAACTGGTACTCTTTGTTAAACAATCTAAAGACATACAAAAAATAAGAAAGAGATGAGACTAGGGTTTTATTAATACTGCATAATTTAATTGAATACAAGGGAATGATTTAATCTAAATACAAAGAGACTATATATAAGCTAAACAAAGAAAGAAAAGTAAAATATTATTCTACCCTTAATAAATAAAATAACCTTATATTTCTTAACATCTCCCCTCAAACTCACGATGTAGCAACGACAAGCATCGAGAGTTTGCCAACTAGAAAACGAAAACAGGAAATAGAATACGACTTGGTAAAGAAATCTGCAATCTGCAAAGAAGAAGAAACAAAGGGTAAGGTAATGGTGTCATGCTTGAGATGATGACGAGTAAGGTGACAATCGATCTCAATGTGTTAAGTTCGTTCATGAAAAATCGAGTTGTGAGCAACCTGAATAGAACTCCGGTTGTCACAATACATAGAAGTGGGATGAGAAAAAAAAAACTCTCATATCTGCAAGTAACCTACGTAACCAAACAATTTATTTGGTAGTAGATGTCATAGCACGATATTCTGCTTCGGTTGAAGATTGAGAAACAATAGATTGTTTCTTGCTCTTCCAAGAAATAAGAGAACCACCCAAAAAAATACAGAAACCAGTAACAGGTTTGCGATCTGTGGGATCACTGTCATGATCAGTATCAGAGTATGCACACAACTTCAAGGAAGAGGTGGATGGAAGTAAAAGGCTCTGAAAGATTGTACCCCGAAGATACCTCAAAATACGAAGAACCATTGCCCAATGAACTGTAGTAGGAGAAGCAACAAACTGACTAACAACATGCATAGCATATGTAATATCTGGACGAGTAATAGTGAGATATACCAAGCTCCCAACAATAGTACGGTATAAAGTAGGATCTGACAAAGGTAAACCATCAGAAGAGAAATACTTTGCGTTAACCTCAATAGGAGTATCTACAGTCTTATTATCAGTAAGTCTAGATCGCTCAAGAATATCTGTAACATATTTCGACTGAGAAAGAAGATAACCTCTGGGTGAGCAGGCTACTTCAATACCCAAGAAATATCGTAGAGAACCCAATCCTTCATTTCAAACTGTCTAGCCAACTCTGCCTTCAAAACTGAAATACCATTAATATCATCACCAGTAATAATTATGTCATCAACATATAAAGACAGAATGATACGACCTGCATCAGTGCACTTAACAAAAAGAGCAGAATCATGACTACTAGAAGTAAACTCAAGGAACGAGATCACAACAGAAAATTTCTCAAACCAAGCACGATGTGCTTGTTTGAGACTATATAACGTTTTCTTGAGCTTGCAAACATACCCAGAATCATGTGAAACACCAGGAGGGGGAGTCATATAAACTTCTTCTTGAAGATCCTCATTCAAGAAGGCATTTTTAACATCAAGTTGAGAGATATGTCACTGACGAACCGAAGCAACTGCAATAAGAGTACGAATAATAGTCATTTTTTGCAATAGGAGCAAATGTCTCCTCATAATCCATACCATACTGTTGAGAGCACCCTTTTGCAACCAACCTAGCTTTGTATCGCTCAACAGATCCATCAGAATTGGTCTTAATCTTATACACCCACCAACAACCAACAACACTCTTACCAGAAGGTAGAGGAACCAAATCCCAAGTACTTGTCTTATGCAAAGCAGAAAGTTCCTCATCCATAGCTTGCTGCCAAAGAGGGTCAAGAATTGCCTCTTTATAGGAAGAGGGCTCAGAGAGACAATGCATAGAAGCTAAAAAGGAAGTAAAAGATGAAGAATAACAAGAATAAATAAAATCTGGTAACTTTGTGGACTTACGAATGCGTGTGAATTGACGTAGAGGTGGATTCACAATCTCAGACGGAGCTTGAGGGACCATAGGAGAGGAGGTAGCTTCAGGTGTGCTAGAGAGTAAAGTGTCAGTACCTGTAAAATGATCAGTGCTGGTATTTTAAGTATTAGAAACCTGAGATGACAAACTATCAGAATCATCAGAAAAATGATCTATATGAATAAGATCAGATTTAGTCAAGCTATATGTAGTGGATGGAATAGAAAAGAAAGGTATATGCTCAAGAAAAATAACATGACGAGACACATAAAGTTTTTGAGTTATTGGATCAAAACAACGATACCCCTTTTTACCTTCACCATATCTAAGAAAAACACAAATAACAGATCGAGAGGACAGCTTGTTGCGTTCAACATGAGGACGAGGAACAAAACAAGTACAACCAAAAACTCTAAATGAAGAATAATCAGGGGCATACCCATACAACTTTTCGAAATGAGAAACACCTAAAATATGAGAAGATGAAATTGTATTAATCAAACCTACAGCAGTAAGAACAGCTTCACCCCAAAACTCACTAGGAACAGAAGAAGACAACAAGAGAGAACGAGCAGTTTCAACAATGTGCCTATGTTTTCTTTCAGCAACACCATTTTGCTCAGGAGTATCTGTACACGAAGTTTGGTGAATAGTTTCATCTAAGGCAAGCAACTCAACAAATTTATTAGAAGTGTATTCCCCACCCAAATCACACCTAAAACATTTTATAACAGCAGAATGTTGAGTTTTGACAAGAGCTCGAAAGGCTGTATATATCTCAAAGAATTCAGAACGATGTTTCATTAAATAAATCCAACAATAACGAGTATGATCATCAATAAAAGAAACATAATATCGAGACCCTCCTTTTGTGGTAACAGAAGAAGGTCCTCATACATCAGAATGAATCAAATTAAATAGAGAAGAAGAAATAGAAATACTTCGATTAAAAGGTAAAGCTGAAAATTTTGCCAGTTTACATCCACTACAATCAGAAATATCAAAAAATTTCAAATTTCCTAAAGCCCCTGTGGATGCCAAAAATCTCAAACGAGAAGACGAAACATGACCCAAACGAGGATGCCATAAATAAAAATTAGAAGAAAAAAGACTCAAACGAAAAGAAGATAAATCAACACTAGTAGCAGCAGCAGTAACTGGCACTTTTAACTCATCCAAAATATATAGTTCTCCCTTCCTACGACCTATCCCAATCAGCTTCTAAGACTGCAGATCCTGCACATAACAAGAAGAAGAGGAAAATGTGACTAAATTTTCAGAATCACATAACTGACCAACAGAAGCAAGATTTAATGTGAGTTTTGGAATATGATAAACATTAGGGAGAGACAAGTGAGGTGTGACAACAAAACCAACACCTGTTAAAGGCATAGGAGTGTCATCAGCAGTCATAACAGGAATAGAAGATGAAGGAGATACATAAGCAAAAGATGAAGAATCTGGAGACATATGATGTGAGGCACCAGAATCCAAGACCCATACAGAATGTGACATACCTGGAGAACTATGAGGCAACTGACCTCCTGAAGAAGAAGCAGACATAGCTTGTGGTTGTAAGGAGAGAAACTTCTAAAATTGCTCAACCAAGGTACTAGAATCGGTGAAAGGACCTGATGAAACTATTGCTGCAGTATTAGACTGTGGTGGTTTGTAACCCTGAGGTGGTCTAGAAGCATTAGATTGTGACTAGTTGTCAGACTTCCAAGCTTGAGATTGCTGTTGCGATTGATTCTGCTGTCTTTACTTAGGACATTGAGTCTTCCAATGACCTTTCTGCTTACAGAAACTGCACTCGTCGAAGGCAAGTCTTGTGTAAGGCTTATTCTGATCATGAGAGAATAGTTTAGAAGGTACTGCTAGCACAGAAGGATCAACAGTAGAAAGAATTCCCTTATCAGAATAAGACTTAAGACGTATCTCTTCAGCCAATAACTCACTGACAACTGAGTCAACAGAAGGAAGTGGAGAACGATGCAAAATTGAACATCTAAGTCCTTCAAAATCACTACGAAGTGCCATCAAAAACTGTATCAACCATTGCTGCTCTCTACGAGCAATATAAGCACCACATGCCTTTAATTCAGCAGATTCTGTAAGAGCCAATTGATCCCAAAGATCTGTCATAGCAGAGTAAAACTCCTGAATACTCATATTCTTTTGTTGAAGAGCTCGTATGTCATGCTCCAATTGATACTGCTTTGCAAAATTTGATTGAGTGAATAACTATTGCAGATGATCTCAAACCTCATTTGCTGTCTCATACTTTGTCAACTGCGTACCTATAGAATGCTCAACAGAATTGTTGATCTAAGTAATAATTTTTGCATTGTCTGCTTCCCAGACATCTATCAAATCAGCATAACCTGCATCAGTATTCTTAGGTTTCACAGAAGTTCCACTAACATATCCCCATAGCTTTTTACCCTTAAGAAAATTTCTCATCACATAACTCCAATACGAATAATTCTTTCCATCCAACCTCACACTCACAAACTAAAGCGAATCGTCTCTTGCTGTAGCCATAATCAACAAACAAAGAAAACCAGATTGCAGAAGGGAACCAATACCAGATTGCCAAAAAAAACAGAACAAGTACCAGATTGCCAAAAAACAGAACAAATATCAGATTGCCAAAACGGAAAAAATACCTTCTTCAACTGTGTTTGAGATTAAGTCTTGTCCCATGAAACTTAGCTCTGATACCATGTTAAACAATCTAAAGACATACAAGAGATAAGAAAGAGAGGAGACTAGGGTTTTATTAATACTGCATAGTTTAATTGAATACAAGGGAATTATTTAACATAAATACAAAGAGACTATATATAAGCTAAACAAGGTAAGAAAAGTAAAAGACTATTCTACCCTTAATAAATAAAATAACCCTATATTTCTTAACACTCTTATCTCCAATGACGAGCCGTAAAGCCATGGTGCGGTAACCTTGCCCACACAAAAACTTTATGTAGTCAATTTCGTGTGCGTCGTATACCAAACCAGGATGTAGAGCTTTTATAGGATTTACTTGGCCGGTGCCATAGGCGAATTCGGCATCTGGGTTTGTTGCAACGCTCATCGGAATGGCTGAAATGAAAACATAACTTAGGAGTTATATTGAATCTGTTTTGGGGTTAGTATAAAAGTTTTGAGGGTTACATATGTAACTCACAAGAAGTCATAAGTGCAGATTTAATGGCAGCAGGAGACCATGAGGGGTGAAAGGATTTGACATAGGCAGCCACCCCAGTAACATGAGGGCAAGCCATAGACGTCCCAGAAAGAATATTGTATGCTACTCTTCTTTCGTCACCAACTACTTCAGATTAGTGGACCATTGAGGGACCATGCTGCTAACATATCAGTTTCAGGCAGGGCCGAGCCACACATATTCTCTGGCAACTTAAACTATATTAATATTAAAATTTAAAATATTCATAAAAGTCTAATTTTATTAATAAAACACCAATTAAAAACGCAATTTATATATATGAGCGATATACAAAATGAGCCAACAAAAAAAACTCATTATAGATTTATCTATAAGATCTAACAAAAAAATTTTGAACCATAAAATTGGGCTCAATCATATATTAAATTTTAAGAAAAATTTTCATAACTATTTCAAAAATTAATTTGTTCAATCACAAACTTAATATTCATCATTAAATTTTATCAAACAATCGAAACTAACTTAAACTATAATTATTCTAGTAAACTAAACCTACGTATATGAAATACTTAACTTATCACAATAAAACTGTTCAAACTACCAAATCAAAATAATTTAGTCTAATTATAATGGAGGACTACAAGTCCTAATTCCAATTCTACAAATAAAAATAAAACAAATTAGACGACTACAAGTCCTAATTCTAATTCAACATATAAAAATAAAATATTAGAGAGGACTACAAACCCAAATATCAATTAAATATATAAAAAAATAAATCATAGAAGAGGACTACAAGCCTCAATTTTCCTAATTCCAATTCTACAAATAAAAATAAAACAAATGAGACGACTACAAGTCATAATTCCAATTCAACATATAAAAATAAAATATTAGAGAGGACTATAAACTCAAATATCAATTAAATATATAAAAAAATAAATCATAGAAGAGGACTACAAGCCTCAATTTTCCTAATTCCAATTCTACAAATAAAAATAAAACAAATGAGACAACTACAAGTCCTAATTCCAATTCAACATATAAAAATAAAATATTAGAGAGGACTACATACCCAAATATCAATTAAATATATAAAAAAATAAATCATAGAAAATGACTACAAGCCCCAATTTTATGTCAACATAAAAAAATAAATACAAGACTAGAAATTCTACTTTCAATTCAATACATAAAAAATAAAACATAAGAGATGATTACAAGCCCCAATTTTATATTTTCAATTCAACATGTAACAAATAAAATATAACAGAGAACTACAAGCGTTAATTTCAATTCAACATTTAAAAAATAAACCACAAAAGAGGGCTACAAACCCTAATTTTCAATTCTAACATATAAACATAAAACAAAGAAGAGGATTACAAGTCCTAAATTTAGTTCGATATATAAACATAAAACAAATGGAGAAGGCTAACCTATTTCGTAACATATTAGTTAATCTTTAAATGTCCAAATTTTTGATATCATCTTCCATTGATATTTACAAGTGAAACTCATATATTTGTCAAAATAACATAACTACCCTTAAATCTTTATAAAAGAATTCAGTTGGGGCAAATATCTAATAAATTTTAAATTTTTTAAAATTATATTTAGTCCCCAAAAATTTTTAAAATTCTAGTGGGGCAGCTGCCCCCACTATGAATCCACCCCCAGTTCCAGGGGCAGTTATATCTGGCTGCAATTACATCCAATGTTTGGAATGATGAAGGAACTTAAGATGGTTAAGGAATTATTTCTGGATTTAACCTAAAATTTATGGGGTGATTGATCAAAAAATGGGTTTGGTTTCCACGAACAAAAAACCCATCAAAATCAGCACGAATGACTTCCACTAGGAGAAAGTCATCTCTATATATACTCCATATATACACTGTTTTAATTCCCATACATAGGGTTCATTATGGTATAATGATAGAAGTATCGGCTTCACAATATTGAGTTTGTGACTTTGAACATGAGGAAAACAACTATTTGTAAAAGTATCGGGTACATCTGATGTAACAATGTAGAATTGATATCAAGTACATCTGATGTAGACAAGGTCATAAGCTAGATCTCCATGGTTTGGTGGGTGGAAAAATGTAAAAATATCAAAATTCATGGAAGTGCAAAAATTAATTGTTTTTTCAAACGCTTACCACCATTCCGATATTCAGCAAGAATTATATGTCTAAATCCAAGCAAGAGATTGATGTAGCTAATCCAAATAGTGGAAATAAGAAAACTTTGTGTTGAGCTAGCTACATAAATAAGATACGTACTTGACTACGGAATCAAAGAAAAAATGTTGGTCCCATAACACCAATTTTTACTACTTTAATGAGTGTTTTTATAATTTTTGTGGGTCATTTTATAATTAAAAAAAATTACTATTTTTGTTGGTGATTTATCACTTTTATGAGTGTTTTTACCATGTTTATAATAATTATTTTTACTATTTTTCTTTGGTCTAAAAAATAATCATTTTTGTTGGTGTTTTTATCGCATTTGTAAATATTTTTACCACAATGATGAAGGTTTCTTCCGATCTTCTGATACAGAGCAAGGAGAAGAGGACAGAGACGTAGAGAGAAGCGATTGGAGGAGAGAGGGATGAAATGGATTTTTATATTTCAACAAAAAAAGTCTTGTTTTGCTGTTAAAAGGAGTCAAAGTCCGGATCGAATTAATTTCTAAGGCTTTTGTGCGTGTTGTCTTTGTTTTTAGTGTTTCCTAAAACATCTTTTTTTTGTTCTCATTTTTTTGTCTTTGTTTTCAAACTACTAATGTAAAACAAAAATAAAAACAGTACCCAAACATATTTTTGTTTTCATTTTTGACAAAAATTAAAAACAAAAACACAAAACACAAGACAAAGACAGTTACCAAACAGCCCCTAGGTTTTGACATCAAGAACATAAATTTTCATGACTATCAAACCATAACTTCCTTCAAAACATGATAAAGTTTGCAAAAACATCAAGAAACAAGGATTTCATAACAAGTATATATGATTAAGAATCAAAACATATGTATATATAAACACTAGTCTCAATGAACAAGAATGGAAAAAACCTTACCTTCATCCTTAGTTTTGTGTGAAGAACTTGAGATTTTGATCCACTTTAATGTGAAAATTCTCCTTAATCTTATATTTTTCTTCTTCTTTTTTCCTCTCTAAGACTTTCTACGGTTAGAAATGTTGAAATGATACTAAAGGAGGCGGCCTTATGTAATTATAGAGTGAGAAAAGAGTCCAACCGACGTAAATCTAATACTCTGATGCATAACTCACGTTCGAACCTCATTTTGGCGTTCGAACGTTAGTTGCTCCTAGTAGTTTTGGTTTTCCATTAGAAAAAAAGTACTGGAAGGAACTGTCGTTCGAACAGACTTTCACGTTCGATCGGATTTTCACGTTTAAACGGACTTCTTGTTTCTGCTGAAACTTCTAGTGAAGTTATGGCCTATTTAGAAGTCGATTTAAAACATATTCATGAAATACATTTTTATAACCCTAGAAGTCTATTGTCTACTATAAAAATTTCAACTAAAACAGACATCAAGGTAAAAAGTTATGGTCCAAATATTAGGCATTGTCCAAAATCTTTTTTACCCAAATTTTATCTAAAATGTGTTTGAACTCCAAAATACTTCCGAACTTTCAATTCATACCCTATTACCTTGCCTAATATTTTTACTTCTTCCTAACTTCCAATTTATACCCTATTACCTCGCCTAACATTTTTATTTCTACTCTTACAATCTACATAGTTCATGTATACATCATCACATATATTAGCATTTCAAAAATAATTATGCTGTTATATATAGATAAGAATATGGGGGTTTACAAAAACCTCTTAGTTGAACATGTTTTTTCAAATGTGGCAGCTGTCTAGATCCTGCATAAGGTGACTTGTGCCTCTATGCTTTTGTAATTGTTCTCACTGATGCCTTGGATTCAGTAAGACCAATTAGTTCCTCAGACTTTTTGTTCTTGGTATCGGAATTGTCTTTTTTTGGTGTTTGTTTCCATGTTGCTGGTGCAGTAGGTGATGTCTACTTTTGATGGAGGGCTGTCTGCTTGTTGTTTGTTGCTGCTGTGATTGGGGGCTGTCTGCTGGTTGTTTGTTGTTGCTATGTTGGGCTGGGTTTGGTGCTGATTTTTGCTAATGCAAATGGCTGAACTTGGTCTGCTAAGGGGCTGATCTGGTCCTTGTTCGAATTTGTTGATCGAGTTTGATGAATTGGTTTCATGCTCTAATTTTTGTCTATCAATGTATTATTTTGTCTATAATTCAGTGGGACATGCTATTATTCAGGAAATCTCTTACAGACTTGTGTTTTGAGCCTTGACTTTTTGAATTTTTTGATGTTTGTCCTTGAGATCTATGTGACTTCATTGAACAATTGGTGGGTGATTACCATTGTATATCTATTTTATTTTTATACATTTTACTTTCCGGGAAAAAAAAAAAAGTAAAACGCCGGCTCATTTTTCTAATTCCGGTCACCGGAAAATTATTACCGGGATTTGAATAAACGCCAGAAATGAAACTCAAAGCATCGCCACTTTGCCAAAAGTACTCAAGATAACACGTTGTTTGTGGAAAACATTTAGAGGGTATTTGCTGGCGTTTGACCAAAACACCAGCACTATGAAAAAAAAAACCCTAAACATTTTGGCAAAACTTATTTCTACCGACACTTATAGGAAACGTTGGTTAATAAACACTGAAATTTACCTATTTTCTTGCTGTTAACTCTAATACTTAAGTGGATTTGGATCCTTTGAATTAGTTCCTTAGCAATCATAAATCAAACTTATTTGCTTCACTCTGCCATTCATGTTCAGATATAAAATTAACTAGACATAATTTTCTAGTAGAATGATGTAATAACAACATTTTTTACAAATAACATGATATAATGGATATTTCTTTTGATGAAAAAGTGTATCAATATGCCACGTCATTCTAGTAAAAAATTTAATAGAACAATTCAAGTTATATATTATTAATCAATTTATTGATGGTCCTATTAACAAGGACCTCTGTACAACACCTATTAGTTTAGTAGACTTTCTCGAAAAGGTACCTTGAGGGTTCTTATGATTTGAGAAGTAGAATTTCAAGAAGGATGGATTTGGAACTTTCAATGATGATCAGTATCATAATAAATGTTAATGATTGACAAAACCCTGATAACATCGTTAACGATTGTAAAAAAAATAATATTATTTAGATTTAATTTATTGACTTATTTTTTGGTAACAATAGATCACTAATTTAGGAGTGTCCATGGATCAAGTAATCCATGAAGAAGTTTTAGAGTCTAGACCAAAGTCAGATAAATTTTCAAAGAACCAAAATACCCTGCTAAGATTTTAACGGTCATTTCAAAGAATTACCAAAAAAAATTATAAAGCGATTGTAACATATACTTCTTGAGAGATTGGATTGCCTGAAAGAAAGGTTCAAAGAAGGTGATTTATGACCGGCCTACATTTGCTTAGCTCGATAAGCATGGTATAAACCTAAGTACGAATGCAGATTATTAATCTTTTTCATATTTCATTACTCTTTCAATGAAATGAGCATTACATTTCATTCTTCTTTCAACTTATTCTTCTAAGCATAACATCTTCCCATGCATTTTCGAAGCCTGTCCAAACTTTAATGGATTATCCGGAGAGAGAATAGACAACAATGGGACTTCTCACTTGATGCCTCCCATCATCCCACACCAGAGAACCGGAGGTTGTGGAGTTCCTGCGTATTGATCTTCCTCCAACCTTCACTGTGAACGACAGCTTCTGCCCAAGAGAAGTGAATGATAATACTGCTGGATTAATCTTAATTTTCAGTTTTCGTGGGGCTCTAATTCTAGCATGATAAGTCGACCTCGGTGATCCAACGTTTGTTACAGTCCTGCGGAAGATCTGACCAAAAGATTTCGCAGGCAAGGTAGAAAGGGTAAATGAAGGTAAGTTCAAATCCCAGACAGTTCCATTTCTGGCTTTAGAACAGGTGCTCTTATCTCCAGTGACGAGCCGTAAAGCCGTGGTGCGGTAACCTTGCCCACACAAAAACTTTATGTAGTCAATTTCGTGTGCGTCGTATACCAAACCAGGATGTGGAGCTTTTATAGGATTTACATGGCCGGCGCCATAAGCGAATTCGGCATCTGGGGTTGTTGCAACACTCATCGGAATGGCTGAAATGAAAACATAACTTAGGGAGTTATATTGAATTTGTTTTGGGGTTAGTATAAAAGTTTTGAGGGTTACATGTAACTCACAAGTAGTCATAAGTGCAGATTTAATGGCAGCAGGAGACCACGAGGGATGAAAAGATTTGATATAGCCAGCTACCCCAGTGACGTGTGGACAAGCCATAGAAGTCCCAGACATAAAGTTGTATGCTGCTCTTCTTTTGTCACCTTCTACTTCTGAAGGTGAGGCAAGTAGTGAAAATGCTGCTAGAATGTCAACTCCGGGGGCTGTTATATCTGGCTGCAATCACATTCACAGGTTTAAATGATGAGTAAGGAATTATTTGATCTATAAGCATGGGTAATTAAAAAAAACTTGGTACCTTATTGAAAGTTGTCATTTTTAATGGTAAAATATACCTTTTAAAGATAAAGTTATAATTATTTGAGGAAGCTCATTATCCATTGTAAACCCTAATCAATCATAAACTTCCACAAGCAATTGTAACTTCTTTTTAACGATTTTTTTATCGAACTTTTAAAATTTATAATTTTCATGATTGATCACAACATTTTAGGATTGACTATGCCATTTGCAAATTAGAACCACTAATGTTCACATATCTTTAGTATTACCTTGACGGAGTGATTGAGAAAAAACATTGGTTTCGAAAGAGCCATAGAATGGGTTGAGCATCTCAGTGTGGATTCCGAAGAAGGCAAGATGGATCTGGTGGTGGTTATTTGTGTTCCTATTATTGGAATTTTTTTCCTTTTTTTGGAAGGTAAATAATTGTATTAATCGAAAGAGAGATATACAATAGAGCTCAAAACATACCCTGATGGTACACTAGAAGTTCTCAAATGAGAAAGCTCCACAAAACACACACGCCTAGACAACAAATAATAAGCTGGACTGACCTGACCCAATATTTTGCTTCTTCAATCTATGTATGTGTTTGCAGTGTGCTCAGTGTGTCCTTAATTTCTTGCGCGTGCTCTTGGGACGTGTTTGAACTTCATTGTAATGTTTTTTTGCCGCAATCAAATGTTTTTACCAAATGAAATAAAGAAGCAAAAACCACAGTTCTTGGATGTACGTAAATCATAGTTTGAACCATTCCATATAGGTATTAATCGAAAATTATGGGTCTAGGTTCAAGCAAGAGTTCAAAGGTTAGCAGAGGTTGATGTAGCTGAGCCCAAATAGTTGACTTCAAAAAGGTTCGTTGCTTCAAGTTTTAAAAATAAAAAAATAAAAATAACACTATGTGTAAAAAGTAACATATGTATATATGTAAGTTGATTACCTTGAGAATGTCACGTGTAACAGGGTTTGGTCCCCTAGATGAGAAATAGGCCACATATGGTGCCAGTGTATCTTTAACCTCATTGCTCTTCATTATAGTTGCAGTTGGTTTCCTATTTCATCATAAAATTACCATCAAGAACAGTTCTTCATTATGCAATTATATAATTAAACCCTAATGGCTTTTTTTTTTTTTTAACCTTGTCGAGTTGATGTAGCTGAAAACTTTGGCACCATCTTTGACACCAAGGTAAGTTGTTGGCAAAGGAAACAAAAACGCGACGTCCTTGCTGTCCCCATCTTGCATCACAGTCCCGGCTGCTCCGGCCAACAGTGGTGCCTCCCCGTCACCAATACTATCACAAAGAACAATTTTACCTCTCACTAAACTCGAGTCCAACGTGTTTTCATCGCAGTACCTACATGTACAAAATCATTAATTAGCTTTTCTTAAATAAGAAGTTGTAATACTAGAAAGTTGTCACGATCAATCATTATAATGTGTCTGACAAATAGTCCCCCAGGCCTAGTTAGTACATCCTCCTCTGTGAGGAGACATCCCTTCTCCCCAAGTTGTGTGGGGTGTGGGCGTCCATTCACTATTTCTAGAAGCTCGACCTCTTTCCCAGACGAGCCAAAGTATCATTTGGCTTCGCAAAACACTCTAAGTTCGTAGAGTTTCATCCATTCACAAAGATTTAGGATTACCTGGATAAGGAACCATCAAAACCTCCGGTAGTATTTGGTGCATTGCCTCCATAGATCATAGGATATATTGAGTTTTTGGGGTTGTAAGTGTTTATTGAAACTCCCTACATAGGAAGCAAAGAGAACCAAACTAATCAGTTCTTCGCCGCTTTGATATATTAATCTAGGATTTGCAAGTTAGTCACTTAAACTACAAATTGCCACTTTATATATGTGCTAAAAACATACAAATTTCGGTTTCATTAAATTAAATGTTGCGGAAATAATTATGGTGTTATACATGGTATACAAAAACTGTTTGGACCATTAATTTAGGAGTGATAAAAAAAATATTAAGACCAAACTCTTGACTTACATAAAATATACTACGTTTGAAATAAACACCCTCAAAAATAAGTACGTATTTTGCATTTTTGTGACTAAAATCATACAACATTAAACAATTTTTGATTAATGGAAGTCTTTGGAAAAATTTTAAATAGGAAGCTTCACCTTATAAACCAGCTTGTTACCAAGTTTCACTTTAGTTAAGAATTTTCTGTCTGTGGTGCTAGCAGCAACAGTTAGAATCCAGGGTGAATAATTTTCAATAGTTCCAACACTCGGACCATCGTTACCACCCGAGGTTGAGGTCAATATCCCATTCTTCATGGCATGAAAAGCTCCTATCGCGATTGAATCACTGAAATAATCTATGGTACCAAACGACCCAATTGAAATCGATATAACATCAACACCATCAGCAATGGCATCATCAAATGCTGCAAGAATATCAGCATCATAACAACCATCAGACCAGCATACTTTGTACACAGCAATACGAGCCGATGGAACGCAGCCTCTAGCTGTTCCCAGTCCAAGCCCCATTAGGCTTGCCATTCTCACTAGGCCTCCAGCTACGGTTGATGCAGTGTGTGTTCCATGGCCCTTTGAGTCCCTTGAAGATCTAAGATCTTCTGCACCAAACCTTCCATCGCTACGATAGTATCGTGCTCCAATAATTTTTCTGCATTGCCATTAATGGAGCTTCTGTTAAGAGACAATTATTATCATTTTCCATATAAAAATACTATGGTTTTGATTAATGGGCATAGTTTGCTGATTATTGGTGAGAGGAATGAAAGAAAGCACCAACATAAACGAAGTTGAAATTTATTTTTTTAACAAAAGATGAGAATTACCAAAGTAACACATTATAAAAAGATCTACCACTTCATCAATTCTACAATAAGGAAAAAATAATAATTAATAAGCGAGCCTAACCAGAACTATAAAACACGTAATCAAAAAGTGAGTCAATGAAAACAAATTTCCAACCAAAACTGAAGAGGAAAAGAATCGGTTAATATGGCTAGTACATGTGATGGAGCATTTTCTATTTCAAAACAATTTATATTATCTATAAATGTCAGCATCTACAAAAAAAAATTAATTTTTTATTTTATCTCTAATTATTATAATAAAATTATGTATACCCCCTATATACTTTCATCTAATTTTAACTTTTTTTTTGACTCTTTTATGAGGATTTTTAAATTCTTTTAAACTCATTTATTTATTTATTTATTTTTTAAGGGGGAGGGGGAGGGGAACTTGATTCCTTAACCTTAAGAAAGCAAAGTTTTTACAAGACAAAAAATATCATTGAATCAAAGGCCCATTGATAAAAAACTCATTTATTAATAGTACAGTTATATACAATTATGAATCTATTATCTACATAAAGAAGTAAAGTCATACTTATATTAAATTATTATACACTTGTATTTACCATATTAAATTCTACAGTCAAATATATATATTATATTTTATTTTTTGGTATCCAATAATATAATAGAAAAGGTCGGAAAGATATATAAATAAATGACAGATTAGGTACTAAAAAACTTATAGAATAAATTAATAATTAAAATGTGAATTAATTGTATAGCACATAATTTATTATTTAATTTACTTACACATAATTCATATTTTTTTATAAAAACAATATTATTTAAATTTATTTACGTACATCGCACATTGCTTGTGCATAAAAAAGAGTTGGCCTACTTGTTACAAGTGAAATTGGATTGGGTTTGGCAAGTGCCCTTTTGCTAGTGCATAAAAAGACTAATGTTACATGGATTTAAAAACAAAATTTAAAAATTAGACTTGATAATCTCAACCATTGAATAGGTAGTGGATCCTAATAAATGTTGGGACCCACAGTGAAATCAATGGTTAAGATTATCAAATCTAATTTTTAAATTTACTTTTTAAATCCATGTAGCATTGCTCGCATAAAAAAGAGTTGCCCTACTTGTTACAAGTGAAATTGGATTGGGTTTGGCAAGTGCCCTTCCATTTCCTTGGCGGGGGACCAAATCCCTTATCACTGAAGCTAGCAGACTCCGGCCAAACTCCGGTGTCGAACATTCCGACGACGATGTTACTTTCTACAGTTGTTCTCTTGACTCGTTGGGAGAAACCCATGAAGTCCCAAGACCTTGTCGTGTGGAGCTGCTTCTTTCCATTAGGGAACACAGAAACCACCTCATCCATAGCTGAAAGTTCCACAGCAGAGAAATATCTGTTAACTTGAACATGATTAATTGTTTTAAAGTGAAAAATTGGTGATCGTAGTCCACATACCAGCCACTCTTAGCATCTCCTCCTTTGTTAACTTCATGGCAAATCCATGGAAGCTCCTCTTATAAGTGTAGAGTAGTGATGCTGATGAATTGCTGCAAAAAGGCCATTCACCGGAGAAGTTAGTGTATTGGTTATGTTAAAGTTAGATTAATTATACTTAACATCCTTAAACTATGACCCGACGCGATCTCATTTTATTCCTTTTATTCTCAACATCTTCACACTGCTCCTTCAATTTGTTAATTATTTTCGTATTTCTCATATTAGAATAATGTGAAACAAATTAACACTTGCATTTTTTAACACAGTGTCGCATCAAAAAAATTATTGACTAATTGACTACTTGAACAACCTGCCAAGAGCTTGCTGGATCGTCTGTAGGGATGATGCTGAGAGATCACCCTTTGGCCGATCACCCATATACACAATGTATGCCTGCATCCATCATCAAGAATACAAGGAAAAAGAGAGAAAAAAAAATGAATGACGGGTTTAACAAAATAAGATGTCAACTCGAGTTCATGAGTAAGCTGTAAAAATCCCAAATCTAGTTCACCTTGACCCTAATTTAACCCAAATCCTTCAACTCAAGTATTGTTTCATGTTTAATTTTCGTACCCGAGTTAACATTTGAGTCGAACTCATATTCATGTTCAACTTAGGTTTGGCTAATGTTGCACACAGTTCAGGTGCCATGATGAAATAAGAAAACCCCTGCTCATGGCACAATGAAGCCAAACAAAAGAAAAAAAAAAACAGAACAATAACAATTGAAAGGATTAAGCTATTAACCTTTCGATCATCATCAGAAGCTTGAGCTAGGATAATAAGCAGAATAAAAGAAAGGCCAAGTAGAAGAAGCCATGAAACACTAGAATTTTTGCTTGCCATTGGAATGGATTCTCAAAATCTATGAGAAAACTGTTTTTTCTTCAGTTTGTATAGAAGTGTTGTAATACCCCGTACCAGGTAATATAAAGATAAAGAACAATGTTATATGAACTTAAAAAGTAGACTTAAAATGTGTACTTGATAATCAAAATCATTAATTTTACTGTGACTCTCAGTATTTATTGGGATCCACTACCTATTCAATAATTGTAATTATCAAATATAAATAGTCCAAATAGCATTATTCAAAAATAAATAAATTTATTTCGTTACCATATTTAACTTACCATTCTAGTGTAATTGGAGAGGAAATTTGTAAGAGACAAAGTTCAAAGGGTGTAATTGGCAGGTTGATATTAGGAAATGTTGACCATTTTAATTTGCATTAACTTAGAAAAAGAAGACAGAGAGTAAATAAGGTTCAGTAGTCAAATATGTTATAAAAAAGAGGTGCATAATTGGTAGTAGTTTAGGGAGAGAGAGAGGCTGCAACTTTGGAGGGAGAGAGATGGCTGACAAAGGAGGAGAAAGAAGAATAAAAGGGAAAAAAATTAATGAGATTACTCTACAAAGGCACATTACGAATCTGGTGAACATTGGAGGATTGTTCGTGGTGTTTAGATTTTCAAGTTGCTTGTTTTGATTATGCAAGTGATTTATTTTATAATATGCATTCATATCTAAATTTCTTTGCAAAGAATACTTTTATTACTATCATTATTATATTCTAATCGATTATTGAGTCATTGTGGTTTTGTTATTCCTTTGAGTTCTCTTTTAAGGTTTCGCATTATTTGTTTGTGCGAAAAATATTTTTGTGAGTGGAGTGCTTGAAATTTATTGGAACATGCGTCAGGCATACTTGTACTCGGTGACATATATGGTTTTGAGATGTCATTGTCCCATCGAGAGGCATGTGTTAGAATGGGATGTACCGAGTAACACCTAATATAGATATTAAATCAACATTTATATCAAGAATCGAGAATCATATCGAATTGAGAATCGTAAAATTTCACACAAAATTCAAATAAATGATAAAAAAAAATATGTACATATTTAAAATAGGTAAGATATTAAAGATGGCCACAACAAAAGATACATGGTTTTGGACCAACAAATAGTTATTGTCTTCCTATCAATTAAGTTAAACTAAAGTAGGAAAAATTCATATTAATTCAAACATGTAAACTTAAAAAATTACTTCTCACATTTGATTGAAAAATAATTTTTTGATAACAAAACAAAAAACAGAGTATTTATTGAAAAAGAAGTAGGATTTATTAGGGATTGATAGCTATTTTTGAGGAAGAAGAAGCATACTTGGAGTGAAGAAAACATCATCTTTGTGTGATATTCATAGTCATAGATGCTTGAATGGTCGCTTGAAAGGTAGAGACGGGGAGAGACATAAGTTTTATATTTAGAGATGAGCTTCTTCTAGCAAAACGAAATTGTTTTGACTATCTAACAGTCAAAACGACAATGCTTTACTAGAAATAGGGTTGAAAAAAAATACTAAAACGAATCGTATGATTCTTTTGATTTGAATCAAATTGTACAATTCTTGCGATTCAAGTGTGATTTTTAGTCAAGAACGATTCTATGGTAAGATACAAATTGAATCACAAATCATACGATTTTGATAACAATGGAGCCTAGCATGTAGCCGAAACAAATCAAGTATGAAGCCACTAGGGATTTGAAAGATTGAATTGTTAGGTTTTGAATGATTTTATGAAGGGATTTATAATAAATACTCATTTTATTATGAAGGGATTATCGTTTGACCTTGTATTTTTGTATGTTATGTTTTGAATTGTTTATTTGGCCTCCCTGGCTCACCCCCATTTATCCCCTAGGACTTGAACTCGAATTAGAAGTTGATCGATGATTGAGTTGTTTTAAAATTGTGGACTTCTAGTTATTTTGAGTATTCTTGTGATTGAAAATTTAGATAATTGACGTTATAAATTAAAAAGGGTGAATTGTATTTTATACCTAAAAATATTTCAAGTTTTTCATTTTATACCCTTAGATTAAATTATTCATATTACATCCTCAATGTATCAAAAGTGTTACAATGTGATTCTTATGTTAGTTTTTATGTCAGTGTCAATATATTAACTTCTCACAAAAAAAATAACGAAATCCCTAGTGAAAAATAACGAAAGGTCACATTGTAAGACTATGATATATTAAGGGTACAATGTGAAAATTTTAATTTTTAAGAGAATAAAATAAAATTCTTGAAATTTTTCAAGATACAAAGTAAAAAAAATCCAATTAAAAATTTTAAAATCTTTTAAAGTGCCAAGTATGACTGCGCTTGAGAAAAAAATTAGTAACACAAAATATTGTTCTTCTACGGTGGTCAACCATCGAATTCGAGAATTGTTACATGGTCATCAAAAAATATTAAAAAATTCTTTTTTTTTTGGATATTGTAATGGAGGGGTGTTTGGGTTGATGTATCGTAATTAATTCCTTTTTTGATCCGATTGAAAACAAGTGTTTTGGAAATTTATATAGATAAATCCTCATGGCACGACAATTTATCAGGTTTAGAACTCACGAGTACGCTTATTAACTGTATTGGGTGAGGCGGATTTGTATTAAAAAATCATTCTTTTATATCCGATTCGTTTTTTAATTTATGTAGAATGAATCAAATTATATCGAATTTATATTGTGTATAAATTGTATATAATAGGTATATAAATGAGCTATATTATATATTTTTTTCGATTGACTTTATTTGTACCTAATTTATTTACTAATTATATAGTATTAAATTTACTCATTTACAAAACCTGTGAGTTAATGAAAATTTAAACTCCAACTTTATATTACGTTAATATTAACGATTATTATCATATTTTCACACTCCGATGACCGAACCTTTCAAATAAAAGTTTCACCTAAACTTCGTATATGGCAGCTGGCGATTCAACCCCAACTTGAAGAATATTCCAAGACAAATTCAGATATTCGGTGATTGATCTCAGAATTAACGTCTCTTCGTGTCATCACCACTTTGAATCAAAACCCTTTTTCAAAAATTCCATACCCATCTACTCAATTCCAAAAATCGTACTGTACTTTTTTATCTGTTCCATAGATTGCCGGTGATCCAATTCTAAAAGCACCACACTTTTCTTCAGAAAAAGCAAAACCGACAGTGTGTCTTCACGATTTGGCTTTGAGTTTTCCTCGAGAACACGCAAGCAAATAGAACTGAACCAAGTTCCACGTCAATCTCAAGTTTACTTCCGTTGATTCGTAGGCATATTAAAGTTTTTGGGTTTGGGTTTTTCAGAGAAGGGGGAGATGCAGACGGAAGCGAGGGTGGGGGTGGGAGTGGAAGGAGGTGGAGGGCAGAGAGTTTTGAATTCGGCGCATGGAGGAGTTGTGGTGGAAGGCGGTGGTGCTGGGAATGTGTTGGCGGCTCATAAGCAGAGGATGTTGCATAATCAGCAATCGCAGATCGGAACGGTGTCTCAGCTTCTCGCCGGCGGTGTTGCGGGGGCTGTTAGTAAGACATGTACTGCTCCGCTTGCTCGGCTCACCATCCTGTTTCAGGTGCGTTTTTCTTTATTTCCTGGCTCTGTTAAAGTTGAAATTCGAACAATTTTCTGAGGTGATTATGTGGGTAAAATTGGATGGTTGGAGGTGTAGGTTGAATGCAGAGGTGAAGAGATTATGTGCCCTTGCCGAAAATAGACATAAAGAAATTGAAATAATGGAAATTAATAGATGGGCTTAGAAGTTGAGGGTAGAGAGGATTAGAGGTGGGTAAATTTTTGGAAAATACAAATTAGAACGTGAATAGAAAAAGGTAGACACAAACGAGGACCACTGTAATTAGGAGATTAGTATAGGTTTGAGAGACAATGTAGTGTCTTTGAGGGTTTGTTTGTTTAGGGGTAAAGTGGTGGAAAATGTAAGGGGGAGAGAGAGAGAGAGAGAGAGAGAGCCCAAGATTGTAGGTGTTTGTTTAGCAACACTGGAAAGTGGAGGAAAGCGATATTACCGTTAAGGGACGGACCCTGGATTCATTATGAGGGGGGCCAAACAGTGGCATGGTCTATCATAATCAATTACCATACAACACTGTCATAAAACTAGTTTGTTTCATAATGTCAAAAATTGAGTTCTTAGTTACTTACCATATAACAATTAGTTTGTGACAATCTTACCATCCATTTTTTCCTATGTTTAAGATATGACATAACTAACAAGAGATATCACATGGTAACATTTGCTCAATTATATTAGATTCAGAAGAACCTGGAATGAGACTCTGTTGATAAGTAGTTTTAAAAATAGATTCACAGCATACTATAGTAAATTTGAGTAAAAAATCAATGCATTGCTTTTGAAACCACATTTGTAGCTTAATTTTACGTTAATCTCACTTGTTTTCCTTTGGTCATCGGATTCTTACGATCAAGTGTTTTTGTTTGTAAGAGTAGTATTCACCTATGTTACTACATTCGTTAGTTAATGTCAAACCATTTAACTTTTTGTGTATTTTAAGTAATTTAAACCTATGGGGGGAAGCATAGGGTTTTTTGAAAACCTATGGGGACGATAGCAATTTTAGAAAATGTGAAGGGGGGGCCATGGCCAATGCCTAGTTCCGTTACTGCATACAGCCCAGCAATGTGCGTAAACATGGCTTTCATTTTCCAGTGAAATATGTAGGGAAGTTTTTTTTGCCATAAATGAGCGAGCACCTTCCCAGTTTGCCCACAGTAGCATGGTTATAATCAGGCCTTCAATTTTTTAATTTTTCAAATCAAATAGCCAGCACTCGTAAACCTTAGTCCTAATTCATCACTGCATCTCCGTCACTGATCCATGTAGCCAACCACGCCCCTATTTCAAGTCCATTTATGCGCTCCTTATATAATCTGTCAGACAATTTTCTCAAGGCCTGATTCTGATAGTGTTTTAGAAGCAGCTGTCAGTTATCTGTTCTGGGCTGCCATCTGCAGCAAAGGCTTGATGGGTGTTGAGAAAGATTGCTTTGTGTGGTGATGTTTCTGAGTTTAACGAAAGATGTCTGGTTGGTTGAAAGTTTTGGGATAATGATTGGTATGGTAAATGAATCAATGGGTTACAGTGAGTTATTGTAGGTGATTTGGCTTCACTTTCTTCAAATATGGTGTCACTGTACTTGAGTGGTTTGGCGGTGGCTACAGACTGGAAAATTGATTTTATTTGGATGGTGTTGAAATCTGGATTTCATTCATGCAAAGTAGTACCTAATCATCTTCTGTAGAAAGATTCAATGTTATGTATGGGGGTTTTAAAAATGGTGGTCATGGGGTTCATGGAGATGGAATTGATGGGTTGATGATTGGAGATGGAGATGGTTGGTACTGCTATACAGTTTGCATCATTGAACCGTTTGTATTTCATATTCATTGTTGATTAGTTGGATTGAAATGAAATGGTCACTTTAGTGATTCCAAGAATTTTTTTGTAACTTCAGGCAAAATTTTCATCTTAACCCAATGGATACAAGAAAAAAAAATTTCCTTTCCATTTCTTTTCTTCTACTTCGCTTTTTATCATTTTTATTTTTCATCATCCTTTTCATCCTAATCAAACAGGCCCCAAATGATATGGAGTTGGATATTGTGGCAGCTGATGGTGATACCAATAGGGAAAGATAGGTTGTTTTTAGAGTTGATAAGCAGAACCTTAGCTAAGGTTTTACCAGGTCTAATGCAGGAATGCTTTGTTTTGAGGTGGCTCTCAGGCTTGTAGATTCTGACAACTGATAATCTAATCTCCGCTACCTATTGTCTCTACAGGTACAAGGAATGCACTCTGATGTTGCTACTTTAAGAAAGGCTAGCATATGGCATGAGGCATCAAGAATTATCAGTGAAGAAGGTTTCTGGGCTTTCTGGAAAGGGAATCTAGTTACAATTGCTCACCGTCTTCCTTATTCTTCTATCAGCTTTTATGCTTTTGAACGCTATAAGCATGTTGGTACTAACCTTCTATTGAAGTTGTTTTTACATTGTGGATTTCAATGGAGACCGTTTTGGATAGCTTAAGATTTTGATTTGATTGTGATTGTGAATCTCTCAGCTACTATGGTTGATGTTGGGAGTGCAAAATCAAGGGGAAAATGTAAGTGCAGACCTTTGTGCACGGCTTGTAGGTGGTGGTTTGGCTGGAATAACTGCAGCTTCAATTACATATCCATTGGACCTTGTAAGGACACGCCTTGCAGCTCAGGTAACTGATCAGTCTATGTTCTAAATTAATGTTGGTGTTGTGATGAGAAAAACAAATAATTCTACTAGAGTAGAGTGTCCTTACCCGATATGGAAATTACTTGGAAATCCCTTTAGTCCGGCACTCCCTAAGTGCATGCATCATCTGTAAATTTAGTTTCAACCATGAGTACGGTATCTCTGAGTTCTTGGGCACTGCTATCTTACTTGCCGTCCTTATTGAGTTAATGTGTTAAAGCATTTTTACTGCAAAAGGTGTTTTTGTCTGATAACCCATTGGACAAAAAAAAGTGCTGAATGTTGACCATGCACATTGCTTTTGAAGAACTCTAATATCATACACGTGGCTGAGAACAATTGAAGCATGAAATAAAATTGTTAGTAAAGGAAAACAATATAGTTGAAACTTGAAAGAGAGAGATTTTTTGAGAGGTAATTTATCTCATGGTACGTGGCTATGTTTTTTAATAATACTTTACTGTCTATCAAAAATATATATGCATGCACATAGTGATAAATTTTTTTAAGCATTTAAGTATATGGACAAATGAATGGATACACATTATATGGGTCCACTAGGTGATAATTTTTTTTTTTGGGTACCCCATAATAAAATTTTCTATGAATGTAAATAGATATGCAAGTGAGTGAATGCACATTACAATGGTATATGGATTTCCTCACCTTCCCTATAAACTTATTTTTCCAAAATTAGTCCAGTTAGTTTGTTGTTTGCATCCTATTTTATAAGCTGTTCCCCTTTTTTATCATGCTGTGCAGTTAAGCATGTAAAGATTTTGATGCATAAGTGGGGTCATTTTAGTGTCTCTACTATGTCCATTTTAATTTTTGGTTATGTCCATCCCCCCTCCCCCCCTTTTTTCCTCTTTTTTGTTTGGGTGGAGCAGCATAAAAAATGTGTTGTTTCCAAGTGTAAATCAATGTTAGTCTCTTTTTTCTTGATTGATCCACTTTTAGTTTCTAGCCTCTTTATTTTGTAAATATATTGTTAGTTTTATTTATCTATCCTAATGAGGATATCTAAAGTCTAGTTTAAATGCATAAAAGAGCCCTTCAAGAACTATCAAAGAGAAGGAAAAGGTTGATGAAGTCTATAATCAATATATTAATAATTAATTTTTGATAAGTAGTTTAGCATTAGAATCTGGTTTTTCTCAGTTGATGTTGAGTTGAGGTAAATTATAAGGTCTGTCATGACAAGAAACTAGGCAAATTGTGTAAAAGAGCTAGTGATACTCTCATGATTCCAAGGATACTACAAATAGACTTTGTCTACTTCTCACCTTTTAAAACATAGCATTGTATTAATAAGACTTCGAAAATTTTCACGGTTCAAGCTAAGTTGAGGTAATTCATAAGGTGTGTGATGACAAGCAACTATGCAAATTGTGTAAAAGAGCTAGTGATACTCTCATGTTTCCAAGGATACGAGGAATAGTCTTTGTCTACTTTTCACCTCCTTTAATATCATGGAGAAATTAATGAAAAGTTTACCCGCCATTATGCCCTTTCATGTCTAAGCTGATGGGTTTTATATAGACTCGGAAGATCAATTTGCTAACGGTATTTACTAGGGATGAAGAAACACCTTGATATGCATGTTCACAAAGAAAGGAAACCCCCTGTATTTGAAGGAAACTAATATTGCGGTCCTGATTGAATATCTTTAGAGAAGCTATAGAACACCTGTCAGAAGGTTGAGGGGGATGAATATGGCTGAAACCTGGAGTTGAGTTCAATAACATCCTTATTTAGATGGTTATGGTTGGTACGAATTCCAGTTACTTGACTGTTCAAAACAGGCCTACTGTCCTACTCAGCAAGACTTTGTGTGATTTCTGGTTCTGAAAGTATTGAGTAATTGGCTCTTGTTTCCTTTTTTAGTTTTTCACCATCTATTGTTTTTGTTTTTGCACTTACATTTCTGTTAAATTTTGCAAACGTCTACTAATTTCCAATTTTCTGTTGAATGTCACAGACAAATATCATCTACTATAGAGGTATATGGCATGCTCTACGGACCATTAGCAGGGAAGAGGGTGTCTGGGGTCTCTATAAAGGACTTGATGCAACACTTTTGGTATTGTTTTGTAGTCATTTTTCTTCCATTTATGTTTGATGACTTGTGTTTTGTTTAGCTGATTGCTAACAAGAAAAATGGAAAAAAGAGAGAAAGAAACAGCATACCTGATTGCAGCTCTGATTTTAATGCAGGGTGTTGGACCAAACTTAGCAATCAGCTTTTCAGTTTATGACACTGTAAAATCTTATTGGCAGTTTCAGAGGTAATTCTCCATAACCCAATTCATCTAATCATTGGCTTTAAGATGCTTTTATATATACTACATCATTTGCATATCTTCTTCTTGTTCTCCTTTTTATTTTTTAACCCAGAACTCATTCATATTTTTAAAGACTAAAATACTCATTTGTTGACATTAGACCCGATGACTCTCCTATCCTGGTCAGCCTTGCTTGTGGTAGTCTTTCAGGCATTGCATCATCAACAGGTGAGTGATCTGAAGCATCAATGGGAAATCATAATGTTGTTGCCTGCATTTACCAACTTAAATTCACTTTAGAAAATGAAAATACAAGAAATAGCAACTTCTAAAAGGTTCTTCCTTTGTTTTTGCGAAATACGTTTTGAAGGAAAAACTGGAGGGGCCCTGACTACCGTTGTCTGAACACTGTCCGTAAAACTAGATGTTGAATTCCCTCTGTTAATCGCCCAGAACCAATAAAAACCGACAAGAAAAGTCTATGTTCAATCGAGTCATCAACAACAGTACTGTTCTCTGTTTTTATCTCTGATGTGTGGTAATTTCTTCTGATACAAGTATTGGCACCATGTCGATGCTTAGTTGGCCTCTTTATAATTTAATGTCCCTTTATAAATATTGCTGGGAAAAGAAACAAAGAATTTACAGGGTTTCTCTGGACTTTCTGTTTATCCTGTATTTGCTGCATATACCGTCAAATTAATGTTTCTTGTGTAACCAGCCTTGACAAGATTAAGGAGAGCTCTCCAAGTAGTATAATTGACTTGGGAGACTTGTGTTTGTATTATATTAGTATATGTCTGATGTACGAAGAAAGATGTTAATGCCTGTAGCTGTCTTCAATGCTTTTGATGCAGAGAAGCAGGTTGAGGTGCAGGCATTGCACTAAGTACCTAACCAGATTGACCCCTAGAGCTACAGAGCCAGACAAGTTTATCTGGCATTTGAGAGTGTTAGTAAGGATATCAACAAATCATACATTTTACGTCTTTTTCATTTCCAAGCTAACTGCATATTTTGAGGTAAGAATATTGGTAGGATACCTATAGCCTCCTAAACTTCTTGGATAACTTGGCTCTGCAAACATTGCAGTTGTTTCCATTATAGGGCAGCTGTTCTCAGGTGAGCCAACTCTGTTATGCACTTAACAAAAGTGAGAGGTGTCCTCTTTGAGGTATGCTTCTCGTTGAGGCTTCCTATGCCAATTGCTGACTAATGATACTGGGTCCATATGGTTCCAGTGGTGCATTTATGACTGGTTCTGCTGTTCGTACAGATATGGATAATTTTGAAACAAACCCCCACCCCCCAAGAAGGGAAAAATAGAATGATGTAAACTCAAGAAAAATAAGACCAGAAAATAAAGAACTGGAAACTAGAAAGATAATATCTTTGGGTGGGTTGTGTTTGTTTTGCAGAAGATATCGCATAGAAATTTCCCTGAGTAAAAAATAAGTTTTAAATGCTTTTGTCTCAAAAGCTAGTTTGAGAGGCATATAGAATACCCAGACCAGCCTCTGTTGAGTGAAAATACCATGAATCCTGGATAAATAGCTTTAGCTCTGCAAAAATTTTCTTTACCCCCGAACTTTACTTTTGAGAAAAAGTTCTTCCAAGAGCTATTTTCTTCAGAATCAAATTGGGAGTTTTGTGGCTACATTTTTCTATTGAATCCTTTGTTGTGAAGCTTGGAAAATTCTAATCACTTCTCTTCAGTTGTTTCGAACTTTTGGGAAATCTTTGTCTTCTTACTTTAGTGACACTTTATTTATTTTATTTTTTTGTAATAAGTTGAGCTATGTGAATGTGGATATTGATTGTTGATAGAATGAGCTCGAGGGAAATTAATTTTGTTAACAAGAAACTAAAACTGGGCAGATTAATACTTGGATGCTAAAATGGCAAAAGTTTCCACGCACATGAAATGTTATTCCTGGTCAAGTACATTGTGCATGTGGTAGAAAGCAACAACAATAAATAGAGGTTGTCATATATGTGAACTTCAGCTACTTTGAATGTACTTGGCGCCCAAAACTTGTGCCAAAAGTCATCCAAAGTTCAAAAACTGGTGGTTCAATAAAATAATTATTCTTGTTTAGGTAATTTTACTAGATATGACTTTTAACCATGCAAAGAAAGAGAACAAGGCAGTTTCTCAAGGCCTTGTTCTGTTCTCTGCCAATTAAACTTGGGCATTGCTTATATATTGCTTTTCAATGAATAACTGACACTTGATTCACCACTCATCTAGTTCATGTCCTCATCAAGTGTTTACCCCTTGTTATTTATATTTTCCAGATAGTTCTCCACACTTGCTTCACTTACCTCTGCGACTCCAAGATGTACCTTTTGTTTCTGTTCACTGGGTTTTTGTAAGGATAACTTTCTTTTTATTACTTTTGTGTCATGGTACAAATTAAGCTACAATTCAGTTTGTCTGAAGGGATTTACCCCCCTTCTATGAGAGATCTACTAGAAGAATTTGACTTGGTAAAAGTGTGCATTGTTTTCTGAAAGGGCATGTGGTACACATCTTTCCAGAAGCTATGTTGAGTTCTTAAGTTAAAAGTGAAAAATAACTCAAAGTATGTCACCTAGTGACTTATTTTGAGATAGTTACTTCGATGGTGGTGGTTGTTAGTAATGACATGTGATGTGGTTACAGCATACAGTTGCATCTAGACCCAGTCTTCATGATAATCACAATTTAGCTCTTATTTTAGTCTTCGGCATACCCTGTATCAGGACAGGATCAAAAAGACACTTGATTTAGAGTGTTGCCACCCCAGTGAAACTTGCCAGTTAAAAGTAGAAACGATTATATTGCTGGTCTTATCATTTGTTGCTTCCCAATAGATCTTGCCAATTAGAAGTAAAAATGATTGTCTTGCTGGTCCAATTTTGTTCACTGTTATATGTATGCTACAATTGCTGGTCTTATTTTCTTCACCAATATATGTATGCAGTAACGTTCCCGTTGGATCTAGTGAGGCGACGGATGCAATTGGAAGGAGCGGGTGGCCGTGCCTGTGTCTATAAGTCAGGGCTTTTTGGTACATTTAGGCACATAATCCGAACTGAAGGACTGCGAGGTTTGTACAGAGGGATTCTGCCTGAATACTACAAGGTGGTGCCAAGCATTGGTATTGTTTTCATGACTTATGAGAAATTGAAGCTGCTTTTATCAAATTATCCTGCCAATTGAGTAGCTTCTTTTTTGAGAAAAAGATGGATGGTATTGAGTTAAGTTGTTGGTCGAAAGGCGGCCTATCTGGTACAATTTGTTCAAGTAATTTTGGAAACCATATTTTTGTGTATGTATATTATACGAAAAGATGCCCACAGTTAATTGCATCTCAAATGTACGAAAAACATTTCACTCCTAAAATATAATTGATGGCATTGATTATATTGTAACTGTCATCTGTTTGATCTTTTCATTTCAAAAAGAATCTTGTACTGCCATCCAAGCATATGCATACTTGTTTGAGAGTATTTTTGGTGTAGGAAATCTCAAATCTGCGATACTCCAAGTAAGAGGAGTCGTCATGAACCCCGTAGGCCATCCGCTCTCTTGGCTGATCATGGATTCTCCCTTTGTTTTCAAGAGCCGTTCAAGATGACGATGAATAAATAGGGTGAAAAACAGAAAATCAGAAACAGAGTATGCAGGTGATACTTCGGAAATTTTGGACCCCTGTGGTGGTATCAATTTTAAGTTGGTAATTGACTGGAAAATGCAGCTTCTGTAATCATTTGAACTGGTTTCTGAACAACGGTGTTTTAGAGGCAATGATCAAGGAAAATACTACACAACTCAAATAGAACTCAAAAATAATAATCTAAATATATATTATCAGTTAGATGAATAAATTTTACTAAAATAATTGATAGGACCTGCTATAAAAGTTAGATGAGACTTACTCATTTAAAAATAATATATATTTAGATTATAACATTTTGAGTTTTATTTTAATTGAATAACATTCCTCGTTGACCAATCTGCTACGAAGAGCCACATTGGATCCATACACACAGACTAAACACCTAAATACTTGCAATCATCCGCTAACTATATGTATCAATTAAACAAAAAAGCACTGGTGAGAATTAAAGCCAAGATGTCAGGTTTGCAGTTTGCCTTCAACTGACCCCACACCACTAAATCACAATATACCATGAACATTTGTCATCGCTCCAGCGAAATACAAATCAACCACAAACTTTTCTTGCATGATGTAGATTTTCTGAACTGGAAATCATCTAGCAAAATGGTTTCAAAGCATACAAACGGGCACTTTTGAGTGTGCTAGCTTCTTTTATTGCACATAAACTGCTGCACTTGTTGAACAGATATGTTGAAAGGTATGCTTTATTATGACAGTTCAAGCCATTTTTTGCACATGTATCCTCAAGACTCGAGCACCCCCATAAAAAATAGGGGCAGCTAATCAAAGCTTTCCATGATCAACTCCATCCTCATGAGCTGCTACTCAATGATCTATATGGGTAGAAAGCAGAAGAATTACCATCTCCAGCACAGAAGAAACCATACAGATGATGAAATATTATACAGGAAAACTTCCAGTGAGGCGGATATGGTCCAGGGTACATCGTAAACCATACTTGTTTACAGCTTCATTAGCAGCTCTAAATCCTCCTCCATATGCTGGTGAAGTATCATGCACGATCTGGTGAATGAAAAACTCGCCAAGTTTATTCTCAACGGCTGATTTCCCACCTTTCTTAGATGTCGATGATGATGACGACGACGACGTCAAAGCTGCTGATGTAGATGGCATGTTTCTGAATTCCGGCAAGACCTCTGACTCAAGCCACATGTGTGAGAGTATTTGGCAGATACCTTCCTCTACCACAGGATTAAGATTACGATAACCTGCAAAATTTCGAGGGAAAATTTATGGCGTGGAAGAATGGTATTTTTTGAAGTAATATTTAAAACAAGTCTCCTGGCAATTGTTTCTCCTGTTCAACATGATCTCCTTAATCATCAATATACTTTCTCTCATCCTTAAAAGGAATTGACATAAAAGATGGAAAATGTTACCGTTTAGACGTAACCAGCCATGCATTAACTCGTGAGCAAGAATGGCGCCAGTGAGTAATCTGCATTTGACAAGGAAGATGGTATGTAAAATTTCGGAATTTCTCTCCAAGGTTAGTATGGCACTTTGCTGCCAGAAGGTATAGGAAAAACCCACCATATCAATTAGGAAGAGTAGGTTAATACACTAATGCTATTGGGACATAATTTAGGAACTTAATGCATTATGACTATATTGGATTGATAGTATTAGGACCTAGTGATAATTTAATGTTAAGACCTGACAACTTAATGGCCATTAAGTCCCCAAATTATATCCTCAAATTATGTCCTAATAACACTGCTCAGGGTAATATCCAGCGTCCTGATTTCCAAATAAGAAAGAATCTTTTTTTTTTTTTTTGGGAAGGTGATGAGAAAGAATTTTTGAAGACATTTCTGAATAATATTGCCTTACTTCAGAAGACATACATTTTAGGAAAAAATTCTGCTTAAACATGAACTTGAAATAGTTTCATTATGCCACCAAAGTCAACCAGACAACTCTGAAAACTAAGTACCAGAAATTTAAGCCGTCTTTGATTTGTCTCTCAAAAAACAATATCCACAAAATGATTTTGGAAAGCATTTTTAAAAGCTATTGTATTTTGGTGATTTTTGTGTTACAGAACTTGTTTGGTTATGTGATTCCAAAAACAGTTCTACAAATAATGAAAACAAAAAAGTGGTAGTGGTGGGAGTGTGCTGGTGGTGTTTTTTAAATTCTGGAAATGTGGTTTCCAAAAATACACAAAACAATCTTAATTTATTCTCAATCTACCCACTTTTTGTCCTCAGCTTTCAAAAAACAAAAACAACAAACTGGTCAAATAACCTTTTTTCTCAAAAACTGTTTTCAAAAACAAAAACAGTTTCCGAGATGCAAACCAAACTGAGCAACAATCTTGTAATTAATTTTCATGGTTCGCTTATCTTGTGTTTTTCTGTTTAGAAGAAATGAAAAGTAGGACAAAGCAGCTCGCTAAATTTTACCTTGGGAGGCCATACAGAACAAGAATGGCCGTAACTTCACATTTTCGAGTTAGCTTCTGTGGTTGTGTTCTCATTCCTACAAGTCGTTGGCCCCCAATTCTTGGCCTTTTAAGTATCTGGATATTTTAAAATAGCAGAAACAAAGAATGCATCAGATAAACATATGTTACCATAGTAGTCAGTAAAGCAAAAAACAAAGGTGTGATTGTTCAAAATCTTACACTGCTAACAGTCTGCTCTTCAGACAGGCATAAGCCTCTTGTTTCAGGCATGTGATGGAAGCCCTGAAAAGAAACGATTCTGTATCAGGGAAATTTCCCATAACACAAACAACATAACCACTGGAGGAAGAGATCATTTAATACATTTTTCTCCCCTACTATAGCTTCATTAAGAGCTTGTCTTTCCACAAGAAGCATGGGAATTTGCTGATCCAGTCTCATGTTCATTCCTTCATAGTAGTCTCTAATGGCATGGTAAAGCGGTTGGCAGTCACCAGTATCCATAATAGCAGATTCCATGCACTCTAGGCATAAGCTCCGTCCTTCTTCCAAAGATATGTATCTTGTATTCCAAGACTTCAGGAAGGGGGAAATGAGTGGACGGACAACAAAATCAACCAACACATCAGGAGGGCAACTTTAGATATTCATGTTCCAAACATTTAGGAGGTGACATAGAAACTAGCAAAAATATCAAAATAAAACAAGCTTAGAACCATACCTCCAAACGTTCACAACTACAGCACCGGGCTGTGCTATCATGCTCATGTGAAGGACAATATTTCTGGGACCAGAATGGGTGGCACCTATACTCGATCAAACCAGCTGCATTTGTTGGGATCTGCAAATTATGAAATTCAAATTAAAAGACTCGACTTGATTTCGTGGAGAACTTTCAGCAACAAAAAGTTTCCTAGTGGTAAAGCACCGTCTACTTACAAATTGGTGGCAAACTTCACATTTGGGATGGGTCAATTCTTGGAAGCAGGACTTATGGTATGCATTCCTCTCTAACAAAGAAAACTTCAATCACCAGAAAAAAAAAAACCAATGAGATAGGCATAAGAGAATACAGTTATTAAATACCTTTGTTGTTTTCAGGTGTCTGTGCATGTGTGTTGAAACCAGGGGTATGGTGAACAGATATCATATGACACTCTACACCCAAGAAAAACAACTACCTCATGCTCAGTGATTGGGAAACCACACGCTGTACAACAAAAGCACTCCGGATGGAAAAAGGTTCCCATGCATCCCAAATAATTGCCATATCCAATGTCACGATTGCAGCCACCACATATTCTGTAAGTGTTGAAAGATCGATCGTACTTAAGCCTTGGAAACTCATAACTTTCACGCTATCATGTAAGTCTACTATGGTTCTGATCTGACATTAGGTGAGCAAATACCTGAAGCTAATGCATTATCATAATCATAAAAAATGCTTACAAACCCATCATTGTAACGTACATCATCTTTCATCAACTATTGTTGATGATTGCCCAAATAATTTGGTCAAATAGCAAAACAACTAAATAACTGGAGAAGCACAAAGAAGCTAAAGGACCAGCTGCTTTGTTTTTTTAACTAAATACAAGTGGCCATACGAAATACTGCAATGCTTACCAAATGTAAAGAATATCGTACTTATTACAAAAATTATGAATGCTAACTATTCATTTTCCTCACACTATATATCATTATATCATATTCTTCCTAGCTTACTATCAGTCAAATAATATGGGAAGCACTAACGGCAGTTTTCATGCTCTGCCCACTTGGTGATGGTAAGGGGCCCTTCTAGTTTATATAGTTACATTTTGTCCCTTTTAAATTGTATGATATATTCTATCTTTCTTGTTCTCTTAAGTCGGCCCCCCCCCCAACCCCCCATTTTGGAACTTTGGTTTCTCTGTCCACTCCTGCAACATTAATCAGCATGCAACAAGAATGAATCAACTTGGCTAGTTGTAACAAATTATAAAGCTTTCCTAACATTCTACTGAGTCCAAAAAAAAGCAGTTGATGTTTGCTGTCACCAACTCACAAAATTATTTTGGTTCTGACATATTACGCCCGCTTAATACTATTATCTATTACCTGTATCCTCTGGGATAATATTCTGTGGGGGCATAAGGAGGGTAATCCGGTCTATTAGGGTTATCATGATGTGACCTTGCACGATCTTCATCATTGTCCGTTCGCCATCTGCATCCTGAAGAAATCCAAACACTCACCAATCAATTCCAAAATGGAGAAAAAATTAAAGCTACCGCAGGGATTATAGTAGTACTAGAGGAGATAAGGATCAGACAACTAAAACAAAATGTACCATCTGGTCTCTTCAAATCTTCAGCCAGAGAAAGTGCAATTGCACGGTCTACCTCCTCTCTCTCTTTCTGAGCTCTAGAACGATCATCCTGATGAACTAGGTAAAGCTTGTGAAAAACTTATTAACAGACTTGCAAAACAGTCATCACAAACGGGATCGTGAACTATCAATTGGCTGTAAACTAATCAAGCATATGGAGGGAACTATTCTACATATAGATACTTTTGAAGTAATCATGGTAAAGAATTCAAGCAAAATTCTAAAAACTTATTAATGACTTACCAGTGACTCATGTAGTCATGTTTCAAAACAATTGTTCTGCTGAAACCTTTTTTTGCTATACATGTCTTAATGGGTTGTAGGGGATTTGTGGTTCAACAGTAGTTTCAAAAATTATAACAGAAGGAAAAATAATTGTCTCAGACAGTCACAGCCTACATATTGGACATCCTAAAGAAAGGGCAACAATGATACCATCTGGGAATTATTGAAACTCATAAACCAGGATCTTTCTGAGAATGGTTTCCTATTCTAAGAGTGCCAAATCATTATCAATATATTTTCTAACTGAGATACACTGAAAATGCATGATGAGAACACAAGTTCAAATTATTAGTAAGATTTTGTTGCCCTGAAAAATTTGAATGATTGGAAAAGAAACCTTTTGTGTAGATAGACAAGGTAAATTTTATTTTTCTGAGCTGATAATAGATGAAATCCGCAGTTGTCAGGAAGTTGAAGATAATTTACAACATAGAATACTTATTTAAGCAATTTCTGACATTATTCACTCATGAAATCATAAAGATTTCCTCCATTGTAAATGGATTTTAGGCATTAGATATGGATTTAAGGTAGCTTTTGCTGAACCATGATGTGAAAGCCAGTTTGATATTCTAAACCCTATTTCACCTAGACCTGGAGTCTCAGAGGAAATTCTGTTAATTGGTGAAGATATCGTGGTGCTCTGGAAGAGAGAATGGAAAGCAAGAGCCTATATGCATGAAACTTAAAAATGTGAGCACAAAATTTGCATGCAACAAGAGACAGAATATTAACCTTTTGATTTTCTCACGTTAAACAAACTATCTGTTACTGCTCCAATTTGGCTCAATCGCGAATGGAATGAATAGTATACAAGCTATAAAATATAGCAAATTAAACATGTTAGCCAGTATTTCCTGATGTGTCATCTATACAATCTTTGTTTGTTCTACTTTCCAAGTCTAAGTTTAAATTTCAAAACGTGACTAAGACTAATAATTACAAACGTGGGCAGATCATTCCCAAGAAGCTACAAGCAAAGAATTTGATTCCAAGGGCAACAATATATAGGTGATATATATATTCATGATTAAATATAGGTGATATTGCACACTGCCATTGAATAAATTCTTCTCCAAATTTTGTATGTAAAATTATATCTATAACGTGCAATTGAGCAAGAAACTTGAAAAAAAAAAATTCCAGAGCGCAACAATACCCTATAAAAAAACAGGAACCTAGCTTCTATGGTTCCAACCACATAATGCAATGCCAACTCCATCTCTCCCTCTCCCAAAAATATATAAAGGAAAGAAAAACACAATGTAATAATGAAATTGGTCCCAAAAGCTGTCTGAGAATCTTAAAGAAATTTGGAGTTTCATGTAATTTTTCAAAATTCTAGTAATGCCAGGCCAAGTTTTTATCTTTCCTTTATGCTTAATGATGAAACATTGAGTTCAAAATTAAAGCAACATTCAAACTGAGAGACTTTCCATTGCGAGAATATCAACCTTTGAGAGAGAGAGAGAGAGACCAATATAGAAATTACCAATGATCTAGCTGGAGCACGCCAAACCATATTTTCATCCCCCAGAAACTGAGGTTGTTGTCCACCTGTTGTTACCCCTCTACTCGACCCACCCTTGAAAATCTTACTCAGCCATTTCATGAACCGAGACTTCCTCTCTGCGTGCGAAGAAAAAAAATGCCCTGCTTAAATCGAAAACTACCAATTATATTAACCAAAAAACCACAAATATGCACAAATTAAGAACCCAATAATGCAATAATAATCAGTTTATTATTGAAACAATCAGTACATTTAACGTGTTCGCAATAAGCACGAAAAACCAATAAATAATCAGATTGGTGCTGATTGAAGAAATGACTTTACCATAAATGCAAGGCTGAGAGAGGTGGTTGACGCTCGAAGAAGACATGGGTATCGAATCGTATGTATAGATTTGCCTAAATTTCGAGGAGACAAAAAAGGAAAGCCAAAATGAAAAGGAGTAAGAGAGAGAGAAAGGAAAGGGTGTGGAGAGAAAATGACTCGGGAGAAGAACAACGGCATCGTTGATAAAGTTAAGAAGTTTGAGAAAGGAAGAAAGAGAATCTCTGAAATTCTTGGCTTGGGGAAAGAAATGAAAGGAAAGTGGTATAGATCGGAAAAAGATGAGAATCTGCTGAGAAGGATGTTGTGAGAGAGAGAGAGAGAGAGAGGTGGGTGTTCGGAGTTTGGACGGCTAAAAGAATCTAGTGAGAGGTGAGAGAAGGCAAACGTATGGAATTTTGAACTGATTTTGAAATTTTAAAGGGATTTTTTTGCCGGGGAAAATTAACTGTAATTACATGTGGGCCTCATATTTTCCCTTAAATGGCATATAACTCCCATGACTTCAATTGTCAATCACTCCTCAACACTCATGCTGCCACCATGCCCTTATGTTGACAGGATATAATCATCAAATAATAAGATAATAAGTGAACAAATAAATTTCACATAAATAATTATTGCATGATATGGACGAGTAATTATTTAATTATGTAGGATTCACTTATCTATTTCCTATCTTTTCGTTGAACGATTATATCATATCAGCGTAATAACATAGTGTAATCGTTACCCAATATTTTTTCCTTAATTTGATGGTAAGTTTAGTCTATTAAAGGGTAACTGCCAATTCTTGATTTTTTGGTCAAAGGAATTGTCAATTCAAATAATGTTATTTTTCAATTCAACAATCTTCATAAATTAATAGAATCTTTCATAGAAGAAACGAGACGAGTTGACCACTTTATTTCTATCAAGAAAGAGATCAAGGAGTTAATCATTACTACAAACAAAAGATTTTTTTGTTATCTCACCTTTTCAAGGTTATATTATGCCATACTAAATTGTATTCAGTCTTTTGTACATATTTTGTCACATATTATAGATTTATTACGAGTAATTCATGTTTGTTTGAAGATATTATGTAATGTGAATAGTTTTGATAAAGATGTTAAAGGTTGTTGAATAAGTTTATTTGAGAACGTCAGATAAACTTATTGAAACATATCATATTTTATATTATAAATCATTCAAAACTTATAATAATTATGGTCTGCAACAAGAAAAAAGATTTTTTATGGTGGTAAAGTGATGTCATAAAAAAATTATTTGTCACCGTAAATATTTTTTGTAGCGACCTTATCTCACTATGATAAGTGAAGTCCCCAAAAGTCTTTATGACGGAAACAGTCAATCTCAAAAAGTATTTCCCGTGGGGGTGGCTCAACAATATTTGGGACTTAAAGTAACGACAGTCAATGTGATTTTTTTATTTTCTTAATAATAATTTAATTTTTTAATTTAAAATCTATTATTTTTACTATTTGATGAGATTCAAAATTACTAAAAAAATTTTTATTCAAATTTTGTTAATATATTTTTTTGATTAATAATATGACTTTTGATCATAAATATCTATAGGAATAAAATTAATTTCTTCATTAATATTTTTATATTATTTTTTATTTATTTTATATGTTCTTTATTGAAACTGTGATATTAGATGATTGACTTTATTATAAATAAATTTATTGTTATCTTTTTTTTGGATTATTTTATTATCTTTGAATTTTACTTATTTATTTATGCAATTTTTACTTAATTTTTTGTTATATTTTATTTGTTACGAATAAAAAATTTATAAAAATATTTCTTTTAATGAAACTAAATAGATTAATTGGCGTTTTGCATTCAAATGAGAAAAAAAAAATGTTTAAGAGAAGAAGAGAATGTGTTTTTTTTGATTTTTTTTTTTTTTTTTACTAAAGAGATATGTTTATTATACTTTTTTCGATAGGAGGAAGAGATGGATTTTATCACTACTTTTATTTTGTTAATATTTTTTTGTTCTTTAATAAATGTGATTGTGTGAGGTGGTATGCACTTTTGGTCCCAAATTTTTAATTTTTTTTGCTGATTTATTATTTCAAAAATTATTTTGTTAAAAAATATTGTAGTAAATTTTAATTTTTAACTTATATTATATTATTGATCTTTAAATTTTGAGTCTTTTTCATACGTGGAGTCTAAAGCCCATGCATAGGCCCAGCCTATGGACGGTAGCAAATAAATTTTTTATCACCACACTACCGCCACAAAAATAAAAAAAAAAAAATTGGTAACACGTTTTTTTGTGATCACGAACATTCCTTATCCCATTAGAATGTGATCCTCACTAGAATACAATCAATAGCCCCCTCCCAAACCAACCACCCCCCCCCCCCTCCTTCCCCTATTTTCTCTTTCTCCCCCTTGCAAGCTGAACACAAAAAAGATACTAATTTAGCCCTACAAGGGCCATTTAGAAAGATTCCGTTTGTCTTGCAACCAAATCTGACTGTTTGACTCATTGATTAGAGTGAAAAAAGAATTAATCGAAATGTACATAAATTAATTTGATCACTCTTATTATTAAATAAAAAAATAAAAAAAAAATCGGACTGCTTAATTTTCTTACTGCACATCACAAGCACACAATAACTAACCATTCCTTGTCATGATCAATGAAAAAGGAATAACACATAGACATTAGACAATGTGTCACTTTTCTTAACAAAAGGGTCGGAACTTGGAAGCACTTGTGGAAATAGTTTTTTATACGGATGGAATATGAAAAAGGAAAAAACTAATTCTCCAATGAAAACTAACCCAAAATGCCAATTACCTCTATCCCCAAAGTTGTCGCATTCAATGCATTACAAGATGCTCATTTTCCAGCTAACGAGGACCACAACTCCAAGAACAAATAAGATATAGTAGTCTTGGAAACTCGTTGAAGTAGTTCGGATGACCCTCGTCTCGCTTTCTATTCATTTTTCGGGATCCGAGAGCCTTTTTATTTTTTCAAGATGGGATTTCGAGAATTAATCAATCATTAAATTTGCAGCTCAAGTGGCTCCTCCACAGCCTCCATTTCGCCCAAAAAAAAAATGAGAAGAATCAAATCAATAAGCTTATTGATTGATTTGATTTGATTTGATTCAGGGCACAATGAAGCAAAATTCAATCAAGGCAAAGGGGCTCACTTTTCCTAATGCTGAGTCATCTTATTCCAATCAATGTATGGAAGTTATTATCTTGAAGTCTCTCAAGTTTTATTGTGGAAGAGACATTCTAATCACAACCATATTTCAAATTGAGGGGGTCAAAACATCGATAACAAATTTATCAATGTCAAATACAAAAAATGTTACAAATACTCTGTATGATGTGAATGACTACTATATATAAATAGTAATACATAATACCAAATAGTGTTAGACATGACATTACAATGCATGAATAGTTACCATATTTGATAAGGTAGTCCTTCACTTTTCTATCAACAGTTGAAATGTGCCTATAAAGAGACCACAAATTGTTGAATTAAAACACACTAAAGGAAATATATATCTCTATCCCTCCCTCACTTTAGTATTGTCTCCATCTCTCAATTTGTTTTATTTAATTATTTGCACCTATATTAATTTACTTATTTTATATTAAAAAAAAAGAGATTAGTGTCATTTTATGAATTTTGAAAAAATTAAGAAGGACAATTTACTATGGTAGATAGAATTGTTTTTTTTTTTTTTTTGCATTTATATGAAGTTTATATTGTGGTTATAAGTCCAAATAACACATGATAAGAACAGTTGAGACTTGTGACAACTAGCTGATGAGAAGCATTCAAAAGATGGCCATTATAAAAATATAAAATACTTAAATTACACATTTTTCAATAACTTAAATTTTTGGAATAGGTAGTTGTTTAATATGGTATCAGAAAAAGAGATCATGTGTTCAAATCTAGCTATTACTCTAATTGTTAATAGAGTTTTTATGTGTTAGGTCTAAAATCTAACTTGAACGTGAGGGTGGAGGAGTGCTGTCAAGTAATTGTACTTATTGTGGCACCTTAGCAAAATCAAATGGGCTCATTGAAAAGTCATGGTTTTAAAGAAATTATTTGTCCTGCCTCTCATCCCCCTTTGTTTCTGAATCAACAGGTGAAGAGCATCCATTGTGATTCAAATTTGGGACGAATTTGAATTAGATTAGTCAGATATAAGTTGATACTCTTAATCCAATATAAACCCAAATTTAAAGTGTTTATATAGTCTTTCATGGATTAGATATTGACTTAACATACCACAATTCGATATGATTCGATCCGAATTATATATACCTAGTAGATTTGAGTGATTATGAAATTGAATTAAAATTCATATTTAATTTGCTAAAATTTAACTTATGTGTGCCATTCGGATAAGATCGGATTGAGTTTCTAACTTTCAACTGATTTAAATATATAGATTGTGATAGCGAAATTGATACTTGATGGTGTGTGTGTGTGTTGCACAATTGAGTAGAGTTGTGATTTTTAGGGATTAGAGAATCCCCGGTCAGAGTTCCTAGGCTTTTGAGGATTGAGCAGATGATTAGAAATCATAGATAGAGTGTTTATAATGGTTCATCAGTTTTAGAATTCAGCTAATCCACTTTTAACGGAATCTCTTACTCTTAAGAAAAAATTTATTAATAAAAGAGAAGATTACACAGAATACTAATTCAAACTAGTTGTTTGTTTTCTATTTGTGAGTGATATGCCTCTTATTTATAGTCTTCAAAGCCCTTGCCTAATTTCTTAACGCGATTCTTGCCCCTTCTTTGTAATGGAAGCGTCTGTTACGCAATCGCCATTGATAGTGCTGAGGTGACCTAAATGCAAGACCATCACGATTTATGCGTAGCACTTCGATGGGTACCAATTGTCGTTCTGATTGTTTCCACGATGGTATTGTTATTTTCGCCGGGGGTAGGGGGCGGACCTGAGCACCTCTTGTGGCCTGTTATGAGCATTCAAACTCAAATTTATTGTCATGAGCATTCAAACTCAAATTTATTGTCATGAGCATTCAAACTCAAATTTATTGAGGTGGACAACCAAACTCAACCTTACCCAAAATTTAAGTATCATCAACACTCATATCGAGTTTTGACATATATTTTGAACTTAAATCCGTTAAAGTTTAATTAAAATCTAATTTGTTGATAAGGCTAATGTCACCTTCTAAGATCAGCTTCCACTTTATGCTTTTTCTTGTTTTGGGTAAAGTGAGTGACCACTTATGCTTATTGTCATATGCTTAGGTCAAATAGGTGGAAGTGTTCTTTTGGGGTAATGAAGTCCACGATGTTACCTAGCCCAAATGGGAGTAAATTACACACTCCTAACTCTTAAAATATACAAAATAATCTCAAGTCCACTTCACTTGTTGGAAATTTTCATTTTATCCTTCCTTGAAAACAAATCCAAGTGAAAATGGAGAGCCTTTTTTATTGATTTGATTGATTAGATTAGTTTGATTTTTATTTTAGTTTTTCTTGCACGCATTTATCTATTTGTCAAACTTTACATAAAACTTGGCGAAGTCCTAATCAATTATTATAATCAAAATCGATAAAACTTTTTTTTTCACACTATATGAAAGGAGAGGATTAATGTGGATCATTAATAATTCATATATTTTGTCAATGGCGGGCAAAATCAAAAAAAAAATATTTTATTTCAAAAATCAAAATTAAAAGGCTTAATCTCAAATTATATCCCAAAAGAACATTCGAATTTTTATTTGTACCTTTAAAAATAAAAAATCTCAATTTACACTCTCAAATATATAAATTTGTATCAATACGCACCTCAAGCTAACAGCTGACAATTTGTTTTTAAAACTAAATAAATAAATTTCACCTATATTTTTTTGTGCTTGTCATTTATTCACCTAAATCATCACATTTGAAATATTACACCTATATCCCTTGAAAAGTTAAATATGACTAAAAATATTCTCTCAATTGAGTATTCAAATAATTCTGTTTAAGTGATGTATTGTATTGAATATAAAAAATATTATATAAATATCTAAATTATATTGGACATTCAAATAATAAGCTTGATTTTGAATTTTAGAGTATAACGAACCCATAAAATAAATTATAATATAAAATTATAATTTTTTATTATGATAAAATCATATTTTTTAACAATTATATCAATAACAAGAGGTTATGTATTATACGTGTACAAACGTTCGAAAATGTAGGGATAATATTCTAAATATGAGGGAGTCCAAATGATTAAGTGACAAGGATGATGAGATCTAAGTGTAATTTATGTATTTAATTTTAGATGGGAAACTAATGGTTGTTAGTCTCATGTGCGCATTGATACAAATTTTTATTTTTAAAGGTGAAAATTGAGAGATTTTATTTTTAAAGGTATAAATTGAGATTTGAACAATATTTTGAAATACAATTTTGCAATTAACCCAAATCATTGTATCCAAATCAAGTGAAAGGTTTTGAATGAATGAGAATTTAGTGCGGGCATTTGACTTTGGTCTAATTCATTGTAAATCACGCACATTAAAACCTAAACTGATCAAGAAAAGAACCGAATTTGATATAGTGAGAAAATAATCATGAAAATATTTTCATTAGGACTACTTGAAATTTTGTACTCGTGCAATAATAATAGTTTTTTTTTTTTTACTTGAGTGTAGCACTAACCAATAATTTTTTTAGCATTTTACAATGATGTTTGACTTTATTATTTTATATCCAACACTATAATTATAATTATTGAACTTATTTTCTTAGTACATATCAATTAACATCTAGTTATTTTTGGTCTAATGATATTATTTATTTTATAAACATTTTACCTTATTAAGGTCAAAGGTTCAATTTTTCTTTCCCCCTCCCCTCCATTCCCTTGCCCCCCCCCCCCAAAAAAAATGTCGTCTAGTCAATAATTTTATTTTTTAAAGCAAAAATTGAGTTCAAAATCAAGAATATATGGGTTCTAAAAATATTATTCTTTTTAGTTTATGTGTTTATTTATATAATAAGAGAGTTAGACATTTGAATTTTATCTCTATATATTGATTTATCTATTTTTATCACATTACTTTTTTTTATAATAAGTGGAATCATTTAATTTTAATTAATTTATGATTCAATATAAATTTTATTTCAAACATTATTCATATACGATAGTGTTACACAGGTTGATACTTTTTGGGATCATATATTTTGAGAAAATTTTATCAATTTTTTATTTTAAGAGATAATAACTAAAAATTAATTTTGAATTACGTAAGTAAAGAAAATGAAGAATATAAATTAGTAGGATTAATTTTTTGGACGATGAAATTTTTTGTCTCGTCGTATCTTCATATACGAATTATTGATAATTTATTTATATTGAACTTTATTAGTAGTTCAAGTGGTAATATGAACGAACTGTAAATTCAAACGTTTTTTCATAAATTTTCTAATTTGCATGTATGTAGCCTACTTTTGATCGGATCAAAAAAGAGAGTAATTGATGCACGTGATCCGAATATTTTTGAGCGTTGAAACAAAAATTAGTTTGTTTATATTTTATATGCAAACATAGTTTGAATTAATAACTTTTTTATAAAAATGTGTGGTTCAATAACCACACATATTATCATCTATAAATCCTAATTCTCTCTCTCTCTCTCTCCGCCACATAGGAGTTGCAGCCGCTCCCCCTTCCTTCTTCTATGCTTTGACGTCTACAGCCAACTCTATTTATTTAGTATATTTTATACCTTTTTTCCGCCATTTTCAAGGTAAACAAATCAGCCCTCAGACCCACATAATTACCATACTTTTCTCAACCCTCCAGTCTCATTCAAATGGAATCAAAGGACTAGACCCCCTACCCAACCCACAAAACAACACTAACCCATGAAAACCCATAAAAAGATCAGCGAGAAGAAGATCAAAGAGTGGGGTTTGTTTCATCGAGGATCTGAAATTTAAGGGTATTTATTAGAAGGGGGCAGGGACGAATGGACCCTGTAGTTCTCGATAAGATAATCGAAAGGCTAATTGAAGTCAGATCTTCAAAGCCCGGGAAGGCGGTGCAGCTTTCGGAGTCAGAAATCAAGCAGCTATGTGTTGTCTCTCGCGATATCTTTATGAGACAGCAGAATCTTCTTGAACTCGAAGCACCCATCAAAATTTGTGGTACTCTCTTATCTTTAGACTAATTTTGCAATTGGGTATTTAATCGGTAAAGTTGTTTTCTTGATTTTCAGTGTGCTTCTGGGTTTTTTTTTGTGTTATTTGGATTTTTCAGATGTTTTATTAGATTTGGGTTTAGGTAGAGGTCTTGGAGTCTGATTTTTTCGTAGCGATTGACCAAATTCTGGACTTGATTTCGAGTTGTTGTGCCTTTAAATTAATCGAAAGAAATTACTAAATTCTGGGTTCTCATAAAAGGTCCCCCCAAAAAATAAAAAATAAAAGAAGAGGAAGAAGAAGAAAAAGAAACTGACCACCAACCCCCAAGATGCAGTAGCATATGGATTCATAAGAGCAGTTAGCACTAGTAATTATAGCCTGAGTCATAAAATTATATGTTCGGATGCTGATGTTGGTTAATTAAAAGCTTTGACATGTTGAAACTGTGTTGGAGTACCAGTTTTTGCATGATCTCATGTTTTTGAAGCAGATTTTCATAATGAAGTTCTTACACTTCCATGGTTTACATGCCTTGTAGGTTTAAGGCATTTCGACAGTGATTCTTCTGTTGTAGCATAAACCAAATGACTTGATTGGACCTTTAGGACAGAATGTCTATGAATTGTTAACAAGACATTACCATAGAATAGAAAACTTGGAAAATTATTTTGAGTTATAGTTAGCTTGGTGGTTAAGTTGACTGGTTTTCTATTCTTTTTATATGATCTGGTGAAAATAAAGCACATTATTATGTATTTTGTGGGTTGATTAGTGCACCTTGTTACCATTTTACTTGATGAGTCGATGGTGCTCTAATTCGGCCTTGAGAATGATATATGGGCTATCTTTCCATATGTGATTGATGAATGAACTCAAATGAATGATGTTGTTCTACTATTGACACGTGTATTAAGCAAATTCTTGTGCGATCCTTTGGGTGAGGCATTTACTGCTACAACTGTCAATATGTATATAGTTATGACTTAGCTGACTTCACTTTGTGCTAATAGGTGCATCAATCTTTCATCCCAGAAGTCCTTCTAAGTCTTTGAGCCTTTGTCTCAGCTAATTAATAACGAATGGGACTGTTTTGCATTTTTTCAACACTTTGAAATAATTAGGCTTGCCTTGCACGGCAATGGGGTAGTGATGTTTTACAAACCATAATTGCTCATTCCTATGTCTTAAGATAAATATGATTTTCTAACCATGTATTATTTCGCTTTGTGGTTTCAGGTGACATTCATGGGCAATACAGTGATTTATTGAGGCTTTTTGAATATGGGGGTTTTCCTCCAAAAGCAAATTATCTATTTTTAGGTGACTATGTAGATCGTGGCAGACAGAGTTTGGAAACAATATGCCTCCTGCTTGCTTATAAAATTAAATATCCTGAGAACTTTTTTCTTCTCAGAGGAAACCATGAATGTGCGTCGATTAATAGAATTTATGGATTTTATGATGAATGTAAGCGCCGGTTTAATGTGAGACTGTGGAAAGCCTTTACTGACTGTTTTAATTGTCTTCCGGTGGCGGCTCTGATTGATGACAAGATATTGTGCATGCATGGGGGCCTCTCCCCTGATCTTACAAACTTAGATCAGATTAGAAACTTACCACGTCCAACTGCTATTCCTGACACTGGGTTGCTCTGTGATTTACTGTGGTCGGATCCTGGTGATGTCAAGGGATGGGGTATGAATGACAGGGGAGTTTCATTCACCTTTGGCTCCGATAAGGTGTCAGAGTTCTTAGCAAAGCACGATTTGGACCTTGTCTGTCGTGCTCATCAGGTTTTGTTGTGAATGTGCAGTGTTTTCTTTTTTCATCAATGCAATTCTGGTCGCTGAAATAGTTCTTTTGGTGCAGGTTGTGGAGGATGGTTATGAATTCTTTGCTGATAGGCAGCTTGTTACCATTTTCTCTGCCCCCAACTACTGTGGTGAATTTGATAATGCCGGTGCAATGATGAGCGTTGATGAAAACTTGATGTGCTCTTTCCAAATTCTTAAGCCAGCAGAGAAAAAGAACAAGTTCATGATGTCCACAAAGATGTAGTTACTGTTCCCTACTTTTACAAGGTCAGCACACTATGACTGCTTCGGTTCCTTCACCTAAGTATTCTAGTTGCTGTGTCAATATAATTGCTTATATTCCCTTCTCTAGCATTAGTGTCGTATTGGGTTGTGGGTTTCAACACTGAAGTTATTTGCTTTTTAAGTGATTTTAATATTTGTCATTTAAATCTGCTGTCGGTACTATGATGAAAGTCTCGTGTTGGTGTAAAATTTTCAAGATGGATCTTTGTGAATACACTTGCTACAGATTATTGAATATATATCTCTTGTTCTGCTCTGTGTTGGTATACTTATTTACACAATTCTGAAATAGTGTACAGAAATACGACTGACTATTGAATATATCTCTCTTGTTCTGCTCGACACTGGCGTACTGATTTACACCACGTTGTCACCAACTTCTGTACTGGTATACAGGAATACAGGTGATCTTCCTTTGTTTGTTACAATTTGGAACATTTGGGTGGTAAAACACTTTTTGGCCATCATAATTTTAAATGGAGATCGAGTGTAAATGACATGAATTAAACTAATCATGTTTGCTTAAGGTACTTTGCAAGTCACTCAATCTCTCCCCATTTTATAAGTTTATATGACTAATGCATGGATTATTTGCTTTCATAGACAATTGCTTAATTTCTAGAGCATATAATGTAGTGTCAGGATTCATGTTTGACTCTTCCAGAACAATTTATAAACGGTCATGCATGCAACAGAAGGTTAGTTATAGCTTGATTGGAAGTATAGAATGGTTAGGCATGGGCATATGTAAATTAACCGTTTTCAGCCACATCATCTTGTTCTATATGCCAAAAAAGACAAAGGAACCCGTTGGCTGTTTAACATCCTTAATCCCTTACTTAAAGGGTGATGCTCCATTTTTTTTCCAATACTTTGTTAAGAGTAACCAGTGGCTTTTTAAGAATTTCACTATGTTATGTTTAATGTATCATTTGAATCATGTTTTTCCAGCATGATGAGATTTAATCATTTCGTTATTCATTTTTTGGTTGTCTCTTCATGAAGTAGATGGTTATTTTACCTCATTGGTATATGTACTTACCATGTTTGGACTTGGTCCCCGGATATCAGACGCCCTTATAGATATATTGAAAAAGGAGTCAAACCAGGATTATACAACTGGTTTGGAGTTAGATAATGGCAGTCCAACTTCTTTTGTGTTTGTACGGACATGAACTACTCTACTAATGAACATTGTGAACTAGGCTGGATGACAAAATTGTTCGGCCCAACCTGCCTGTTAAACAAACAAGCTGACTCATTAAGGCTCGTTCTCTCGATGAGCCCATTGGAAAGGATTCATGCTTAGGTTGAGCCGTTGGGGTCATACGACTCATACATGATACATGACCCTGTAATGACTGCATTTATTTAAATCAGTGCTAATTGTTTATATCGGTTGTGCTACTCTTCTCTTGTTAATTGTTAGCAATTTAATTCTATTGACAGGTTTCTCTTATTGCAGATATCTTTCTATTGTTAGAGGAAGAAGTGGGTGAAGCTTGTCTTGGAAATTCGAACTCAAGGAGATATGAGTACCATGTTTCATGCTCGGTGTATCTTATTGGTTTGATAAATGTTTGGTTGGCACAGGCCAGAATCTTCATTGGCTTTTTTTTACCCCTTTTCAGTGAGTGGTGCATGTACATATATTAATTTGGAAACTGCTTTATGTTAGCTTTGGATCATGGCCAGGATAATAGAGCTCCATTCACTAAAATCAGCTGATTTTGTGCCAGACTCTAATGGATTATGGGGTTTTGCAACATTTGTATTGGTGAGTTCGGATAAATACTTGTTTGACATGTTCAATTATAATCGTCAGACTCAGTTGCATGCTTAGGATGTCATGGTGATGGTCTTCTTGTTGAATGTTCTTGTTGCCGTAAAACTTCAATAACTTGAGGAGACTTTCAGGCAACAGCTACTGGTCTTTTGGGCTGGCATGATTAATCGTAGTCTTTTGGTTTCTGGGAATGAGCAAGGTTCTGTTGATTTTAATATTTTCTTGCTTGCCGCTCTTTTTCTTTCCATTTGCATATCCCGAGAGGAGGAAATACTTTGAGGTGGAATGAATTCTCAGCTTTTGTTATTTGTATCGTATTTGAAGGCTGCATACATTTGATTCTCTTCAGACCTTGTAGTAACTGGAGTTTTGTATACTAGGTTGACTTTCATTGCTTACCTACTAGCTCACGATTTATGTATTTCTATAGCCTTATGATTTAGGTTTTGGGGCCAACTCCATGTGCCATTGTTTTTCTTGTGTACAAGGAGATGAACTACATTGCTAAGCTAAGTACCCGTGAGATGTCTCTATCCATGTCTATGACTACTAGGACTCAAAAACTCTAGCATCAACAACTATTCATGTCACCCATGTTTTTGGAGTCCTCTGAGATGTTGCCTAGGGTGATTTTTTGAGACATTATTGATGCTTGCTTATATCATTTTAGTCGTGAACTCGTGCAATGTATAAGGTTTACGCATCATCCCTCTTCCACACTCGCATCTTACTCGGGCCATCTCCCTCCAAAACTATCATGTTTATATATACGTAGCCCCAACTATATTCATTCCCACTCTCAACGTGCGAGTGAATTGCCAAAGTAAGATAGTTTATGAAAAATAATCCCAATCTAGCAATAGCCACAAAGTTCTCTTTAATAAACTTTTCCAGGCCAAGTCCTGCCTCACTCTTTGGGGAAAATTAACAATAATTACTTTTAAAGTTTAGTCTCTAGCCACAGGGTTAAAAAAGACAAGATATTAGTACAGTTTTGCGTGCATTTCAACATTAAAAATACTCCGTGGTTAGCAGTTGCCCTAGGTCTATAGTTACTGTCTCTGTTGTTAGACCTTAAGATGTCGGTTTGAACCTTGTCGCCCTCTTTTCCCTAAAATAGTGTTTGGCAAAAAAAAACCACCATCAAAAGGATCCCATTTTCCAAGTACATAATGACGGGGTAACAAAGCATGGTGCATTTGGCCCATGGCCCGTAGGCTAGGCCAGCCATACATGGCCAGACTACTAGCCCACGGGTAGCAACGTGGCTTTGTTTAGCTGGATCAAGAAGACCCGATCTAAGGCAGACCATCAGGCTGCCAAAATTTAATAAAATAATTAGATAAATTAAAGAAAAATTTGGACGCCATTCCTCCGATGCGGACTTGTTTGAATTTAAATTTAAATATGTCAAATAAACTTATTTGTTATAAAATTTATTTTTTATTAATTTTATCAGACTATCCCTTTTTTTTTTAAAATGAAGTAAAACTAAAAATTAAAAACTCTTAAATTTTAAGAGTTTAACTAACATTAAATTTTTTTTTCTCTCATAATTATATATAGGTTAGGACTATATATATATATAGTAACATTAAAATACAAAGAAAAAAATTATCATTTAAACACACAAAAAATAGTAATATTTAAACATAAAAAAATAGTAACATTCCATATTAATATTTTTAAAAAATAACAGTCGTAACATGTTCAACAGAAATAGTAACATGTTCAACAAAAATAATAACATACTTAACAAAAATAGTAACATGCTAAAAAAAAAATTAGTAATATAAAATATTAAATAAAATTAAAAATAAAAATAGTAGCATTCAAACCCATAATCAGAGGAAGAAGCCTCCGATTTTCAGCATTCAAAAAAGTAACACTGAAAAAGTAGTAACATGATCAATTAAAAAAAATAGTTACATAGTCAATAAAAAAATGTAGTAACATGAAACTTTTAAAAAAATTGGGGATTATTTGTCAAAAAAATAAAAATAAAATTGAGATCAAACTAATAACACATTAAACATGTTTTTCAACCTTTTTTTTTTCTGAAAACTAATGACATATAAATTCATGATGACCAGAATACAACATAAGATATGGTTATTGTTGATGATGTTTCAAACCCTACTGATTTTAATGCTATGGAAGAAGAAATGATATCTAAGAAGAAAAATTTGTTATACTAGAGTAATGATCTTATTCTAACATGAGAGAGAGAGAGAGAGGGGGGGGGGGGAGAGAATATATAAATTTCAATTTTACTTTAGCAGTGAATTAAGGGATAATAATTTCTAATTTAATAAATTAATTTAAAGCTACTTTCAAGATCTTTAAAGTTTTTATAATTGAACAAAATAACACTACAAAGGGTATTTTTGAAATTTAAAAAAATAAGACCTAAGTACTTATTAGCAAGATAAAAAATGAATTTAACACCAAATAAATTTTTTTAACAGACTCAAGTCATTATAAATCTTTCAGTGGAACTCGGTCTCAATTTTCACTAAGTTTTTAAATTAGAAAGGGCGACCCATTAAGGCTGGCCTGATGGATAGCCTGCTAAATTTCCACTAATACAGCTCCAATGGGCAAGCAGTGGCACGCCCATGTGGTACAATTGGCCCAGTCCAGCCTTGCCCAATGTTTGCACTTACTGGTACCTATGCAACCTCAAGAGTCTCAGACAAACCCCATCAGAAAAAAACATACTACACAACAAAAATATATGCACTTCGCATCTATACTGATTGTTCTCAGTACACTAGAGGCTGCTAGCCAAGAGTTTTCCATAAATTATTTCACAGAATTCACGATAAATTAGTTTGATAATACGTTGGCTAAAAATCATACCACATTAAACAATCAAACAGTAAAATCTCCCTATGAAAGCTGCCATGAGTACGAAAAACAGTGTCGAAATACAGAATGCTATTGGAGCACATCGAGATGGTATCATGTGGAAAGTAAAGATTCTGAGTCTATTGTCACCTTTGAAATCATGAATACCTAAATTTGTTGCAGATGGAACCAAATGCAGTCAGTGGCGATGAGAATTAGGTTCTGTATCTTATTTTTTGATTAATCTCAACACGTCACCCACAAGATGTAATGAACCAGTTACAAGGACCTGGTAGATGAACCAGAGGAAGAAGGGTGAGAAAGATGAGGGGTAGGGGTGAGGTTAAGAGGAAGAAAAAAGGAAATAGTCAGCAAGCCACCACACTGTAATTTTTTTTTATTTCAAATCAAATCAACTTAACATCTTCAAGTCATAAGTAAAATGTGATGGGCAGAAATTCAAATTACCTGAAAGCGAACAGATTGATGTTTTCGGACATTCTCTCTGAGCCAATTGATAGCTGACGGAAGTGAAGGAAACACCGTGCTGTTCTCACAAATCCTAGCACTTTTTCTGTACAATTGATATCTTCTTCACAAATTAAGTCGGTATTCTTTGTGTTGCTCCCTATTGAGTAAAGGGACCATAGGAGTTACAAACCATGCGAAGCTAAATCAACTATTCTTCCTCACAAATCTAGAGTCTAGAAGATATTATAGTTGGTCCACAGAAAGAGAAACAAAATGAAAATAAATCAAGACATCTTTTGCAAAGAAGTATGGAAAACGTATATAAATCCCATTCAAAATGCAGGACGTATCACTCAAGCCAAGAGCTCTGAAATAATTATGGAAACATAGTAGTAGTAATACCACACTAGAATAAAAAGCATGATATATGCAAATACATATAGATTGTAGCACAAAAGAGCAATACCTTTTTGACCATGGATGAGGTTCTCCCATAATCTTTGAAGAGTCAGCTGCCATGAAAGATCAACTTGAGTGTCGGATGACGGTAAGGCATTGGATCCCACCTTGTAATATACTGATGTGTTTGGTACAAACAGTGCCTTCTTGAAATGGACTCCTGAAACATAAAAATTAACATCAGATATCTCATGAATATCAAAGACAGATATCCATTCCCATTAATGGTTTGTCATATGGTCCCTTCCAAATCAGTAATTAACTTACTGAATGGTTCCATAGATGAATCTAGCTCAAACATTTACCATGACTAGCACATGCATTCATCAGGCGTGGAAGAAGCAATTGAGGGTCCCTCACTGACATACAATTGAACAGCAAAATCTGCATTTCTCCAAACAACTCTAGTTCAGCAGCATCCAGTAGAAAAGGCAGCATCGGAAAATAAATAGCAAGACATATGTGCAATACCACCTATTTGATTTAAAATATAGACATATATATTCCACTTATAAAAATCAAAGTGTTCCATAAGTACCCAAATATGAAATTCTAAGATACATGATACATACAGGAGATGTAAACAAAGAATGGCACAATTTAGAGTGAATCCTAGTGGCAAGTCTGAAGAAGATTCATCTAGTTCAAGTTTTGTCAATGTTTACCACAGGAGAAAGAGAGAGCATCGGTTCATGTGAAGCATCTGAACTGTGTGCAACAACATATTTTCATCTTCTTTGCCATTTTCTGCCTTTCCATGTCATAAAAAATTGAACAAGCCAAGTTTCTTTCTTTACCTTTGTGTTTAGTCAAAATCAATCCCCATCCTTTCTAAAAGTAAGTTTTTCATTTACCCCTTGAGAAACAAAAGTCATCTAACGAGAAACATAAGAGCTCCTGTAACTGGAAGGATGTCAATTTTTGAAGCATTCATTTTTTTGGCATTTTAGGCATACAGACTGTGAAGCACAAATCGAATATGTACCAGATAAGGCTATGCATTGGATACATGAATATACATATCACGTATGCTCCATACGTATCAAACAACTAATAAAGTTTTTTTGTTGCTAGATCTGCCTCAAATGCCCATATAGCTACGACGGTTATGAGCTCATCGCACTCGGAGAGGTGGTCTGTGTTAATTTGAGCTAATTTTAACACCAAATCTTTGTGCTCAGTGGTCTGGTGGTTCAAGTTCGTGCTCTTTACAATAGGGAAGTACTGGACCTAGTTGGAAGCATCTTACAGACCTCCCATGGAGAATTGCTTAGCTTGAGAAGATGGAGTGGGTGACAGGCCTTGGGAAGAGTGAAGTTGGGCTGGATTTTGAGAATGGTTTACAGCTTCTTTGGGTCAAATAGGTGCTATGAGTTATATTAGATGCTACGTCAACCCCACTTTCACACACATGCCAGCTCAGGCACTCTATAGGAGACATATAAGTATCTAATCCAAAACTTAGATATTCCAACCTCTAACTATTCCCAACAATATTAGATCCAACAGGATTATGATCCCCTTACCTGTGTGGAATTCTTCTTGAAAGTCTCATGCTGGTCCATCTGAACTGATTCAACTGAAACTCTTTTATGTTCATGTACCAGATTACTTACGGTATTCAGCTGTTGGTAGTCATCTTTGATCGCAAGAGAAAACCATTTTGCACATACTTCCATGCTTTCAGGACTATGGGCTCCATCCAAGTAGAACACCAGATTTCCTGGACTTTCACTCTCAATATACCGATCTGGTACAACTTGAGCCCGTCCTTGCAAAGCAGCAGTTGTTAACCCTTCAATGAATTGCTGAGGCAGAGAAGTCTATTTACATGCAAAAACCAAGCCACAATACAGAATGACAAACTTTCAGTTGACATAACCCAGAGTCTGGTGCAGGTAATTGACCTTAGGATGTTTCACTAAACAAGCCTCAATATAGAATGGAAAACTCATATTGACATAACTTACAGTCTGTTGCAGGTAATTGACTTCAAGATGGCCAGTCCTTTGAAGCCACGTAGAGCATAATGCAACAGCAAGACCAGCATTCAGATATTGGTGCTCACCGTCAAGCCCAAGATGTAGACCGTTCAGCAAGTTAGCATCCAATGGAGCTGCTACTTGAAGATGTACCTGTAATGTGCGTAATTTGTTCAAAACTCAGCTAAATGCCAGGTTTGTAATTTAGCATGGCATAGCTAGTAACTAACATAAAATAGAGTCATTGACTACACTGCTAGACTCAGCCCGCATAGTAGTGTAAGCATGGTATCTCTTTTAAGGTCACTGGATCAAGTCCTGAAAATTCTCTAAGCTAATAATGTTATAGCCAAAATCTTAAGCACTATCGCAAAAGCAAATTGATCTGTTGAATCAATCATAAATGGCAGCTTTTTTACTTTTTTTTTTCTTTTTGTAAAGGAGAGGGGGCAGCACCCATACAAATGTTTATAGGTTTGCATTTTTGCAGTACGACCCATACCTTGAGCTACCAAGTCAAGCCAGTTTAATAGCAATCCAACAAATTCAGGAGGTTTTAAAACTGGGTGCAGTCATCAAGTTAATTTACATTATGAGTTCTGAGTCATATCAGTGTAAATTGTATCATATCATATAAACGAGATTGTGAGTGATATCATTCTAAATGTACCAAAGTAAATGATAAAAGAAATCAACGCACATGCAATTGGGAAGCCTTCGCTTCAAGCACACGCATTGCTTCATCAGGCTGGGGTACAGTAAAAGCTGGAACTCCAAGCTATGACAGCAGAGAAAGCAAGAGAAATAGTAAATTATTTAAGGAAATAAGAGAGAGAGAGAGAATAAATTTAGGGAATAAAAGAAGCACCCCTATTGAAAGACATAATAACATAAATGTAAGTCTACAAAAAAAAAAAAAACCTTGAAAATACCAGCTTTCTCCCCAGCAATTTCTCCAAGAGTGTTACCTGCCCATGGCATATTACAAAGAATGAAACAATCATACGTATTAGGCCAGGTTGCTTTCAGAGCAGCATTTACATTCAGTTAAGAGGAACACGTCTCTACAAATCAAAATTCAGGAAGCTGACTCAAAGGGAAAGTCTAACTCAAATTTTAATGTCAATTATTGCAACTAAGGGGGTATACGAGGCAGTAGATCATTGACATTGCCAGGGCGAGTCCAAAACTCAAAAAGTCTAGGTCCCAGATGAATCTCCCAGAGCAAATCATAGACAAGCTCCTAAAATGTAAGTATTGGTACGAAATTAAGGCATGACATCTATAATTCGGTTGCATAGTGAGTCTCACAAACATATTCTTTTGCAGCATTTTAAGACATTGTTCAAGCTTATGCTATCCAAGACTTATGGCCTCAGATGTTACGCAGTCATTGTGAATAAACAAATAGTTTCGGCGTCCAAAACGACAGTCTCCAGCCAAAGTAGTCACATTTTCATGGAAAAATATGTCGCAACATTGTCTTACAAAATATATGAGAGCCCAGGCCAGTACACAGTTAAAAAGTGTATCTATTACGGTTGGAGCAACAGCAAGGTTTATCATGGACAAACAAAAACTAAGACTATGCTGTCACCTTTAAATTATGGAGATAGAATGCTAACCAAGAATTTCCATGTGGTCGTACCCAAGGGAAGTTATACCACAAACTACTGGTGTCTGAACCTGAAAAGCAATAGCATGCAACATCATGTTCAACATCTCATGAGCAGAAGTACTGAATTCCACCTCAAAGATATCATAGATGCAAATTAATTCATGATTTAATAATATCACAAAGCTTGTTCCAAATTGGATGTATCTCTCACATACCACATTTGTTGCGTCAAATTTTCCACCTAACCCAACCTCCAAGATAGCAACATCCACCTGCATCACAATATAACATTGCATGTACTTTGAGCTAATCACTCTAATGTTGTGGTAAATTCAATGTTATGAGGAAAATAGAATAAACAGCATACCTGCTCTGCTGCAAATATCTTGAAGGCAAGTAAGGCAAGGAAGCGAAAGTAAGTAGGCATGGGTATCTCATCACCGGTGTTTTCCTGCAGATGAGCCACGAAAAAACCACTAAAAATGAATCCATGAAGCAAACATCGTCCAAAAGGAAGCACATTAAAACAAACAAAAAAAGCTTTTTATTCTTTTTCTCGTTGTTCATTGAATACAATATGAGCGAAGATATGGGTCTTATACAAATGGATAGTGCATTCAAACAACGTGATTAAGGTGGTCTTTGGGATGACTTAAAAAGTGTTTCTTGGACTCATAACTTGCCATAACTCATAAGTACTTTAAACCAAAAAGAAAAAAGTAGTGTTTGGAACAACTTATTTTAAGGACTTTGAAATACTTTAGAATTGGTTTTAACAATTAAATAAGCTCTTAAATAGAAGCAAAAAAAAAAAAAAACTATTACTTTTTTAAAAAAAAAGTATCATTTTTCTTCCACGACCACCAACACCACCATTACCTATAATTTAGCACTTAAAGGTATTTATACAAAAGCAATATGCTTTGGGATCATAGGCATTACATGGCTTTAAGTATTGCTACGAAGGCAATACTAATAGCATGATGATCCTACGGATTCATAGGTATGTCATAAAAGAGGTAGTGCAATAGAGTCAGAACAACAAGTAACATCCTAATTCTATCCAACTCACAAAATTACACATCATTATACAAGCAATTTCTCTCCTTTCCTTTCCTTTTTTGGCTTCTTTCAGGAATGGCAGGCTGCTCAGTGATGAATAAATAGCAAAGTCAGTAGATGAAGATGGAATTCAAGTCCTTGGGAAGACATGATCACAGGTGTAGGGTGAGACCTCCACCAGAACCAATAGCATCTCCAGAAGCCATATGAAGTAATTCAGGAAAGCAGAAAACAAGTTTTCTTCTGCCATTTTGCACTTCTGAATAATATCAGCTGCATGACCAACAAACTCGACTAGACTACATGCATACATTGTTGAACTTTGTACCATACAGTTTCAGAGTGGCAGCCTCAGATTGCATAACGAATCATTAAAAACATAAGTCATGAATTTAATTACTGCAATTTTTTTCCAACTTAATTAGAATTTTGGGTGCAATGAATTTATTCGTAATAAGGAGTAACATTACGTGGTTAGGAAAAATAGTTGAAAATAAGTTTAAACTCCTCAATATGATCAACAACAACAATCATCTAACATTACTCTGACAATAATTGACCAAATTATATTCAAAAATATTATAGGCCTCAGTTTATACAATAAAAAGAAAAAACAATAATAAATACAATGTACATGCCTTCAATCTATCATAACACCACCAGAAGTATGCCAAGAACTTCTCTTCACATATGTTCGCACTGAAATAACCAAGAAGAATGAACAGGATATATTAAAATAAAATTTGCAAGCTTAGAACTGTCCCAAAAATAAAAGAAAAAAGATAATATCTGAGGTTTACCCAACAGGTGGACCATGCTACTTAAGATTTATGCGTCTTACAAAACAAACAAAAAAAAAATTCACCACAAAATAAACAAGGGTGGGAACTACCCTGCCATGAAAAGAAGTACACCAAAAGTTGAAAAATTCGAGTAGAATATAATTCTTAAAGAATGCATAAAAATATCATCTTGAGCCATAGCCAGAACAAAATAACAAACACAAACTTCAACTATTCACCTACACTACCCAACATTAGATAAAGACACACTAATGCTCAATGGGCAACCACAAAAGTATTGGAAGAACACTAAATAGATTTGTGCCTGTTGACAAATATGTTACCATCTGAATATAATGCAATGTGAAAACTCACCCATCCAATCGAAATCTTTCTCGAACATCAATGAGATGAGGAGATGTGAAAAGCCCAGTATGGAAGCCACAATTGCGTAATATAGCTTCTGTAAAAGTGCAAGTTGATCCCTTCATGAAGCCCAAAACACATAATAAATACATGCCACCAGCCATAAACAAACAGTGGTGGGTAGTATATCATAATCTATTTATTTTAAGCCAAATTTTTATAAAATAACATGTTTTTAGCAGAAGTAACCACAACATGGCACATGCTATGCAAACAAAATGTCTGCACACTCTGAATGCTAGAGAAGATGTAGCAAGATGTGCCCCTGAATGAAGATGACATATACATATAACAACCAGTACATGCACACACACGTACACATATCAAAATAAAATGCGAACTTATATGCTATACACACCCCATAATTCATTGCACAGAATGTTTGACACCCTAGAAGTTAAAGTGAATGATCTGGACCTTTGCAAAATAAAGGACCCTAAATACGACGGCCTTAATTGAAAAGCTTGCAAAAAGGTTAATAACTGACCGAGAAGCTGATAGATCAAATAAGCAGAATTTTGCAGAGACTAAACAAGCTAGAATAAGAATGAGTGGAATGATCAAAACGGAAAGGGTGCATTCAGGAAAGGCTGAAGGTAGTACAACAAAAGCAAGAGGAGAGTAACTACAAATACTACGGATTTGGGGCAGTGTTAGCCAACGAGAAATCATTCAAGAGACAGAAAAAAATAACAACGTACTCTCGTTCGATAATGCTTAGTTAAGGTGGAAACATAAGTAATGTCACAAAGATAATTCTATACAGTGAATGAATCAAATACATGAATTTGTTTGAAAACAAGCATTAGTCATAAACTAAGAGTTGGTTGACCCTTCTTATTCTATAGTGTAAATCAGAAAGAACTACCTTCCCTTTGGTGCCTGCCACATGGATAATCTTCATTTGTGAAATTGACTCATCCAATTCCAGAATCTATTGTTGATTGATAACATAATATAAGCTTGGGTTTGCAAAATTGCTGCAGCAATGTATACCAAAATTTGCAAATTACCGGTAAAAAAAACTACCTTGAGATAATCAAACAGTAAATCAAATCGATCGCCCTTGTTGCTCTTATCCGCCCGACTACGTTTGGTAATCAGAGAAGAAAGAGCCTCCATTGCCTCATCATATGGCGACACGTCAAGCTTCGACGAACCATTGTCACCTTCACCAATAAACAACACAATTGTCTTAAAAACCACTCGCCACTCGCCACTCGCCACATCTTCTTCATTCAATAAACTCAACGAGCAATCAATAGATTCAAATTCCAAATCACAATTGGTAATATAAAACAAAATCTATGTATGGAGGTTAATGGAAGAGAATCAAATCCAATTAAAAACAAAAAAGAGGAATCAGGCGAAGAATTTGAATCTGAATTCAGTAGCGAGTGAGAGGTACCTCCAGACATGTTGATTTGACTCTGTAAGTTCAAAATCTGAATTCAAAAGAGTATTATTATGTCAAATAAACCAAGCATACGAATCCATATGTATGTGTATATATATATGCACAGAGACTGACCTGGAAGATGCGAGAAGCAAGAACGGAGTATAGTATAGGTTGAGGATTGCAATTTGGTTTCTGGTTTTTCTTTCTGAATTTGATGTGGAAGGAGGAAGATGAAGTGCAGAGCAATGAGTTATAGTTGGTGGTGGAGAGAAGACGATGGGGATGGGGATGGGGGTTGGGGATTGGTGGATTGGGTTTCAAGACTCTTGAACGAACGATAAACTGAAAAGGATTGTGCTCAGGACCGAACCAAGCATTCGAAGTTTTGTTATTCCCTTATTCTTTAACGAATTATTCATCCGACACGAGTTTACGTCGAATTAATTCGACAGAGGAGGTCCCTAAAATATGATACAGATTTGTCTTTTTTTTTTTTAACTTAAATATTTTAATTGTATCATTTTAGTCCTTAAAATATTTAATATATTTTTTATGATCTTTTAAACAAATAACGTCCAGATTACTAATAATTTTTTATTATAAACTTGTCACGCAATACCTAAATATAGATAAAAAAATTATTTTGATAGTTTTTAAACAAAATTTGAGTAATTTTTCACAAAAAAATGCGTAACATGAGTAGTTTTTGACTAAAATTTGGATAATGTATGATCAAAATTAAATAATTTGAGTAGCTATTTAACCAAAAATTAAGTAAAATTTTGGTCAATAATTATTCAAATTATTTTTTTATTTATATTTAAGTATAACGTGACAAGTTTATGATAATAAATCGTTAAAAGTTTGGACGTTATTTGCTTGAAGAACCATATAGAAACATTAGTTATTTTTTATGCCTGAAGGCACAGAGTAATAAAAAAAATTGTCAACAATAAGCATATTTATATTCACACTTAAAAATCAAATTACAAAGATAGAGGAGAGAGAAAAAAAAATTTAAGTACCGATTGTAATGAGAGTAAGTGGTGGTGGTGAGAAATGGTAATGATTGTTATGAGTAATAATGACCGATTGTGATGGTGACAGCTGTAAGTGATAATGGCGATGATGGTGAGACAGTGATGACAAGATGACGACACCAATAATGGGGGTGGGGTAGTGGTTGGGTGGAGACAGTGGTGGTAATGGTGGGACGATGATGATGACTGTTGTGGAAAATGTGGTGGTGGGGTGGCACAGTGGTGGGGGTGGGGGTAGGGTGGTGAAAGTTGTGGTAATGGTTGCAGTGGGACAATGAGGGTGGTGGTAGTAATGGGTGGGGGTGGTGGTGCTAGGGCATTTCCAAACAATACTTTTTTTAAAAATATTTATGAAAAATTATAAATTTTAAAAATATTTTTAAAAAGTTATCTCAAATACACCCTTAAGAATCTATTTTTTCTATTAAATTTGGGGTATTAATATTAGTCGTCGGATTAATGTTAAAGTAAAATTAAAAAAAATCTCAACCACAAAAAAAAAAAATTATTTTGTTTATCTTTTAAGATTTGAATTGTATTGTACTTTATTATATAAATATCAATACTTCAGATACTAAAATGATGTAATTACAATATTAGAGATCAAAATGAGACAAACTCTATATTTTGGAACTTCTAGTATAATTAACCCTAATTTGTATCTAATGAATTATATCATATTGTATTGTGAATAAATCATATATAATTAATATATAAATAAATTATGTTACATATTTATTTTATTTTATTTATATTTGATTTATTTATTAATTGTGTTGTGTCATGACCATACCTAAATACTCTAATTTCGTATCATATTAATAGATCATATCATATTTTAACACTCTTATATATAATGAATTTTATTTAAATACTTATTAGATGATTTGTTTAAAGAAATTAGAAAAAAAATATTCAAGGGAATCTGCATCTTTCGTTGTCGCGTTTGTTGGAGGCATCGGAAAATTCCTAATTCCGTGAAATACCATGAAACACCCTCACCCCCTTGCTATTATTTATTAATATTTTTTTACTTTTTCTTTTGGTTTTATCATGTAAAGGCCACAATTATTTTAAGGGTAAATTATAAATTACTTTGAGTGGTTTTGCCAAGTTATACATTATTAGAGAGTCTTGCATATAAGGTGTAAAAAATATAACATAATTCGTTAACATGATATGATATGAAATTAAATAGTTTGAGTATTTTTTATGTCACCTATTTCATAAACGAGTGGATCTGACACAACACGAGTAATAAATAAATTAGTGTGGATGAAACCAATCAAAAAAAATATACGATACGATTCGTTTACGGTCAGATTATACACGATTCATATACGACACGAATATGATATAATACGATTAGTTAAACACGAATTAATTAAATGAATAAATTATCAGTGAAATATTTTTTGACACGAATCAACTAAAATTCGACACGAACCTACTTCATCTGACACTATTGACAAACTTACTTGCACTATGCTAGTCTAGTTAGGCTTGTTCCCGTGAAGAGTAATGGACACGATCAAGAGTCTTGTGATCTCACAAGTGAAGGTATATCGGAGTGGTCTCTAGGTGTTTTTCTTTGCCCCACTCTATTTTTCCAATACCAAAATAAAAAAACTATTAAATTTCATGTCCAAACTAACACATAGTGCACTACAAGTAGGGATGTTAGTTGATCGAGCCCGAGCCCAAACCGAGCTTGAAAAATTTGTTTTTTAATCGAGTTTAAAAAAATATTTAAGTTTGACTTGTTTTGGAAATGAGCCAAGCCTAAAATAAGTCGAATTCGAACCAAGCTTGTATGACTTGTTTTCTAAACGAGCCTAAAAACTTGTTCAAATTTGGGCTCGTTTAGAAAATGAACCAAGCCCGAACAAGCCGAACTCAAGTCAAGTTCGAATAGTTCAGTTTAATTAACAGCCCTAATTACAAGTGCCAAAAAAACGTATTCTTGTCTTTTAACTTAAGTACACATCAACTTGGTATATTTTCAAGTAATGTCAAGGTTAGTAGTTGGTTTATATATATATATATATATATATATTCTCTTCTTTTTACTTGGTTGCACAAGTAAGACTATACATTTACATGTAAATAACTATATCATTTATGTACTAAAAATGCATACACATTTTCAAAATAATAATAATAATGATGTATAAAAGTGAAATTATGTACCACCTGTCGAATAATTAATAATGAATAATAAATGCAGTAAATATAAAGGTGAGACCAGCACAGGCAATGCACAGATATAGAGTGGTTCACTTAGGATGACCTACTCCATTTTGAAGGCGACAACGGTGAACGGAGGACTTTATTAAAAAATAATAGATTGGAGAGAAAGAGAGACTAAAAGTAACCTCTAGGTGCAGAGACGCAGTTCTGAGTGATATAATTGTGTGTGACAGATGTAAGGGTGTGTAAAAAGTGTCCCTTATATGTAGAAGAATTATAATTTATAGGCACATAATCTTAATTGGTGCGGTGGTCGTAAAGGGTAGGTTACTAATTTTTCGAGAAGGATAGCTGCAACTACGTATATGTACAATTAAAAATAAGTGTGATCTTCGGGGTGGCTATCTCAACAATTACTCACGTGCGTTGATTTTCCTGAACTCCCTGAACCTTGAACGAGACCAAATTCATGAATTGGACTTAGCCTGTTTTGTATCTAATTTGAGCTTACTTTATGAATTGGGCTTGACCCAATTAGACCTGGGCTCATCAAATAATATTCAAACATAGACTTACGTACGCAACCAACCAACATTCGTTTCGACAGATTTTCTTTCAATAATACATCAGTTATCATGATTATTGAGCCAATCTATCGTCTATATTATACAATTCATGTCGTCTGAATTACATTTTCATTCAATAATAAATTAGGTGGGACTAATAAGTGAAAATTTTACCAATTTCAAAGACAAAAACGTTAGAGTTGTTAACTCATCCCGATCACAAGGAGAGGTTCCCTATGGTGATGTAAAGTTGACCCTTTTTGCCAATTGATTGAGTGAATAGTCTCAATTTAGATTTATGAAAAGTACTATATCATTAAAGATTAAAACATGTTTAAAATCAAATACATAATCGACAAGTAAACACGATTGAACAGCAAAGATGATTAATCGATATGCTCGTGCTCGGAAGTTAATCGGACACTCGGACCCTTAAACCCAAAATAAGAAAGGAAGAGTACATGATTGAACCCGAGCCCAATTGTTAAACCATCTCTCTTCTACCGTATCTAATTGTATGCCGTCTCAGCCATAGCTGATACACCACCATATGAAATGCATCGTACGGCTGTGGTGAAGAGTTCCATACCAAATGCTGACTCGCCGTCACAGCGAATCCCCTCATTCGCTCATACCGATCTTTACTAATATCAACCAAAACCTTCTTCAACTCCCCTGCGCCGCCACGTGTCCCAACAAAGACCGCCATCTCCGACCACCGCAATATGTCCATCAACGGCAGATCCTGAATCGGACGGTCCATAATCACCGCCGGTACGCACCCCAACGACATAGCCTCCGCCATCCACGTCACATCGCCACCGTAGATATACACACAGAACTTACTGTTTTGAAGTCTTCCCAAGTCATCCAACGGCTCAGATTCAACGACAAAGTCTTGATCATCATTCAATTCGTTGACCAAGCTTGACTCAGTCTCGCCATCCCATTCCAGGTAACCCAGAAACGGCGTCGTGTTATTGACCGGCGCGTGAGGTAGAGCAAGTGGGGAAGGGTTGAAAGGAGGTAAACTTATGTCCTTGTGGGGGACAAAGTTACCGGAATTAGTCGGAAAAACGGTGATCTGAATCGAGTTTTTCTTCAATTCCAGGAGGTTTCTGTCCGAAGAGAATTCTATGCCGGCGTTTGAGAGAAAGAAATGATCGGCCCCAAGTGTACGGTCCCAGTAAGGATGGTTTGTCCTAAGGTCTTTGACAAGACGACCTAGAGAGCGCGTGGAGACATCTGGAGAGACGGGGATGAAGAACAAGTTAGCCTCGTTGGGATTCTGGGTGATGAATGGGCTGTTGACGAGGGAAGTGTGGAAGAGAGAGAAGGGTGGGGTTGAGGAAGAGAAGGGTTTGGGTGTGGTGTAAATGAAAATCTTGAAAGTGGAGAGCATGTTTTGGTAATTTGGGAGGAGGGTGGTGGGTGAGAGGTAAAGGGAAGTGGAGAGGGGTTTGGAGTGGACGGAGGTGGTGAAGAGAGAGAGGAGGAGGAAGAGGAGGAGAGAGAGTGGAGAGACGGCCATTGGGAGGAGCTAAGGAAAGGTTTTGGAAGAAGTGAGGTGTTTGGAAAGGTTGAAGGACGGAGGTATTAGAATCTGCTAGC